CTCTGTTATGTCCACGGTACTGCTCATGTCTATAGGCGACGGTTACCACTTTCCATCAGGTGGGCCGTCAGCTTGTTTGCCATTTCTAAGTTGTATAAAAAAAGATCGCAGACTTGAGTATACGATATTAATTTCAACTTGATACCTCCACGCGTTCTTAAGAAAAAGTGTCTTCTTGATGGACGGACGGACAACGAAGCGATCCTATAAGGGATCCGTTATTTCCTATAGAGGTACGGAACCTTAAAACTGATGTAAATGAACACCTGTATTTGTTATAACCGATCTATCAATCAATTAGTCACAGAACGATACATTAGCCACGCAAGATAATTTAAACCGAAGCTTACTTAAGTGTGGCAACGTCGAATTTTATTGTTTGCACTACTTAGAATGACAAACAAGCTGAATTATTTGTATATCCAACATTCTTGCCTATACTAATATGTTAAAGAGTAAAGATTTAATATGTTTGTTTGAATTGTATAAACTCTAAAACAACTCGAGCCATTTCAAAAATTCTTCCATCTATGTAAAGCTATGGCCGCGTGGTCCCGGTACAGAATAGGTCACCCCTTCTTCTACGCGGTATGGAGGAAATGATTGGGGAAAAATGGAAGGGAACGTTGGAAATGGGCAAAGGAAATAGGTAAATGAGAGGAATAAGGGAACTTATGTGGGAAAGGAAAGGGCTGCACTTGCGGAAACACTGCAGTTGTGGAAAGGACTGGGCCACTGCAGTGGCTCGGGAGGCCAGGGTCGTATACTCGTATGTCCTAATTCTAGAATCGGACAAATTTCTAGAAAAGGACACCTCCGTGTGGTCCCGGCATAGAATAGGCCACCCCTTCCTTTTCTGTGGGTGTCGTAAATATAAAATTTGTCATTGACAAATAATTGACATATCGAACATTTTCTATACACTAGCCTGCTATGAATTGACAAAAATAGCAACCGATGGTGTATCTTTCGTCCTCTTTTTATTTATTATATTTGCATAAGAAGAAAGTAGCCAACCGTATGATTTACAGTTTTTATTTTATCATTCCTCTATGTAATTCCTTGTTCTTAGATCAAAACACACATCATCCGCCATCTTGTCGTGGTAACCATTTTGAGAATAATACCTAACTGCTATTTGCAATGTTGCTACATTTTAACATTTCAACAACTTAATATTCAATATGACCGCTGGCAATATATTTACAATTTTCAATTGAATTTTCGAGAACACTTTAATGATATTAATATATTATAATTTATAAATAACACATTAATATGTTGACATTAATTGGATAATGTCAAATTATGAATATGTATTTTAAGAGCATAGTAGAAGGAGAAATAGAGGGCAAAAGAGGAAGAGCAAGACCGAGGAATAACTACATTGGACAGATGAAGGAAACACTAGGTGTCATGTCGTATAGGGAGGTCAAGGATATGGCCTGGGATAGAGCTGGCTGGAAGAAGATGCATGAATTAGTTGCACGGACAAGAGGAAACTGTTAAATGAAAAAAAGAAGAAATAACATTTTAATATCTTACTGGTGTCAGAGTATCCCGTTAGCGCAGGCGGGGATACCATTTTATTATCATCTATTAAAAAATAGTGTTTTTTTTATTGGATGAAAATGGTATGGTAACCCCGCCTGCGCTAACGGGATACGCTGGCGGAGCACCAGTGAAGGTTGATCGATAAGGATGAAAACAGATCAGTTAGCCCATCACGATGAATTCATCTGGAATTAACCATGATAGTTTCCAGGGGGAACCACGAGGAGGTCGACCTGGTTGGGTATATTGCTAGCAATGGGATTCTCAGTCACCATTACTAACAATTCTCATCTATCACCCTTCACTGGTGCTTCGCCAGCATATCCCGTTAGCGCAGGCGGGGTTACCGTACCATTTTCACCCATCAAAAAAAAACTGTTGTTACACGAATGCAGTATTAAATTGTCATTAGCAATAGATTTGGATTGAGACCGATGTTTGGATTCAAGAGTTATCCTACTGTCTGTTTGTTTGTTTGTTTATTTATTATTATTATAATTTAATTGCTTTCAATTTGTATACAATTATTATTTTCTTTTGTTTGTTTCGTTTTGATTTCTTTTGTTCTTGTTTTGTGCGCTACTGTGTGGGCCGCGTGCTTCTTCGAATAAATTATTTCTTTCTTTCGTTCTTTCTTTCTTTCTTTCTTTCTTTCTTAGGAATGTTCAATTTCATTGTTTTTTTTTCACTTCTGAAATCCACGAGTGCGAGATAGTTAACGAAAAGTTAGTAAGCAAACATGCTTTCAATAGTTTCTCGGTCAAGTTCGTCACACGCGTCTGACGTACCACACCACACAATAATAGATTTAAACAAATATTATTTACATAAATCAATCCTAACAAGCGAACCGTCTAGAACTCGGCGCTAAATTAGATACAAAACAATGGAAAACTTTCGAACTACATATTTACAATTAGTTTTTGCTTTGAACATTCTAAAATATTGTGTGGGATAGGTCATCAGTGCGAGAGCGTCACGACCGCTCGTTTACTAACATTTTTCTTTTATTATTATTATTATTTCGGCCGTTAATTGTCCACTGCTGGACATAAGCCTTCCACATAAGGGGAGTTTTGCCACGCTTGGTAGGCGGGTTGGCAACCGCAGTTAGGCTTTTAGAGATGTTTTAAAAGAGACGCTGCTGCCAATCCCTCGCCCTCCCTTAGTTGCCACTTACGACACCCACGGGAAAGGTTAGGTGTGGCCCATTCTATGCCCTGGACACACACATATTTACTAACATAGATTAAGTAGGGGGGAAAGGGATTGTTAGTAATGGAGACTGAGAATCCCATTGCTAACAATATACCCAACCAGGTCGACCTCCTCGCGGTTCCCCCTGGAAACTATCATGGTTAATTCCTGATGAATTCATCATGATGGGCTAACTGGCCTGTTTTCATTCTCATCTATCACCCTTCACTGGTGCTCCGCCAGCGTATCCCGTTAGCGCAGGCGGGGTTACCATACCATTTTCACCCATTAAAAAAAACATAGATTAAGTAAATTATATGTAACAAAATGGACCTTATGTTGTCTGAATAAGCAATAATTATTGTGATAAACAAGTTGTTCCAAAGAGGATCGACGTCAGGCAGGCGGCCGGTCGTAAAACTAGAAGCCAAATCCTTTTGTATTCTTCTTCTTCTTTCTACCCGTATCCCAATTATTATTTGTGGTCGGCGTAATATGTTTTTATCCATAGTACAAAAAGATTTGGCTTATAGTTTTACGACCGGCCGCCTGCCTGACGTCAACACTCTTTGGGAATTTTGTAATATTAATAAAAAACAGATTTATTTATTGATTCATAGGATTACCAACATAAGGTACAGCTAAACATTTCAATACAATACACTGGTAGATTAGATCTAACTGTTCTTACATTTATAGGCGACCACAGCGTGCCTTGTGTTTGATGACCTTTTTTCACATTCGTGTTTCAACCGTGAAGCAGTTGTGTTTGCATGGCTGTGTTTCGGTTTGAAGGGTGGGATATGGCAGTGAATTTACTGGATACAGAGGAATAACATCTGAGTCCTTAGGAATGGCAACGCATGGGGGGTATCATGGGCGAAACAGTATACTCTGTTATGTCCATGGTACTGCTCATGTCTATAAGCGACGGTTACCACTTTCCATCAGGTGGGCCGTCAGCTTGTTTGCCATTCTAAGGTATATAAAAAAAAATTGCGGACGATAGGTGATTCGCGGCCCAAGTTTGTTCGGCAAGCTGCATTTTTAAATAGATTGCAAGGATGCCGTCGACCTCATGTCGTCGGATATTACGTCGACCTCAAATAATAATTGGGGGTAAGGGAAGCAAGATGACGATGATAAACAAGTCGAAAAATTCTCGATTCGTGTATGAAAAGATTGATGAGTGTAGAAGAAGCGAACTATGCCTTTGTAATTAGGCATAGCTAATATTGGTACCACTCCGATATCTATCTATCTATACTTATAATAAATCTGTACAGAGGTCAATTCTGTACATGAAATATATTTCCAAAATAACTATCAGCGGGTAATTAGTGATCGATACTGATGCCAGGTTCTAAATTCGGTTGTAATTTTTTTTATGTTTGTTACGTCATAACTACGTCAGTTGTAAATTGATTTGGAAAATTATATATATATATATATATATATATATATATATATATATATATATATATATATATATATATATATATATATATAAGTTTGTAAGTTACATATAATTATATACATTACATTCTTTTTTCATACAACTTAGAATGGCAAACAAGCCGTCGGCCCACCTGATGGAAAGTGGTAACCGTCGCCTATAGACACGAGCAGTACCGTGGACATAACAGAGTATACTGTTAAGTTATATTACATCTTATGTTATATTACATATACTTATATATTTTTTTGATGGGTGAAAATGGTATAGTAACCCCGCCTGCGCTAAAGGGATACGCTGGCGGAGCACCAGTGAAGGGTGATAGATGAGAATGAAAACAGGCCAGTTAGCCCATCATGATGAATTCATCTAGAATTAACCATGATAGTTTCCAGGGGGAACCTATACTTATATATTAGGTAAATATATCTTTTGATTATATTTAGATTGGTCCTGATAGAAATTTTATCAAAATCTTTTTTTTTTTAATCAAAACAATTGCTTTTTGCCACAATTCATATCGGTTTAAATTATTTTAACAGTACAGAGGACAAACGAGCATACGGCTCACCTGATAGCGAGCGTTTACCGCCGCCCACGAGCAGCCGCAACATCAGAGAAATTACAGATATATCGCCTGCGTTTTAAGAAGTAATATAAAATTAATTGCCCGCCCCAACAAATATTAACCAATGGAATATCAACAATTCGTTACAGGCAAACATTGTAAACGTAAGTATAACATCACAGCTAATTTGTACAAGTGTTTCAAACCAATTAATCGCCATATATAAGTAACAAGAGGCGAAAACTGACGTTTCGTTTAGTGGAAAATCAGATACATATCTGTCCACTTTCAGTGCAATGAAGCTATATGTGACTACCGTTGTGGCTCTAGTTTGCGTAAGTTTTCGGTTATTTTTGTGATGTGTCGACGTATATAGATGTATAGGTAGACCACCTGTGCCTGCGGTACACATAAAAGAAAAAAAAAGTAAAAAAAAAATAAAATAAAGCTGTGTGCGTTGAGTGATGCCTCGACAGGGTAAGATAGTCTATTATTATATTAGCTTGAGGACATCTTTTTTATCTTTAATAGGTAAGAAAAAAAATGACTTTCGTCTTTAAGAGGGATAAATTTCGTATCTCAATCAGAACGGTCACTGCTGTGACTTTAATAGGACGTCATTGTTAGGTCATTTTAAGGTCGCAAACCCAAATTGAAGCTTCACGTTCTATGAACGGTTTGACGGGTAAGAGAGAAATTAAGTTTTCGACTAAGGTAGGATAAATTTAATACGCCAAATAGCGTAGTGACGTCTATGATTTAAAAAAGACGTCACTTTTATTATATATATATGTTAGATATATTATATTTTTATTTTTTTATATTTTCAATATGAAATATCAAATCTTATAATTTAAAAGTGTTCCACAATATCTATTTATATTAAATGAAATGAAATGAAATGAAATGAAATGAAATGAAATGAAATGAAATGAAATGAAATGAAATGAAATGAAATTTATTGCGATGAATGTGGTAAGTTTAGATAACATTATACATTTTGTGTAACCATGACATTCAGCCAGCCTGTAAATGTACAAATAAACAAAATAAAAGTTGAAAACAATACATTTTTATTTTAGTTTTTAGTAAAAAAGTAATATTAAAAACTTAAGTATTTTATTTTATTAAAAGTAAAATAATGTGATACCTCCATTTTATTTTTATTTAGTTTCTCATTATAAAAGTTAGTTTTACTAAGTTAAATTTAAAATGATTTCAGTAAGTTTAAAAAGTACGTTTAAATAAATAAAAGCTGGGTATGTAAAATATTGTTAGATATAATTAAGTTGTTAAATGTTTCAATACCAATGGTCAATGAGAAAAATTAAAAGAAATACCAGCATAACATTTGTCGTGTGAGGGACGGCAAATGGAGAAGTTCGCTACCCTTCTTTGCATGATTTTTTTTATTGGTGAAATAAATCAGTGTATATCACTGTAGTCATGTTTAAAATTAATGGAAAAATGGTTAAAAAAAAAACTAAAATTGACAGCTATGTTTTTTTTTTTTGCAATGGACATTAAAAAGGTATCGAGACACGATCAACTTAAAGTGAACTTGGTCTTTTATATAAGTTTTTGGACGTTCAATGTTATGATGGAAATTTCCACCGTTATGCAAAGAAGGGTTAACTCTTAGAATGAAATCGCGTACAGAACGCCCCGTGGGGCAATCTCACTCCAGATGGATTGACTCCGCAGGACAGCCAAGAAAATGGATGTAAAAGGAGGCAGCAGTGAATAAGCTAACATAGAATGAATAAATAGTATAATGGTGTAGTGATTCCGATATGTTCAAACAATCACTTATTTGACTTGCAATGTTACCATTAAGGAGTGTTCTTCTAGTCTGATGTATAAAAAAGAGCAGCCTTGGTCTTTAAGAGGTCTAAATTTCATATTCCAGATAGTATAATAATGTTTCTGGTCTATAATAATATAAAGACGTCATTCTCCGTCAATTTACCGTCACGGTCGTTAAATGACCTAATAATGACGCTCCTAAAATGCCCAAATAGTGACATCTATTTAACGTCGCAAATGTAATCTTGCCAATTGAGATTGCAGCCCTGGATTCGTCAAGAAGCCGTATAAGTTGCGAACTAGAGTCGGCACTGCACACATTAAAGAAATAGGAAAACGAATTTATGCAACCATTCAGAAGTACCATTATTCATAACCTGCAGTGATTCATAACTAGTCAAAAGCTCCCAATAGCTTTTACCGTTCATAATCTTGCTAAGGCTTTCCAGTCATTTAGGTTTCCAGAGAGATAAGATGTGCTAGGAACATTAATAAAGTAAAATAAATTAATATAAGGGCACTCACCCTAAATGCCCAATAGATTGCCAGCTCGCTTTGTAAATGCGTCGTAAATTAAGCAGTCGATCTGTCAACGTTGGCGCCCAACGTGGGACAAATATAGCCGGACTAACTAGTCTAGTGACGTGACCCATTGACAGATACATGTGTATCAGATTGGTTTCATAGAAATTTTACCAAAATCGTAGTTTAAGTTTTAAATCAGAATAACAAGTTTTGCCACCATTAAAGGCGATTATTTTGTGAAACACATTTTTTTTTATCAAACTATAATCTGTAAACTGTCTATGGTTGTATTAAGACCTTACTTCATAGGATCATTTCTATAGTAAGCTCTTCACCCAGAAACTCACACACTGTCTATGGTTGTAAACTTTTTTTTTATTTTACATTTATTGTTTTTTTTTTACTAGGTGTTTAAGGCGCAGGGAGAGCCCCAACCACACAGTAAGTTACTATATTATATGTTTTTAGAAATATTTTAATAAATATTCACAATACAATAATATGAGTTTATTTGAAGTGTGGAATATGGCAGTGGAATTATTGAGTATGCGTAATATTTATTTATTTATTATATCAATATGACGACGTATGAAGGATGCCATAAGCGTTATGGGACATTATAAGATGTGCATGGTACTGTTCATGTTACCACTTATGTGTAGAGACATGGTTACCACTTTTCATTAGGTGAGTTTTTAGACTATATGCCGTTTCCAATTTCCAATTACTTTCCCTTTCTCTATCTTCAAAGAGGTGATTAAGGGATCAGAAAGTACCCTAGAGCTAGTAACAGCACTTCTTATGTCATTATAAGTAATAGCCTTGCTTAATTGCCAACCTGTCTGCCAAGCCAATATAAGCGAATTTAAAGGAAGCCATGTAACTACAATATTGTTTAGTGTCCAAGTAGAGCTTTTAGTTATGGTAAAAATTGCCATGGCCAGACTCTGCCTGAAAAATAATCTTAAATTCATTAGTACAAGCTATGCAACTATCATCAAACCCACCCATAAAGCTAGAAGTCCATCAGCTTTTAAATACTTCTCTATTCCTGACCGCAGTAACGGTCACCAATGGAAGGGAAGATCTTAGATGCATTTCAAGGAGTTAGTGGATGCAGATAGCTTAGAACTGTTTCTTATGAGACTTTAGAGGAAGCTTACAGAGGAAGCCTCTTATCAGTGGCCCAAGAATGAAGTGACAGGCTAAAGTGATAATGAAGGCCCGATAAGAACATGTCACCAAGTCACCAGAGAGAGACTGTACATATGTCATTTTCACTTGCAAGAAACCTCTTTTTCATTTCCATTTCCTTCCTTTCATTCGTGTTTCTTCCAAGCAGCTGTTTTTCTACAGCTGGTTTAGTTTGAAGAGTGAGATATGGTTGTAAAATTACAGGGTACAAAGATATCGTACAGTTCTCAAAAATAGCAACGCCTGAGGAGACTCGTAGGCGTTAATGTTCTCTGATATCCACGTTGTTGTTCATGTATATAGGCAATGGTTATAACTTTCCATTAGGTGGACCGTCAGCATATTTGCCATTCCAACTTAGAACTGTCATTTGGTCCCAGCATGTTCTTTTTCTGTAGATGTCGTAAGAGGCGACTAAGGGAACTTAATTGTAGTTTCAATTGGGATGGGCAGTAGCGTCCCTCTTAAAAGATCACCAAAGCCTAACTGCGGTTTCCAACTCGTCTACCAAGTGTGACAACTACTTGCAAAACTCTATGTTCAGCAGTGAACAGTTAACGGCTGAGTTGATTACGATGTGCTTACATACAAAAGCGAACGCAGTCGCAAGCGTTGACTAGTTTAAATTAATATCGACGGATTATCGGATAGATTTCAATGTTTTTAGGGACACCGCATAAAGTGAACGTTGTACGGCAATATAAAAGTTCAGGTAAAGTCAACAAGACCAATACTGAAAACATTAGATTGACAATTGAGAGATTGACATTGAGAATTGAGTACACAGATTGACAATTTTAATTGATTAAACAATTTGTAATTGACCATCTTCGATTTTTGATAGATGGCAGACATGGAAACCTACAATTCGGCGGCCTAGCCCCGGGGGGAATCTTTGGTGGATCAGCGTGGTCACCGCCAGCACCTCCTGGCCAGCTCCCGCAATGGGGACAGCCTCTAGGGAACTTAGGACTTAAGCTTCCTCAACCACCAGGCTTAGGATTTGGACCTGAAGATCTTGAAAAACAGGTATTCAACACTCGTCAATCTGAGAGCTCGAGCCAAAGCGAAAATGAATCTAGCTCGAGCCACACCGAAAGTTCTAGCTCGAGTGAAAGCCAAAGTAGTAGTTCGAGCCAGAGCGAGAGTAGCAGCTCGAACCAAAGCCAGAGCAGCTCTAGTAGCTCGAGCCAAAGTGAAAGTAGTTCGAATCAAAGTGAAAGTAGCTCGAGCCAAAACCAAAGTAGCTCGAGCCAAAGCGAAAGTGAATCTAGCTCAAGCACCTCCAGCAGTAGCTCAAGTCAAAGCGAATCCAGTAATCAATCTAGTAGCGATTCTGCAATTAACTTAAATATTGGCGGCGCATTAGACAGCGTTAAGGAGATCACTAATGCTGCAAGGGATTCTATAACTGATGAATTGAACACCAACACGAGAATAGCTGGTAAGTACCTTTTTGATTTATTTTTCGTTATTTTTTAGGGATCCGTACCTCGAAAGGAGCAACTCACTCATAGGATCACTCGCATGTCTGTCTGTCCGTCCGTTTGTCACGGACAATTTGCTCCGAAACTATTGGACCGATTGCGTTGAAATTTGTTACTCGTATATGTAAGTTGTAGCCCAAAATTGGTAGTGTAATGTAAATGAATTAATTTTAAACATTGACGCCAGTTTTGGAGGTTAAATTAGAAATAAGAAAGTGATAATATCAAGGGACTTCTTGTGGAAATCTCAAATATATATAATTTAAGATAAATAATTTTGAACTTATTAATAAAAATAACCCCCCCCCCCACTTATCTCTGAAAATATTAGGGCTAAAATTTTGAATAAATACAAAAATAGTTATTTACCTATAGATTATAATAAAACTTATTAATTTAAACTTCCTTTATCCTTTATTTTTAATAAGACAGACTTTCTTTTGTTAATGTATAAACAGATGGTAGACACCCTTTTGTAATAAATACAAACAATGTACCTAAGAACTTTAGATTGCCTATAAGTGGTAATGTCGCAATTGGCTGTCAATTTTCAAAAACAAATATAAAATTCCAATGTTCAATAAAAAAAAATAATAATAAATATTTTTTATTCAATTTAATGATAAGCATTTTTAAAAGCCATTCTAAAAAGAATGCCTTTAAAAAAATGCATTCCGAAGTAGGCGGTAGTTTTTAAAAAATTAAAAACTACCCGCCTACTTCGGAATGCAATTTGATGCAGATGAAAAGAACGGGCAAGAAACACAGCTGTTGCTTTTTTCAAATGTCAAGTCAACGATCAAGTTCACGAGTATGACGGATGGGCCAGCCATCATTGTGTTCAACCATATTATAGAGAGCCTGACGACTTAAATTCTGGCTGATTACTTAAAAAGTGCTATATAAGGGAACTAAACTGGCCGTGTGGTCCTAGCATAGTACAGACCGCCTCTTCCTATCCCATGGCTGTTGTAAAAGGTGACTAAGGGAGGGCGAGGGATGGGCAGCAGCGTCCCTCTTCGAACATCTCTAAAGCCTAACTGCGGTTGCCAATTCGACTACCAAGCGTGGCAACTACTGACAACTCCCAAGGGGGAGGCTTATGTTCAACATGGCTTATGGACAGTTAAAACCTGATATAATGAATATTTAAAATATACCATAATCATAACAAACAATTACACATTGTCCCGTCACTTATTTAGGTTTCTTAAACTACAGCTCTTCAATTTAAACTAAATGCTCACCGTTCCCGCCATTTTTTTCCTTTTGACACTTGTCTATTGCTACTTATTACTTGTTTATTGGTAAGACCATAATTGTTTTAATTTTTTCTCAGATAGGGGCGTACAAGTGGTGTCTGATGTAATTAGAAACCTCTTTGGACATAAAGGTAAGTGGAGAGATTTAAAAAAAAAAGTATTAATTAGTCATAGATTAATGAAAATACCTGTTAAATGATTTGTTTATTTATTATAAATCTTTTTAATCATTTTAGATCAAGACAAATAAAATTATTGTTATTTTTATTTCTTCTTAATTAAAGCTTCTTAAATAAGGCATTATTGACAAGTATTATTTGTTATATAAGTATGTATTTTGGACTTTTTTCTTTTTTTTAATACTATATTATTTTTGTTTCAGGACCTAAAGAAACTAGCGACCTATTATATTCACTGACTGGATTCCGTGGTAAGTGTTATTTAATTATTAATTAAGTAAAGAAATAAATATTTATTTAGTGCTTTATTTTACACATAATTACAAATAAAAAAATATTTAACAATAAACAAAAATAATAAGGAAAAGCACTGAAATAATGTCACTCAGCTATAAAAAATAATTAAATTTAAATACACGAACATTTATACTTCACAATAAATCAAGATCTTTAAAAACAATGTTCTGGTAAATAAATGTATCTGTTTATATGTTTATAATTACTCCTCTCCATCCAAAGGTTGCCTGCAAGAGATCGCTCTTAGCGATAAGGTCGCCCATTGTTTTCTCACTGTGACCATTTCTTGTAACTGTTTGTGTCTATAATAAGTTTACTGTTGTAATCTTTTGGAGGTAACAAAGAGTATCTATTTATCTAAATTGTGACCGTTTACACTGCTGTGTCGTATTTTGTGATAAACACTAGGTATTTATATATAATAAGGCAATATAAAATATTTCTTTTTTCCCACTATTTGTACAATATACAATGTGTTTGTACAAATGCGCCATAACGTTTGTACGCAAATACACAACCTTGTTAACATTTGTACAAATAATCGATTTAAATCGATTGAGCTAATAACAAAAATGTAATAAATTAATGTCGAACGATTGTTTGCCGTTTTTAAATAATAAAATATAATTTATATATTCGTAGAAGTGAGTTGGAATAGGTTAAAATAATTAATTGTATTGCGAACTGACATAAATCTTTTGTACAGTATAAATACCTTTCTATTGTACATGAGTATAATATGAAATAATAAACAAAATGGTCGCCCACCAGATGGAAAATGGGAACCGTCGTTTTTTGTTTTAAAGATTGGAATATACAACCCCAATATATAGTTATAATGAAAAGGGATTTGTGTGATAAAATAAATAAAATAAAATACTTAAACAATATAATTTACAAGTCCAATGAAGAATATATAAATAAAATCCGAAATGAGAATATCCGTAGAAGAACCAAAGTGACGACATAGATCGATGGATAAATAAGCTGATGTTGCAATCAACTGGTTACACAGCTAAAAGAACGGGCAACCGATACAAAAGAAAGGTTCTTGAGTGACGAGCCCGTACAGGTAAACGCAGTGTAGGACGACTAGATGGAGTGATGACCTCGAATTAATGAATTCCTGCAATGGCAGGAAGTCAGTGGAAATAGATGGCACGAGACCGTTCCTTATGGTAGTCTATGGGGGAGATCTAGAGGTTCAGCAGTGGACAGATAATGATTAATATGATGATGGTGATGATAAAAGAAATGGATAGATAGATACTCTTTATTGTTCCCTCCATAAGATTACAATAGTAAACTTATTATAGATACAAACAATTACAAGAAATGATCACAGTGAGGAAACAATGGGCGGCCTTATCGCTAAGAGCGATCTCTTGCAGGCAACCTTTGGATGGAGAGGAGTAGTTATAAACAGTTTGATCGGAGACACGATGAGAGTTCTGAGAGCCTACCATGAAATGTTTTCCGAAATTTCCAAGCCAAATGAAACACAAATTTGATGTTAAAATTACGTAATACATGTCGTTTGGAAATATTAAAAATATTAAAATATCGTTCCTTTGGACTTTTATGATAGGATGTATGACGAACGAAATGTTCAACTCCATTTATTGGTCCGATTTTGGTATAAACAAAAACACGAAATTGAGTTCGAAATTTCGGGATTTCTTTTTAAGGTAGACCCGCTGATTTTAAACGCATATAGAGATGTAATCCATGCATATATATGTATATTGATTTTATTTCAAAGGGATCTGAAATCCTCTTCCACGATGGTAGATAACCAATTCGAATAAACAATATTTTTAATGTTGTTTTTTTTTTTTCAGATGAACGCGCCGCCCTCAATTACGTGCAGTCGGTCACAGGGCTGACAAGTAAGTATTAAACGGGGACACGGGTGATCTATGCCCACCACATAATTATCTTATGCCCACTCGAAAAGGCAAGCCAAGCTTCGCAAAGATATATCAACATCAGACGATGTCTGTAAATGAGAGATATTTGTGAAAAATTAATAGAATGGGTCTCAATATTTATTTATTTATTTTTATTTATTTATTAAATACAAGAAATTAAATAAAATAAGACCAACAGATGTTATTTTATATTGATAAATGTGTTACTATTAAGTACACGAGTATTTTAATAACAACAATAAATGAAAGATGACAGTTTTTGTGCAATAATATTCAGTTATTATATGTATAACTAATATATTAAATATATAACAAACAAAAAATAAGTGTGAAACAATTAATCTGTTTATATAACTGTATTGATTATATAAATCACGAAGTAGTATAAGTATAATTAAAAAAGAAAAACAATTTATATTTTATTAACTGTAAAGGAATAATTTTAATTTCTATTTTTTATAATGTTATTATTTTAGTATTTATCCTATACATATATTTTGTGATTTTGATAAATAAATAAATATAATAAAATTTCTAAAAATATAAGAGAATTACCTCTCGCCCGTTTTGAAACGACCTTCAAAAAGTGGCTTCTTGTCAAATGTTTCTAGTGTAAATGATTTCATTGATTGAGATCTTCTTTTCATTTAACAGTTTCCTCTTGTCGGTGCAACTAATTCATGCATCTTCCTCCAGCCAGCTCTATCCCAGGCCATATCCTTGATCTCCCTATACGACATGACGCCTAGTGTTTCCTTTATCTCTGATTGAGATCATAGGTTGTTTTATTCGTTCTTAAAAAATAATAATAAATTATTATAATTAATTTATCGTTATTATTTTTAGAGTATATAATATAATTAATTTATAATTATTTTATTAATTAACGTGACATGGCATATACGAATTTATTTTTTTATTGTAAAAGTAACTTTATTAAAAAAAAACTATAATCATATAATTTGCATGCTTAATATTAGCTGAAAGAAAAAAAGAAATATTTTAGTAATGTAAACTTAGATTTAAGCATTTTTGAACATTTTTGAATAGTCATTTTTTTATTACGTGATATGGAACTGTCAACTTATTAAATGAAAACTCTGTATCAACTAACCAAAGTAAATCAAGTATTTTATTCAATAATGTGCAGAAATTTTGTTAGTCTGTCTGTCTGTATGTTTGTTATAGCTTCAAACAAAGACTAATGCACCAAATGGGTTGCATTTATCACAGTTGTGTTCTTGAAGGTGTACCTTAAAATCTGGTGTATGTTTTATACACTATATAAAAGTGACAGATTATATATTAGCACATAATGTATTTTATATATTTATTCACGCGGGCAACACTGCACGAAATAACTAGTAATATATAAATATAATTATTGTAATTTAATTTAAAATATAAATATAATTATTACATTAAATTTACTTAAATTTATATCCTTTCAGACACGAACGACGTGCAGGAGTTCATCAAACGAGTACGCGGCTCCAGAGACTGGCACTTCGTTATAAATTTCCTTATACAGCTGGAGGGAACATCAAGTATGTATAATTATAATAAAATTAAATATTTATTTACTTTAAACAGACATTTAACGTAATAAAGGCCTTGCAACAAAACTTTTGGCATATATTTAATTAGCTTTAATTGTATATTTTCTTTCATATAATTTTTAAATAAAATTACGAGTTTAAATATCAAATGTAAGTTAAAACCGGAATTTCTCCGATCGCAAAATAATTATTCGAATGTAATTTTCATATTTTAACAGTATTTCTATATCAATTTGTAAAGAGTATATATCCAAGCATTATAAATAATTAATAAACAATTATTTATTAACTATATTTAGTTATATCCATAAATATATAAGACTAAAATATAATAATATATTATTTATTCATGTTATATAATTATTATAATTCTATGGCTTATACCAATATAATTCGTTAAATTATTCATTTTATATAGGTACCAAGTATAGACTCGACTAGAGATTTTTTTAATTTATTAACGCTTTGGCAGAAAGCTATCAGCCTACACAAATAAATATTTTTTACCGTGGAAAATATTATTGTTTCCGATACTATTTGTGTATTATATATGTTTAAAAATTAATAAGTATATATATGTTTTCTAAGTTCTAGATGGTAGGTTATAATTCGTCATATATTTTTATATTTTTTTTCTTGTTATCAGACATCCGTGTGGTCGTCGAGCTGTTAAGAGAGTTAACGAATGAATTCAGTAAGTTTTGTTTTTTATATTCTTTCCTGAAAGACAGGCAGCACACCTAGAATTTCTCCCGTATTGTAGATACTCAAAGGCAACAGTATTTACTTATCATCAGGTGAGCCGTATGCTCGTTTGCCTTCCGTGTTGTTAAAAAATAGTTTTTTTCCGTTGTGTTCATATGTATATATATAAATATTTATTTAGTAAATTATTTTATTGGATTCAGGTGATTCACTACTGTTTCTTATAGCAGTCTATTGGGGAGGCCTATGTTCAGCAGTGGACAGAAAATGATTTACATATTTTAATCCTATAATACTGAAAATAAAGGATAATACTCATATATTTAAGGGGGAAAAATAGGTAAATAAAGGTATAACTTTTAAACTTCTATTCTATTCGATTCTAAACCCGCATCTCTCTGTTATCCGGTCCCAGTTTCTTTTCAGTTTATCATTTGTTTAGAATTAACTTGAATTCCAGATGTATTCAAGGCATATGATGTACTTCAACGGCTCGCCGGACACGCCGACTTCGATTCCGTCTACGAAATACTTCAAAAGATTTCAGGAGAAAAGAGTAAGTGTACTTCATCATCGTACCCACTCAACCTCACACACACTCACACACACACAACACACACAAAACACACTCACACACACACAACACACACAAAACACACACATACACACACACACACACACACACAGACACAAACACACACACGCACACACACATTTACGCATATTCTTTGTGTGTGTAAATCAGTGATAATTTTTTATACTTTCACACCCATTGCGAAGCTTATATTCATGTGATGATTAGCCATAATATATCTTAAGCTAACTTTTTCATATTTAGTTTAATTTTACAAGATTAATTATAAATATTGTTATAAACAAAGAAATTAAATATATCGTCAATAATATTATAAGAAGAAAACATTTTAAATTTTTTAAACATAATATTTTTTTATTACAGATTCTCATGAAATCGCCGACTTTTTCAGACATATCGCCCATACTAAAGGTAATTGTTTTATTTTTATAAATTATACTCGAGATTTTTTAATGTTTAGATTTTTAGATAAATTAAATATAAAATTATTCATTGCTATTTTAATTTTTGCATCACTAAGCCAATTATCAAATATAAATAATCATTAAATATAATTATGATTTATATTATATTAAAATAATTCGATATATTACAGTTGGGAACGGTAAGGACCATTTTTATTTTATTTTTAATTTATTACTTTTTTTAATTAAATGAACACAAATGAGTATAAATAAGTACTATAAATAATAATATAATATTGTAAACTATATTATTTAAAAATATCATTTTTATTACTTTTTACTGTTTTTTTTTTTGTTGCAGTTTAAGTAAAGATATTTCCTGTGCTATTATCGAATAATTCTTATTTTTAATAACCTATACAACATATTTATTTTTAAATGTCAATTGTAGTAATAAAAATACAATTAAAAAAAGAACATTTGTACAAAAAACAATTTTTAAACTATAGACAAATAAGATCACATTTTATCAAATAGTGACATATTTTTTTTTTATTTTTTTTTTCAGGCGTTGAAGGTGTCAGATTATTCGTCCTCAAATTGACCGGAGGCATTGGGCCTTCCGAATTTCCGAAAGTATTCCAGAACTTACTACCGGAAGTTGGTATGTTTTTTTTTTCAATTTTGATTCTCATAGATAGTCATTATCTGAAATAATAACGTATCTAAGTGATAAAAGTACTAGAAGTCAGATTTTGAAAAATTAAATATATTTTTAAATTTTTTCTTTTTTTTTCTAGATATGAAGGGAGCTTTCGATTTCCTCATCTCAGTTACTAGAAGTCAAGGTATGTAATAATTATTTTTAAAATTAATTATTACTATTTTTTTTTTTTTACTTTTAACGGTCTTAGTATAAAAAACAAAGTTTAACATATCACAGACTAGTACTAAATACATGTTTAAATATGATAGAAAGTCGTCTAACATCTTTTGTTTAAACAAAAAGTCTGCATTATTATAAACTAGCGATACGACCCGGCATTACACGGGTAAGTAGAATTCTTTAAAATCATATTATATAGCCCATATGTTTTTATAGATGAAAGAATTATTTTAATTTAAAATAGATTGAGCAGTTTTTGTGCTTAGATTATATAGATGGAGTATCTCCATACAAATGCTTCGAGAATTCGTGGTTCCTTCTATTAACATCTATATTTATTTTATCTTAAACCTTTTTAATGCGTAAAATCTCATTTTATTTATTAAATAATTAAATATAAATACGTCGCGTGCGTAAGTATATAGAACACTAATAAAAAAACGTATCCGCTAATTTGACCCAATCAAATCTTTAGTTTTTTATCATATTAATATAAAAGTACAGATAAAAGATGTTAAAAGAGAGGGACTGGCTGAAAACCAGCGCTGTGCAGCTGTTCATATTGCGCTGGGACACTCACAGCATCAGCTGAGCCGGTTCCTTTTGCCGAGTATGGGACACTTTTTGTATATGTTATCTATATTTTATATTTTAATTGTATGGCAATAAATGTTTCTATTCTATTCTTAAAAGCAATAAATTTTATTAAATATCCATAATAATCTGAATTATACAAATAAAATTATGAATAAATCGTAAGTGTCGTAAGCGGCGGTTAGGGAACTTAATGGTCGAGGAATAAACAGCAGCGTTTCTTTTAAAACGTCACCAAAGCCTAACTGCAGTTGACAACCCAAAAGGGGAGGCTTATGTTCAGCAGTGGACAGTTAAGGGCTGATATGACGGTGATAATATTGCATAATTTTATCGAATAAACAATGTTCAGTCTTATCATAAAGAAGTTAAACCCAGTTTTAAATTTTGAAATTATTTATTGTGCAGTAATAAAGCTCGATATATTCTTGTATCCACAGAAATCGGGGAAGCAATCAAGACCTTCATTTCCATACTGAGGAGGAACACCTTCTCTGAGTGTATCGTAGTGATCAAGAAGGCCACCGGACAGAGTCGTATGTACACATAAATTAAATGTTTTTTTATGCAACTTGGAATGGCAAACAAGCTGCCGACCAACCTGATGGAAAATGTTAACCGTCGCCTATACTTGTTAATTTTTCTAAAAGACTGCATCATGGGGTTCTTCAAAAGGAGTGTAAAGAGGTGTCTTCGAGGTCGGTAACGCGTGCGCGTCATACCTCTGGTATTGCAGGCGTTTATAAGCAACGGTAATCGCTTACCATCAGATGGGCTGTATGCTTGTTTGCCATCTCAGTGGTATAAAAATAAACTTATAATATAATAATAATCTGTATTAATTTTGCATAGTTTAAAAAAATGGGCTAAAGTCTCCTTTTAAGTATAATTAAATACCTGTGTTAGAAAATACCGCTTTTTCCAGGGTTACCTATGTATGTAAATATATATAATATGTTATAATTACTTACTATTTATTATATATATTGGAAGAGATAATTTCGACCTGTTCCACAAAGACTAATGTAGCATGGCCAGCAATTGTGCGAAATTGAGGCACTTAAGGGAGGCCTTAGCCCAGTTAGCCCCACACTATGGGCTACAATTGATTGGTTGATTGATTGATTAATACATATTTTTGTAATTTTTCGCAGAACTGAAGTACGCATTGGAGGAACTCACACAAGAAACTAAGAGGACAAGTAAGTTTGTCTATTTTATATTAGTTTTTTACAGACTTTTATATAATTTGCTTTATTTATTTTGCAGTTCTATATTTGCACTCTGCAAATTCGCAGTCCATTTTAATCTAACTTTAAAATTGTTAACAAATTTTTTTACTTATTTTCTTAACAATTAATTAATAAAAAAAAAATACTGTCTAGGTCTTCGAGTGATCGTCGACAATTTATACAAGATTTCTGGACGTCTGGATTTGGAAGACGTACGAGTTATTTTCCAACAAATTTTCAATACTGACAGTGAGTATATTGTTTTCAAATTTTATGTTAACTTTTAACCACATGCATAACTAACTGGATTATAGAAATTTTATGCAAATGTAATTATTTGCCGTAATATCTCTGAAGAAGACTTCCAAGATGAAGTTTATTTTTTATCCATTTATTTATTTTATTTGATGAAACGATTGCCAGATTTATAAAATTCCCGTTATCCAGTTATACTCGTATATATGACTAGTTCAAGCTTTAAGCTAATATACCGATCTCTATAGATTTACACATATTTTTTTATTTACAATACACATCAATATACAATCTTAGAGATTTATTTAAAAATAGTCTACTAATTGAGCCACTAATAATGGATTTGCGCGTTATTTATTTGATGATACAAAAAAAAATTAAAAATTTTACATGCTATTTATTATTTTTATTGTAACTAGAATAAATATTGTTACTGTAAGGTCTGAAATTATATAAAATGTATCCACGTAAATAAGACTTTACATTTTTCACGCCATTAAAATAATGTAGCTAAATGTGTGTCTATAATACTAATTAAGATCTATTTCAACCATATTTATACAAATAAATTATTATTATTCGCTGAGTAAAATAATAAAATCTTATTTCGTAACCATCTCTCACCAGATATCGTGTCGACTATCGCGAAAATCAACAAGGTGACAAAAAGGAGCGACGCCATTTTCTTCCTCACCAGCTTGCTGGATATCACCAGGACGAGAGTCATACAAGACGCTAACACGGTCATCAAAGGTCTTACTACAAGAGGTGAATATTTATTTATTTATTTCAATAGTCAAACTATTACTCAAATACTTAAAAAATACGCAAATACTCAAGTGAGTTAGGTCTAACTGTAAACTATCAAACTGTAACATTAATTTATTTAAGGGGGGAGACTCATGTAAAATTTTCAAAAAATTTCTGCACACGTGTAACATTAGTACACGAATAATCGTTAGTCGAGAAATATATTTAGTTTAGCTGGAGATTTCTTCGTGTTCAGTCGATTTTGAAAAGCAAAAATGCCGAATTATAAAAAAGGTACACGTGGGAATATTGCAAGAAATAACACCCGGAAACGAAAGTTTCAGGGCAATCAATTCACTAATAATGAAGGTGAAAAATTCGAAGCCAGTGTAAGCCATGATCACAGTGCCAGTGGCAAAAAACTCCATGCCCGTGATAGTGAAGATATAATAACAAATCCTTTACACGGGTACAGGATAATTGAATTTTTTACAGTGTTTACAGCTTTGTCTGAAATTGTGAAGTGCTCGGTGTGTAATCAGAAGATAAAATTCAATGAGTGTAGTTCCAGAGGTCTTGGTTTTAAAATTGTTGTCACATGTCCATGTGGTAATAAAACAATAAATTCAGGTCCTTTCATTAACAACGGATTTGAAATAAACCGGAGAATAGTGTTTATCATGAGACTTTTGGGTGTTGGAAGAGAAGGGATAAATTTATTTTGTAACCTGATGGACCTATGCACTGGTTTGAGTAAAAGTTGTTACGCTAACATTGTGGAACACATTTATAATACAGTGAAATTATCATTTGAATTTCTATCGCAGAAGGCAGTGAAAGAAGAGATGGAAAAAAATGTCGAGCAAGGAAGAGAAAAAAATATTTTAAAAGTATCTGGAGATGGTACTTGGAAAAAACGTGGTTTCAAATCAAATTACGGTGTTGCAACGCTCATAGGATATTATTCAGGGAAAGTTATTGATTTGAAAACAAAAAGTAGTTACTGTCAAGGCTGTATTTACTGGAAGAACAAGACTCATACAGAAGAATTCCGTAAGTGGATTGAATATCACGAGGATGAGTGTCAAAAAAATCACGAAGGTTCGTCAGGAAAGATGGAAGTCGATGCCATGAAAGAAATGTTCTCGACTTCAGAAGAAAAATTCGGAGTAAAATATGGTAACTACATTGGTGACGGAGATTCTAAGACATTCAAGGCTATTCTAGATTTAGAACCTTACGGTAATGAGTTACCAGTAGTGAAGAGTGAATGTATTGGTCATGTAGAAAAAAGAATGGGTTCTCGACTTAGAAATGTAAGAAAAGAAAAGAAACTTTCGGGGAGAGGAAAACTAACTGATAAAGTGGTAAAAAAATTAACAAAATATTATGGTTTAAGTATTCAGAGAAATGTTAACAGTGTTGAAAATATGAAAAAAGCCATAATGGCTACTTATGATCATATTTTTTCCACTACAGAAAATCCCCAACATGATAACTGCCCTGTAGGCGTTGATAGCTGGTGCAAATGGCAGAAGGCTATTGCTCAAAATCGAGATCCTCGAAAGGAAAATTTAGCTCCATTACTTGGTGAAGATTTAAAACAGCATCTTTTACCAATATATCAAGATTTGTCCAAAGATGATTTACTTGAGCGATGCCTTGGTGGTCATACGCAGAACGCGAACGATAGTTTTAACGCTACAGTTTGGCGATTATCCCCAAAACACCTGCATTCCGGACTAAAAGTAGTCGAAATTTCAGCTTACATTGCTGCAGGGATATTTAATGAAGGTTATACTTCCGTATTAAGAATAATGAACCTTTTGAATCTGAATATTGGCACTTATGCTAAGATATTTGCGGATAGTACAGACGAGGAGCGAATAACCCGACAGAATCGTAAAAGCCTTTCAGAGACCAAAGATGCTCGTTCAGCTCGCAGACAACATCAAATAGATGAAAATCAACTTTTTGAGGAGGAAGAAGGACTGTTATATGGACCTGGAATTGCAAATTAGTCGGTAAGTAATTAATAATTCAGTAAAACTACTCATTTTCCTGTACTGAAACTTTAAACGCGATTATCTCGAAACTACTTTTTGAAAAACTGTTCGTGTTGTAGCTCAAAAAATTATTGACCGATTTGTTTGAAATTTGGTGAGGCTTTTCTCTACATTACTATCGGAAGGATAAACCTAAAACTTCAGGTATTTCTGATTGATTACTTATTTTTTTTGGGGTCAAAAGGGTCAAAAAAATAGCCCAAAATCGTAACTTTTTTTTAAGGCTGATTTTATATTGGATTTTATCCTTTTCTTTTTAATTTTATAGGTTTATCCTTTCCGTTTATATGTCCTGAAAAAAAATATTTTTTTTTTTTGTGTTTCAGATCAATGGTTGATGAGTGACAAATGAAGCAGTTTCGGACCTCGCGTCAGAGGCAGCCTACAAGACATCATGCTGAGCCGCCATTTTGAATTAAAAAAAAAAATAATTCTTTTTTTGTAGTCTTAAAATGTTTAATAAAGTTGTGTTAAAAGTTCTAAACAATTAAATTATTTTTTCACTGTAAAAAAAAATATTAAAAAATGACCGATTTCGAGGCATTTACATGAGTCTCCCCCCTTAAACGAGAAAAGAAATTTATTTATTAAATTTAAATTTAAGAGAAACAATAAATGGAATTAAATTAGTATATGAGATTAAATAAATAAATGATATTAATAAAATGAATAATTAATGAAAATTATTAAAATTGATTTTAAATTAAATTATAAACAAATAATTTATAAGGGCGAGATACTTAGGTACAACTTTTTATATTTTTTTTTAATAATTCTCACGATTTTAATTTCATTCTGTGTATATATATATTTTTTATATGGGTACTTGGCATAAACATTTAGTAAATAATGTTGGTATGTCTTTATTAACACATTTTTTTAATTAAATAACAGAATATATATTTTTAAACTGTATTTTATATTTTAGAACAAATATCTATTTTTTTATATAGCTGATTATCATCAAAAACTATTTGTATTCCAGATTTAAATATATTGGATATTTTGGAGCAAATACGCATCAAATCGGGCCATGATGATATCATTGACTTCTTCAAGAAACTGACATCTTACACCAGCACCAAATGTAAGTTTGTTTATCGTACGTATTTATTAAAACATTTTTCAGTAAATTTTTATTCATTATTAATTACGACGAAATATTAATCGAAAAAAAAATATAAATTACACTTATTAATAGTGATTAATAAATTATAATCTAATTAAAATTTAAATAAGTCACTTTTTAAAGGAACTTTTTAAATAATTCACTTTTTGTAAAGTGTCTTTTTAAATAACTCACTTTTTGTAAAGTGTCTTTTTAAATAATTTACTTTTACTTTTTGTAAAATAACTTTTTGAATTACTCACTTTTTGTAAAGTGACTTTTACGTATGCATCATATACGCTGTACCAAACACAAATGTGGCACCGCGCGCTAATGCAACAGCGTCTGTTGCACAACTCGAATTTGCAGCGTCGTTTTCATTAAATTTATCTAGGTCATTAATTTATGTAGGTAATAAACCCATTTATCCATAACCTTTAATCGAAATTTGATAATTTCAACAATCGGTGACGCAGTGCATGCAGCGAGTTAGCCTAGAGCCGATCGCTCCACGGGTTAATTAAAATCTGACAAATAAAATTTGAATTACACTCAAATAAACATACATAAATGGTCGCGTACAGCGCGGTTTCAAAGATGTTTTCCCAAGATACTACAGCATGGGGTTTTTCAAAAGGGGGGTAAAGTGGTTTCTTCAGGGTCGGCAACGCACGCGTAATACCTCTGGTATTGCAGGCGTACATAGGCTACGGTAACCACTTACAATCAGGTGGGCCGTATGCTTATTTGCCACCTCAGTGGTGTAAAAAAAACATAGAATATAGATATGAATGAGAAAAATGGAGGCGTTTGAAGGTCGCCTTCTCCGCTTCCATGTCAGTCCGCAGTAACGCCATCTACTCCCAAACTAATTACAGTTTGAAATACTTAAAATAATCATATAAATGTTTTACTTTTCCAGCTGTCCAACGAGCATGGCAAGAAATCGTTACCATCACGCAAATTAACGGTAAGAATAATCTAGAATAATTTATTTTAATATTTAATAATTTATTTAATTTAATAATTAAAGAAAATAAATTTTATAAACGTTTTTATTTAATTCATATATTTTCATTAATTTAGTAATTAAGTTAGTAACTAATACTTAATTAATACATAATCAGTATTTAATGAAATACATATATTTTAAATAAAATTATAATAAAATGTAATTATATCTGAACTAGCGATCCGACCCGACTTCGCACGAAAAGATAGAATTTCTGGAAACAATACATATATAGCCTATATTACTTGCTGATAATGTAGCTTTTTACAGTTGAAAGTATTTTTAAAGTAGCTTAAATAGTTTTTGAGTTTATTCATTACAAACACTAATTCAAATCTTTCTTCTTTAAAAAAAATTATAGATAATAATAATAATAATTTATTAATGAGGTCCGTATTCGATTCCCGGTCGAGTCAATTTATAGTGCAACTTAAAAAATATATTTTCATAAATAGACTCGAGTCTGGATGACTGGTCATACCCCATATATTCGACGCCTGGTGAGACACCAGGTACAATGTACCCTGTAAGATACAAGCTTGAAGACCAAGCAATTGGTATGTGGCTTCATCATACCATTAACTATCCACTGCTAAATATAGGCCTCTTTTATAAGAAGAGGTTTTGCCAGTAGTTGCCACGTTTGGCAGACTGGTTAGCAACTGCAATTAGGCTTTGGGCTTTTAAAAGGGATGCTGCTACCCATCCCTGGACTATGAAGAAAATGGAAAGGAAGAAGTGGTTCCCTCCATGCCAGGACCACACGGCTTAATTGTATTGCTTACTATACCATTTTTTTTTTATTCACCAGATATCTTTGAATTCTTCGAGACCGTCTACAAGTATACCCGGGTGGAGGTTCTAATATTCATCGAGACGATACTCCGGATCACGAACTCTACCAATATCAGCGCAGCCACATCTAAATTCACCAAGATTACCAATACTAGCAGTAAGTACTGATTGGTTTATTGATAGATCGATTGATTGGTTGACACTAACACTGTAAGTACTGTAACTTAAAAAAAATCAAAATTTTATTTTACAGTAAGTTTTTATTACATACATTTGAATCTTGTAAATAATTATTTGTAAATAAACTGATAAGAGAAATCATAAGCAAATAATATAGTAAAGTACCAAATAACGTGAAATAATTATTATGGAAAAAACTGTTATATCCTGATTCATGATCGTAGCTAGAAGGGGAGGGGCACTGAGGGGCAATACACTACCTAAAAATGAAAGGCCCTAAGAAATTTAGACAGATTCACTTTTTCGAACTCACTTAATTATGGCTTCTGCCCTACCAAAAAGTTCTTTTGCCCTACCTTAAACTTGGATCTAGCTACGGCCCTGTCCTAATTGAATTTATTGGTTACTCGTCAAGGTACATGGCGTGGCGATTAGTGACGGATAACATATATCAATATTGTCGTCCTCCGTGGCGCAGCGGTCAACACGCCTGCCTGCGACGTGGAGGCCCCGGGTTCGATCCCCGGCCAGGTCATGATGGAAAACGATCTTTTCCTGATTGTCCTGGGTCTTGGATGTTTATCTATATATGTATCTATTATAAATATAGTACCGTTGAGTTAGTATCCCATAACACAAGTCTCGAACTTACTTTGGGGCTAGCTCAATCTGTGTGATTTGTCCGTATATATTTATTTATTTATTATTATTATATAAGTTGTAATTACAACATCTATATATTGGTTCAATAAGGGATATGCTAAATCAGTTACCTAATAAAAAGATTAGGTGACTGGTATTTAACATATCTGAGGAACGTATTCGAAGGACTAAGTAAAGATATTGCTTTTAATGTGTATTTTAAATAATAATTTAATTTCTAGGCTTCTTCGAGTCCATCAAAGTAATTTACGACATCATCCAGTATGGTGAGTTTTTTTTTTTTTTTTATATATTTTAATATATTTTTATTTATCTCCAAAATGATGTGATTCAAATTCGACTGACTTATTAATTTTAATTTCTTTTCTAATAAATAAAAACTGTTATTTAAAATTTTTGTTTGAATAAAAAAAAAACAGTCGAATGTCAATTCGATTTTATTTTTAGATTTGTTTGTTACGCGATATTTTTAATCATTTGTATATTTAACACGTTCACGCCGGGGCCGACTTTAATGTTTTTTGCTGCGAGGCGACGCTCTAATTAATGCTATTAGCACAATCGAATACGTACTACCGGTGGTACGCGCCGCCAGAAAAGAAAGTCTAGTGCGGGCCATCGATGGTACGCGCCGCCAGATAAGCCAGTCTAGTGCGTACCGCCGGTGGTACGCGCCGTCCAATTAGACAGTCTAGCGCGGGCCACCGGTGGCCCACGCCGGCGTGAACGTGTTAATGTGATATTTTTAAAATTTATTTTTATTAACTGTGTTTCTATTTCAGATATCGTTAAATTCTTCGAGAGTCTCATCACCATCAGTAAGAGATTCTGTAAGTATTATTATTTATCATCAGCTTATATACCTATAGCGACCTTTCCGGTTTTGCGCGGATGGATAGGTAGAAGAACTCATATTTTATTAAATAAATACAGTACAATTCTATATGTGAAAGAATTTTAGGTAAAATATTTTATAAAAAAATCATGTCTTCTCTTTTTACAATATTTTTTAGATTTTTAATAATTAATGTTTAAACTATTATTCACTTAACTCTATCTACGATACATATATTTTCTAAATATTTAAATTTTTTTTCAGATTTCGATGAAGTCATTACGATTATAGAGGAATACACAGAAACTACAGGTGATTTTTTTTTTATTTTCAATTATACACACTGTCTTGGTTGTCTATACTATGTTTATACTAGACATAATTGGAAATTAGATGACGCGCTTGTTTATATTAGATCCTCTTGAGAACCTTCCTTGCTGACTTTACGTGACTTGCTTCAGCTGCTGGAGGTTTATTGTGAGCACTTAAAACCTAACAGTTTTAAATAAAGCTGTCCTGCATATTGGAACTAAAAGCAAATACAAAACAAGCTCCCTAACCAAGCTTAAAAAACAGCAAGCCCTCTGATCTTTCGGATGACTGGAATTGATTCTGCGTATATCCAAATTTAGGATTCAAAGCATAACCTTCTTCATAAGTCACTGTGTAACTTAGAGCCTTTACATATGGCTACTGAAATATGCACTTACACGGCTCTGTAAGACTATGTTTCTGATCTATATGTAGATCTGTGGCAACATTGGTATTGAGGGTGGACTAACTGGGCTACGAGTGCACTGTTCCATCTTTATCCATTATGATCAATCCAAAAGGACACTTAATAGGCAGTCTTTTAAAATATCTTTACCTCATTATTTCCTTTTTCTTTCAGACTTCATTGACGCTTTGAGAAATATAAGGAAGGCGACAGGAGAAGATGGTAAGTAGCTTGATATATTTTTTATCATAATTTATTCACAATTAATAATTGTCAATTATGAATAATGATATAATAAATATAAATATTTTCTCACTCCTATAGATATCATCAAGGCAATCGAGATTATCAAAAACGACCCGACCAAACCCACAACTACCACGACGACGACCACAACGCCAGCCCCAACCACTACCACGACCACAACCCAAGCTCCAATCACCATAACCCTAGCACCAACTACCACAACGCCAGCTCCAATTACCACCACTCCAGTATCAGTCTCTACTAGACCGACATCGGAATCGGGAGAATCCACCCAGAGTTCAGAAACGGAAAGTAACTCGGCAAGTCAATCATCACAATCCGAGCAATCAGAACAAAGTAGCTCACAAAACCAGTCTGAATCCCAATCCTCATCGGAATCTGAACAAAGTAATTCACAAAGTCAATCTGAGTCACAATCAACGTCAACAGAAAACAAGAATTCGAGAGAAGTTGAGATTGAAACGCGAACAGAGAGGATAATAGAGGAGAGAGAAAAACAACAAATAGAAGAAGAAGTCCAACAAAATCAGTCTGAAACCCAATCAACTTCATCAGAAAGCGAGCAAAGAGAACAAAGTAGCTCACAAAGCCAATCTACATCGCAAGTAGAGAAATCACAGGCAGATGAATCTAGCTCACAGAGTCAATCTACATCTCAAGCAGCCTCCTCACAATCGGACGAATCGCAACAAGCTAACTCACAGAGTCAAGCTGCATCTCAAGCATCGTCATCAGAATCAGAGCAATCACAACAAGCTAGTTCACAGAGTCAAGCTGCATCTCAAGCAGCATCATCAGAATCAGAGGAATCACAACAAGCTAGCTCACAGAGTCAAGCCGCATCTCAAGCAGCCTCCTCACAATCAGAAGAATCACAACAAGCTAGCTCACAGAGTCAGTCTGCATCTCAAGCAGCCTCCTCACAATCGGACGAATCACAACAAGCTAACTCACAGAGTCAAGCTGCATCTCAAGCATCGTCATCAGAATCAGAGCAATCACAACAAGCTAGTTCACAGAGTCAAGCTGCATCTCAAGCAGCATCTTCAGAATCAGAGGAATCACAACAAGCTAGCTCACAGAGTCAAGCTGCATCTCAGGCAGCATCATCAGAATCAGAGGAATCACAACAAGCTAGCTCACAGAGTCAAGCCGCATCTCAAGCAGCATCATCAGAATCAGAGGAATCACAACAAGCTAGCTCACAGAGTCAAGCCGCATCTCAAGCAGCATCATCAGAATCAGAGGAATCACAACAGGCTAGCTCACAGAATCAATCCGCATCTCAAGCATCGTCATCAGAATCAGAGCAATCACAACAAGCAAGCTCACAGAGTCAAGCTGCATCTCAAGTAGCCTCCTCACAATCAGATGAATCACAACAAGCTAGCTCACAGAGTCAAGCTGCATCTCAAGCAGCGTCTTCAGAATCAGAGGAATCACAACAAGCAAGCTCACAGAGTCAAGCTGCATCTCAAGCAGCTTCCTCACAATCAGATGAATCACAACAAGCTAGCTCACAGAGTCAAGCTGCATCTCAAGCAGCCTCCTCACAATCAGATGAATCACAACAAGCTAGCTCACAGAGTCAAGCTGCATCTCAAGCAGCATCATCAGAATCAGAGGAATCACAACAAGCTAGCTCACAGAGTCAAGCCGCATCTCAAGCAGCCTCCTCACAATCAGAAGAATCACAACAAGCTAGCTCACAGAGTCAGTCTGCATCTCAAGCAGCCTCCTCACAATCGGACGAATCACAACAAGCTAACTCACAGAGTCAAGCTGCATCTCAAGCATCGTCATCAGAATCAGAGCAATCACAACAAGCTAGTTCACAGAGTCAAGCTGCATCTCAAGCAGCATCTTCAGAATCAGAGGAATCACAACAAGCTAGCTCACAGAGTCAAGCTGCATCTCAGGCAGCATCATCAGAATCAGAGGAATCACAACAAGCTAGCTCACAGAGTCAAGCCGCATCTCAAGCAGCATCATCAGAATCAGAGGAATCACAACAAGCTAGCTCACAGAGTCAAGCCGCATCTCAAGCAGCATCATCAGAATCAGAGGAATCACAACAGGCTAGCTCACAGAATCAATCCGCATCTCAAGCATCGTCATCAGAATCAGAGCAATCACAACAAGCAAGCTCACAGAGTCAAGCTGCATCTCAAGTAGCCTCCTCACAATCAGATGAATCACAACAAGCTAGCTCACAGAGTCAAGCTGCATCTCAAGCAGCGTCTTCAGAATCAGAGGAATCACAACAAGCAAGCTCACAGAGTCAAGCTGCATCTCAAGCAGCTTCCTCACAATCAGATGAATCACAACAAGCTAGCTCACAGAGTCAAGCTGCATCTCAAGCAGCCTCCTCACAATCAGATGAATCACAACAAGCTAGCTCACAGAGTCAAGCTGCATCTCAAGCAGCGTCATCAGAATCAGAGGAATCACAACAAGCTAGCTCACAGAGTCAAGCCGCATCTCAAACAGCGTCAACAGAATCAGAGGAATCACAACAAGCAAGCTCACAGAGTCAAGCTGCATCTCAAGCAGCTTCCTCGCAATCAGATGAATCACAACAAGCTAGCTCACAGAGTCAAGCCGCATCTCAAGCAGCATCATCAGAATCAGAGGAATCACAACAAGCTAGCTCACAGAGTCAAGCCGCATCTCAAGCAGCATCATCAGAATCAGAGGAATCACAACAAGCTAGCTCACAGAGTCAAGCCGCATCTCAAGCAGCATCATCAGAATCAGAGGAATCACAACAAGCTAGCTCACAGAGTCAAGCCGCATCTCAAGCATCGTCATCAGAATCAGAGCAATCACAACAAGCTAGCTCACAGAGTCAAGCTGCATCTCAAGTAGCCTCCTCACAATCAGATGAATCACAACAAGCTAGCTCACAGAGTCAAGCTGCATCTCAAGCAGCGTCATCAGAATCAGAGCAATCACAACAAGCTAGCTCACAGAGTCAAGCTGCATCTCAAGCATCGTCATCAGAATCAGAGCAATCACAACAAGCTAGTTCACAGAGTCAAGCTGCATCTCAAGCAGCATCTTCAGAATCAGAGGAATCACAACAAGCTAGCTCACAGAGTCAAGCTGCATCTCAGGCAGCATCATCAGAATCAGAAGAATCACAACAAGCTAGCTCACAGAGTCAAGCTGCATCTCAAGCAGCCTCCTCACAATCAGAAGAATCACAACAAGCTAGCTCACAGAGTCAGTCTGCATCTCAAGCATCGTCATCAGAATCAGAGCAATCACAACAAGCTAGTTCACAGAGTCAAGCAGCATCTTCAGAATCAGAGGAATCACAACAAGCTAGCTCACAGAGTCAAGCTGCATCTCAGGCAGCATCATCAGAATCAGAAGAATCACAACAAGCTAGCTCACAGAGTCAAGCTGCATCTCAAGCAGCCTCCTCACAATCAGAAGAATCACAACAAGCTAGCTCACAGAGTCAGTCTGCATCTCAAGCAGCCTCCTCACAATCAGAAGAATCACAACAAGCTAGCTCACAGAGTCAGTCTGCATCTCAAGCAGCCTCCTCACAATCAGATGAATCACAACAAGCTAGCTCACAGAGTCAGTCTGCATCTCAAGCAGCCTCCTCACAATCAGATGAATCACAACAAGCTAGCTCACAGAGTCAGTCTGCATCTCAAGCATCGTCATCAGAATCAGAGGAATCACAACAAGCTAGCTCACAGAGTCAAGCCGCATCTCAAGCAGCATCTTCAGAATCAGAGGAATCACAACAAGCTAGCTCACAGAGTCAAGCTGCATCTCAGGCAGCATCATCAGAATCAGAAGAATCACAACAAGCTAGCTCACAGAGTCAAGCTGCATCTCAAGCAGCCTCCTCACAATCAGAAGAATCACAACAAGCTAGCTCACAGAGTCAGTCTGCATCTCAAGCAGCCTCCTCACAATCAGAAGAATCACAACAAGCTAGCTCACAGAGTCAGTCTGCATCTCAAGCAGCCTCCTCACAATCAGATGAATCACAACAAGCTAGCTCACAGAGTCAAGCCGCATCTCAAGCAGCCTCCTCACAATCAGATGAATCACAACAAGCTAGCTCACAGAGTCAAGCCGCATCTCAAGCAGCATCATCAGAATCAGAGGAATCACAACAAGCTAGCTCACAGAGTCAAGCCGCATCTCAAACAGCGTCAACAGAATCAGAGGAATCACAACAAGCAAGCTCACAGAGTCAAGCTGCATCTCAAGCAGCTTCCTCGCAATCAGATGAATCACAACAAGCTAGCTCACAGAGTCAAGCCGCATCTCAAGCAGCATCATCAGAATCAGAGGAATCACAACAAGCTAGCTCACAGAGTCAAGCCGCATCTCAAGCAGCATCATCAGAATCAGAGGAATCACAACAAGCTAGCTCACAGAGTCAAGCCGCATCTCAAGCAGCATCATCAGAATCAGAGGAATCACAACAAGCTAGCTCACAGAGTCAAGCCGCATCTCAAGCATCGTCATCAGAATCAGAGCAATCACAACAAGCTAGCTCACAGAGTCAAGCTGCATCTCAAGTAGCCTCCTCACAATCAGATGAATCACAACAAGCTAGCTCACAGAGTCAAGCTGCATCTCAAGCAGCGTCATCAGAATCAGAGGAATCACAACAAGCAAGCTCACAGAGTCAAGCTGCATCTCAAGTAGCTTCCTCACAATCAGATGAATCACAACAAGCTAGCTCACAGAGTCAAGCTGCATCTCAAGCAGCCTCCTCACAATCAGATGAATCACAACAAGCTAGCTCACAGAGTCAAGCTGCATCTCAAGCAGCGTCATCAGAATCAGATCAATCACAACAAGCTAGCTCACAGAGTCAATCCGTATCTCAAGCAGCATCATCAGAATCAGAGGAATCACAACAAGCTAGCTCACAGAGTCAAGCCGCATCTCAAACAGCGTCAACAGAATCAGAGGAATCACAACAAGCAAGCTCACAGAGTCAAGCTGCATCTCAAGCAGCTTCCTCGCAATCAGATGAATCACAACAAGCTAGCTCACAGAGTCAAGCCGCATCTCAAGCAGCATCATCAGAATCAGAGGAATCACAACAAGCTAGCTCAAAGAGTCAAGCTGCATCTCAAGCAGCTTCCTCACAATCAGATGAATCACAACAAGCTAGCTCACAGAGTCAAGCCGCATCTCAAGCATCGTCATCAGAATCAGAGGAATCACAACAAGCTAGCTCACAGAGTCAAGCCGCATCTCAAGCAGCATCATCAAAATCAGAGGAATCACAACAAGCAAGCTCACAGAGTCAAGCCGCATCTCAAGCATCGTCATCAGAATCAGAGCAATCACAACAAGCTAGCTCACAGAGTCAAGCTGCATCTCAAGTAGCCTCCTCACAATCAGATGAATCACAACAAGCTAGCTCACAGAGTCAAGCTGCATCTCAAGCAGCGTCATCAGAATCAGAGGAATCACAACAAGCAAGCTCACAGAGTCAAGCTGCATCTCAAGCAGCTTCCTCACAATCAGATGAATCACAACAAGCTAGCTCACAGAGTCAAGCTGCGTCTCAAGTAGCCTCCTCACAATCAGATGAATCACAACAAGCTAGCTCACAGAGTCAAGCTGCATCTCAAGCAGCGTCATCAGAATCAGAGGAATCACAACAAACAAGCTCACAGAGTCAAGCTGCATTTCAAGCAGCTTCCTCACAATCAGATGAATCACAACAAGCTAGCTCACAGAGTCAAGCTGCATCTCGAGGAGCGTCATCAGAATCAGAGGAATCACAAGAAGCTAATGCACAGAGTCAGTCTGCATCCCAATCAGCCGCATCGTCTTCTGAGAATTCATCAGAGAATGCGCAATCAGAACAAGCTAATGCACAAAGTCAGTCTGCATCCCAATCAGCTGCATCGTCGTCTGAGAATTCATCAGAGAATGCGCAATCAGAACAAGCTAATGCACAAAGTCAATCTGCATCCCAATCAGCTGCATCGTCTTCTGAGAATTCATCAGAGAATGCGCAATCAGAACAAGCTAATGCACAAAGTCAGTCTGCATCCCAATCAGCTGCATCGTCGTCTGAGAATTCATCAGAGAATGCACAATCAGAACAAGCTAATGCACAGAGTCAGTCTGAGTCTCAATCAGCCTCTCAAAATGCTGCTAATGAATCTTCACAACAATCAGGTACGTACAATAAAAGCAAGCAATAAATATACAAGTTTGCTGTACTGTACTTGTAATGAATATATATATCATACACTACCTATAATCATAATTATGATGGCGTTAAAGTCTTTAGGCGACATCACTTTTGAAATTAGACGTGTCATCAACAACATTCTTTTCAAACGTTTAAAAATAACCTTAAAAAATAATCATTAATAACTCTTATTGTAATTTCTCTGTCAACTTCTTAAATTGTGTGAAACACTTAGGACATATAACCTAAGTAAAAGACTTCCGCATTGCATGTTATATATGTGGTTTGTAATAGACGAAAATTAATGCGGAAGAAATTTACGCCACGGTATCGATCTAATTATGTGCTATTTAACTTTGTTTTTTAATATTTCAGTTCAACAAGAGTCAGAGGCGACTGGACCTACACAACCCATTCAACCAACTCGACCGACCGTATCTACCCAGCCAACTGACCCGACCCAACCAACTCAGCCAACTCTTCCAACTGAACCCACCCAACCAACTCAACCTACCGTACCAACCCAACCAACTCTTCCAACTGAACCCACCCAACCAACTGTACCAACTCAACCTACTCAACCAACACAGCCAACTCTTCCGACTGAACCCACCCAACCAACTGCACCAACTCAACCTACTCAACCAACACAGCCAACGCTTCCAACTGAACCTACCCAACCAACTGCACCAACTCAACCTACTCAACCAACACAGCCAACTCTTCCAACTGAACCCACCCAACCAACTGCACCAACTCAATCTACTCAACCAACACAGCCAACTCTTCCAACTGAACCTACCCAACCAACTGCACCAACTCAACCTACTCAACCAACACAGCCAACTCTTCCAACTGAACCCACCCAACCAACTGCACCAACTCAACCTACTCAACCAACACAGCCAACTCTTCCAACTGAACCCACCCAACCAACTGCACCAACTCAACCTACTCAGCTAACTGAAACAGCACAAAGTAAGGAGGCAGAATCAGAAACAAATAGCGCAGAACAATTACAACGAAGTAGCAGTTCTGAGGCGCAGTCAGAAGCAAATAGTGAAGAACAATCACAGCAAACAGAATCCCAAGAAAACAGCAGTTCAGAAGAACAGTCAGAAGCAAACCGTAACGCAGAATCCCAACAAAGTGCCAGTTCAGAAGCACAGTCAGAAGCAAGCCGAGAAGCAGAATCCCAACAAAGCAGCAGTTCTGAAGCACAATCTGAAGCAAGCCGAGAAGCAGAATCTCAACAAAGCAACAGTTCTGAAGCACAATCTGAAGCAAGCCGAGAAGCAGAATCCCAACAAAGCAGCAGTTCTGAAGCACAATCTGAAGCAAGCCGAGAAGCAGAATCCCAACAAAGCAGCAGTTCTGAAGCACAATCTGAAGCAAGTCGAGAAGCAGAATCCCAACAAAGCAGCAGTTCTGAAGCACAATCAGAAGCAAGCCGAGAAGCAGAATCCCAACAAAGCAGCAGTTCTGAAGCACAATCTGAAGCAAGCCGAGAAGCAGAATCCCAACAAAGTAGTAGTTCTGAAGCACAATCTGAAGCAAGTCGAGAAGCAGAATCCCAACAAAGCAGCAGTTCTGAAGCACAATCTGAAGCAAGCCGAGAAGCAGAATCCCAACAAAGCAGCACCTCTGATGCACAATCAGAAGCAAGCCGAGAAGCAGAATCCCAACAAAGCAGCACCTCTGCAGCACAATCTGAAGCAAGCCGAGAAGCAGAATCCCAACAAAGCAGCAGTTCTGAAGCACAATCAGAAGCAAGCCGAGAAGCAGAGTCACAACATAACAGCAGCTCTGAGGCACAGTCAGCTGCAAATGAAGATGAAATAGAACAATCTTCCAGTCCTGTGGGCCCACCAGTCAGGCCAGGAACTGGTGGCAAATTGGCTGTGCAGCAAGGAAAGAAAGGTGAGATGAGATGTGACATTTATTATTATTTATTTATTTGGTATATACCAGAAATGCCGTGTAAGTCCCGGCACAAAATAGGCGACCCCTTCCTTTCTCGTGAGTGTCGTAAGAGGCTACTAGAGGAGAGCGAAAGATAAGTAGTAGCTTCCCTCTTAACATCTCTGAAGCCTAACTACGGTTGCCAACCTTCCTGCCAAGAGTAGCAATTACTGGCAAAATTCCCTTGGCTTATAATCAGCAGTGGACAGTTAAATGCTGATACGATGATGATGGTCATTGCTCTTATTGATTCTTCAAAACTATTAATAATAATAAATCTCTTTATTTTCAGGTTAGTCTAGTAGTGTAGTTTACTGTAAACTATAGTCAACCCATAGTTTACAGTTACATTATTAATTATATAAACTATTATTATTATTTTTAAAATACACATTAATTAGAAAATACAAATTGAAATTAAATTAATTAAATTAAATTTAAAAAAATTAAAAGTCATATCACTTAACGATGTTCTATTTGATGATAGAACCTAAAGGTCATCACAATATTTATTTATTTTTATATTTAAACAAAATTAGATAATATTTTTATTTTATTATTATACGTAACTTACTTAATTTATATTCTAAATTTTATTTTATTTTAATTTTATTTATGTTCTTAATTTTATTAATATTTAATCTTTATTCTTTATTTTCTGTTTTTTTTTTTTTATATATATTTGAATTTTCTATATATTTTTAGTTTTCTTTCAATTTTTTACATTTATTTCATTCTTAATACAATACATATATTTTGTTTGTTGTTTTAACGTTCCAGAAATCCTGCACGCATTGGAAACGAGTATGAACTTAAAGATTCTAATACTACCAAACGGTCCAAAACAGAAGAACTGCTATTGTACCTGCGAGAGTGATGCCACACCAAAATTAGTTCCTGTGAAGGACTTGCCAGCTGAAATAACGGCAATAGAATCCTAAATAAAAACTTTAAAAAATATTTAATAATAAAAAAAATATATAAATAGAATATTTTATATTTATGTGCATGGTCGTAGCTAGGAAGTCATCGAGGGGCAATGCCCTTCCTTAAAAGGCCCAATGTCTTACCTAAAAATGAAAGGCCCAAGAAAATTAGACAGATTCGTCACTTAAATATGGCTTCTGCCCTACCTAAAAGTTCTTTTGCCCTACCTTAAACTTGATTCTAGATACGGCCTTGTTTATGTGTAATTATTTTTCAACTTCTCTATTAACTAAATACATAAATTAAAATAATGTTAAACTATATAATATATACCTAAATATAGTTAATAAAACATAAAATAGTGTTATATGATATTAAAAAATATATTTTTAATAATAAAATGATAAGAAACAATAATTATAATTAGTCAATTGTATTAATTAAATGATTTCTTGTTAAACTGTGTAGTTATGTTTATCATATAGTTGTGATTGCTTGAATATTTAAAGTATTATTACTTACATAAGACTTATGTATTTTCAAGCAATAAATATTTGTATATTTTTTGTTTTTTTTTTTTGTTTTTAGTCTTTTCTTTCCCGCCATAACAAATTACCTACCTTAACTTTCAAGCTTAGCTTTCGTTACACATTTATGTTGAAAATGCTTGATTTGTCAATGACAAATTTTACATTACTAGATTATATATTCGACGCAGTTTATGTAGAAAGTATGCGAGCGGGTTGTATTTAAATTTGGTAGGGTTATACGGCAGTATAACATTTTCTATACACTAGCCTGCTATGAATTGAGAAAAATAGTAACTGGTGGTGTATCTTTCGTCCTCTTTTTACTAATTATATTTGCATAAGAAAAAAGGTGGCAACCATATGATTTACAATTTTTATTTTATTATTCCTTCTATGTAATTCCTTGTTCTTAGATTCAACCATAGCTGTTTTTTTTTTTTAAATATTTTTCCAGTTTTTTTCCCTCACAAATAATGTTATTTTAATTTGTATAATATTTATGTAGAAAAGGATAACAATTCACAAATGAAACAAAAATAAAAATAAAAAATTATTTCATTTATTAAAATTTTATTTATAAATGATTTATTTTTCTCTTAGACATTTATTTTGTTGATTGTTTAACGGTAAACACAAAAACCAACTGTAGGTACAACCATGTAGCGTCACTAGTACATATATAATATATATTTATATGTATAAAAAAAGTATAAAATTCATGATTTTAAAATTTCAGACGACTTCATAATTACTCGAATTTTATTAACATTATTATCAATAAATTACATTTAAAATTCTGCACGTTTCGTTGATTTTATACATAATAAATCGACAAATAACAATAATTGTCGACAATAAAAAATTATGAAACACAATATTTAATAGCAATTGTACAATATGGTAAAACCTTCCAAAAACATTAAAAATAATACAGAGTAAAAAACTGTTCGATAGTCTATGACGCGAATGTATCTGGCCAGTAAGTGTCAATTTTCTTTTTCAAACATTTTGAAGTAATGTATATAATTGGCGCGCGCGATTTGGCGCCAATGAACTCAACTTATTTGAATTACTTCGAATCTTAAATACAATTACAGTTAGTTTTTAAAAGATAATATTTTTTTTTTAAATGTAATTTATAATAGCCAAGATATTGGTTCGAAAAACCACCGCGAATTTATAACAATATATACGTCATTACAATAGATAAACAAATCTTATTAAAAAAAAGAAATCGAAAAACAATGAAAAATATCGACAAGGCAAAGAAAACTTTAACATACACAGGGAACCTAATAGTAATTGTATTAAAATCATTGAAAAAGTTAAGGTTCAAAACGAAATATCAATTAACATGGGATCATGATGGGATGGGATACTACCTTTGTGAGATATGTGTATTTTATAGTCAAATACAGGCTGGAAACGACCGTAATCAGGACGCCTATATGAAAGTTTTACTCGAGTAAGTACATTAAATAAGTTACTTAACTGCGAGGTGACTTTTGACGCAACCCAATTAAGATCCCCATTAGACAAATGTTTAACGAATCCATTGATGGAATTGTTACCGACTATAAGTTGCTACAAAAGTTGTATAATATCTATATATGGCAATATTTATATATTTTAGTTACAATATCTATCTATTCTTTTTCTAAAATATTCTATTTATAAAAGTCTGTTATCTGAAAAATAATATTGAATAACAAACAGACTTTTAGCATATTCGAAAATAGATATCCGACTGATGTAGGCGGTATAAAAATGAGTGATGGCCGTTTTCTGCTGTCCAGAGGCACCCAATATATAGATACCGATGCCTAGCTGATATCTTACTGTATCGTGGACTCGCTAGTGAAGACTTACATTTATGGATTCGCTTGCCATTTGTATACAGGGTCAATCGAAATGACTTCAAACGACAAAAGAAGGACTTTGTACGTATTTTAAGCAATTCAGAATGACGAAGCTGACGGCCCACCTTATGGAAACTAGTAATCGTCACTTATATATATGATTACGATTTAATATCAATTCATTGGCGTCACTCGCTGATAGATCGATTAACAGTAAGTTACTCACGAGAGTTATACTCTTGCGAGTGACAATAAGTCACTCACAAGAGTTGTACTCTTATTAGTAACGTAACTTACGAGACTTACGAGTAAAACTCACAGGCCATGTGATGTGAGAGCAACTTACATGTATGTATATATACTATGAAATTTTTTTGATAGTACAAAATAATTTGACCAGACGCATCTAATATATAATACCTAGCACTAATGATAAAAACAAATGAACTAGGTTACGTTACTAGGACCAAATTGGGAAAACAAATGTATCACAGATATTAAAATGCGACTGCCGACAAGTACCAAAATGATAATTTTTTTTTATACATAAATTGTTATTTTACTGAAATAGCTATTATTTTGTCTAATTCCGCCATCATTAGTATGAAACTGCCAACATTCGAAGATTGACTACTATTATTACTATTATTACAAGAAGCTCTACAACCTTCCATATCAGCCACCAATCTCCGACCGTCATTCCGTCCGCGCACGTTTTGCATTTATAAATAATATGCGCCGAATGCCTACAATCACTAGTGTTAACATTGGTTCATGTAACAATAGACTGGGAAATGATCGCGTAGGGTTTGATAATTGATAATTATAAAGTAATCAAGCCTTGCGATTGAGAATAGTTCATCGCCTTTTCAAATTCATATTTTTTTCTTTCACTTCACTTTATTGCACCAAATAAAAATAATGAATATAGTAAGTTTTAATGAGAAGTGATACAAAAGGCTGCCTAATCGCCAAGCAATCTTTTCCAGACAACCTTTGGGTAGAGGACATTGAGAAAACCGACAAAGGTAGTAGGTGGCGCACTATTATACCAATATATACGAATACATATTTGTATATATATATATATATATATATATATATATATATATATATATATAGATTATATAGTTTCGAGTGTTTCCATAGAAATGCCTCGAGAAAAACTGGTCAACTTTTTCATACAATTTTGCGTGATAAATAGTTATGAGTGATTCCTTTACAACTTCTATATTTATTTTGTCTTATAATTTTTGCATATTTTTAATGCGTAAACATTATCATTTTATTCATTAAATAATACGTCAAGATACATTGTACGCGTAAGTATATAAAATACTGATAAAAAAAAAAAACGAGACAGCTAATTTGACAATTAGCTGACAAAAAGTTGACCCGTTTTTGAGGCTCGATCCTCTATCTAGATAATCTGAGACAAACTTATGTAAAAGCACATACACGACATAAGAGAATGACGGCGTAGAAGAAAGAACACAGGAAAATAGTACTTAAGGGAGAGACAGTAGAACTTAACAGAGATTTCGAAAATAGCGTAAATTTGAGCGCAAAGTTTGAGGCAGAGGTTGTTGACACTTTCTCTAAATTTTAAAAATTCTTTTCTAACGAATCCTTTAACGTGCGCTTCGATTGAAATACTTTTAAAAAATCCAATTTTTGCCTGTTACAAACGGACGACCAATTATGTTAACTATGCTTATAGAAATAAAATTTATTATGCAAAATCTTTGGCACTTGTCCACAGACAGAGAAATCAATTAGGTCCCGATATCTGTTAATAATATTACATGTAATCAAATGCATCTTAGATTTATTACTATTGTGATGTAAGTATTGGACAGAGTGGCTAGCGCTACAATAGACCGATTTTCGGTTGCCGATCATACGCGACGGAACACCAATAGAAACTACATACGATTAGCTATTGTCGATGACATACCGTTGAACCCTTGCGCCCGACGTTTGTTCGGTAATCGCGGATCGATCTCTAGCCAACAGAAGATCGGCAATACTTTATTGCGTATGTTCTTTTTGGAGTTGGTGTACAATCCGCATTGAGGGTATTACGACCGAAAATATGCTAAATATAACGCTAGCCTTAAGGTATCCATGTTTAAATATGGTCCTTTTAGGCTGGCAATAGACGTCTGGGTATAATTAGACCTTATTACAATTTAACAAAATTTATCAAATAAGCCCCAGTGAAGAAATGTATGTAATACGTTTGGAGTCTTCGTCTATGACAGCTGTTAAACGAATAGGCCTTATCAATGACTTTTTATCCGAAGGCTGAATTAATCAGGATGATTTTTAGCTATTTGATGAGAAATTTGCATTAATTATATAGTGTTTTTAATTTAATTTTATATTTCCTTCTTTCTTTAGTTTAATCCGAAGCTCGAAGGACCGGAAAAATAACGAATCCTTATATAATTTAGTTGTAATTTTACGGTACTTAACATTTGGTGGTAGCTTTCAACACAAGAACCGAAAATAAAGACAATGATGGTGGTGCTTACCATGATCTTAGATTTGGTCACTAAATATTTGGCAATAATTTTATGCTAATTTATAATAATGTATAATCAATTATTAAACTATCAATAAACGCATTTTATTTTTTTATAACATAATATTTTAATGTAATAACTACCGGTTTAACTCACGTGTAATTAGTTCGAAGAAGCTCGACTAGTTTCGGCAACAATTCGTGATCCTTAGTCATGAGCTACTGTGACGCGAGTACCAGCCTGACTGGTTATTTAACAACTATATAACATAGACGTTCCTATGAACAGATGTAACAAATCATTAGCTAAAAAGTCTCCAGAATAAAATCGCACAGATAATCAAAATATGTCTATTGCCAGCCAAAAACCTGTTTTTGTAAAACGCTACGCGTCTCTTTTAGTTTCTCGTCGCTATTTTCTTAGCGCGATCACACTATTTACTTAGTAAAACAAGACTTAACAAACTATTTTTACAAAAAAAAAAAACCAATACAACAAATTAGTCTTAGACCATGCTGCATGTTAAACCTACTTTTACAAAAAAAAAAAAAACAAAACGTGTTCACCAAAAAGTCGAATTGAGAATCTTCTAACTTTAGGTGAAATGAGAAGGAAAATTACTAAAAATTAGTGGTCACATTATTCGAGAGTACCACCATGCGATTTAAAACAAAATAATAAAATTATTATTGTAAAAAACATTGATTCTTTTTTAATGATAGATTTAAGTCTGAGCCACTTTAAATTTATTTCTTGGTGTGTTCATAACATAGTACTTTATATAATCGATTTTAAATTTAGAAGTAATTACTGGAAATGGCACCTAAGAATTTACCTAATTATCTGCAGCACCATTAAATTTAGGATGATCAAATGTAGGTAATTAAAATTGAACTTTCTTACAATGTAAACTACGAACGATTTATCTTGTTACAAGTCTTTCACGATACGCGCCATGTTTGTGGCTATCATCAAAAGAGGAAAGGTAATATTTTTCGTGTATTTGTATGTCCAAATTGACATAATGTGTTGCCTGTACTGTTTAATGGATTCTAATAAGTGGAATGCCGTTATATGACGTCGATATTAGACTAATATGGCGGCTAAAAACTGTCAGCATCTGTCACAATATTTGAGGTTAGGAATCGTTACTGTCGGCCATTTGCAATATTGCCATGTTTTATAAAAATGTTCATTCCATAATACGGTTTATGCGTGAAGGCTTATTCATATTAAAGTTTACCACAGATTTTTTTCAGTCAAGATTAAAAAACAGTGTCAAAAATATTCAATCGAAATTACAAGAAAAATTACCTCTTACATAAAAAAAAATTACACATCGTAGCGTAGTGCGGATGACAGATGTCATTTTGAACTGTCACAGTTACTATAAAAGAACTGTAGGTATTGAATGAGGTCGTTTTTTAGTTAAAATCCATGTAATATAATTTATTCTTTTCACGATCAAATGTTATGATTAATCTGTATTTATATTTAAGATTTTTTTTTATTTTAGTGAGGCGTCAGTAGCACTGTGCTATAATGCGTAAAGTATTTCTTATCGAGCTTTTATATTCTTTTTTTAATCACTAGTATTCCATATCACTGCGTTTGTTTGTAATTTTTTGTTGTTCCTTTTCATTTTCTCTTATTATAATTTTTACTAATATTCAAAAATACTAATAAGAACATATTTTGAGCTGTTTGGTCAATAAATTTGTTTGATTCCGACATAAAAATGTCAAAAATAGTCAATGGTGCCAAATAGCACGATCTTTTTAAGTAAGGGGTAATTTTGACAAATCTATTTTCAATACATTGTTACTAGAGTAGAAAAAAAAAACATACAAATAATGTACCAATTTCTGGCAACACTTGTAGAAATTGTCCATTTTCCATCCTTACATTGTTAGGTATATACAACATAGTGGAATTTTCTTTTAAATTTTTTTTCTCATTGGAAGCAACCTTGCAGACATCCTGAAATGTAAAATGATTGCATTTCTTGATTATCAAAGTATTATTATAACATTTTTATTGATGATTAAAAAAGGACCCATTTTAATAGATGACTTTTTTTATACAACTTAGAATGGCAAACCAGCTGACAGCCCACCTGATGGAAAGTGGTAATCGTCGTCTATACACATGAGCAGTACCATGGACATAACAGAATATACTATTTCACCCACGATACACCCCATGCGTTGCCATTCCTGTGGACTCAGGTGTTATTCCTTTGTACCGTGTAAATTCACTGCCATATCTCACCCTTCAAACCGAAACATAGCCATGTAAACACAACTGCTTCACGGTAGAAAGACGAATAGGACAGAGGTGCCTGAGAAAACAAGTCTAAATTCCTTTGAAACTCACCTCACTCCATCGCAGATTCATTCACATTAATATAACTGGCCCCCATGTTTTCTCTGTGCAGAGTGGACACGACGTGTTTCTTCGCATTCTCGCCCTCAGCCACGTCCGCTTTACAAACCCCACACTTCAGTTTTCCAAATTCATAATAAACATATTTATTCCTGCCCAACATATTAATATTGTGCTTCAATTCTAAATAAAAACGGAACACGTTTTCAGCATTTGGTTTCACCGGGAAGTGTTCGGCGTAAATCAAATGTGATAACAGAGATCTTATAGAGTTGTAAACCCCTTTGCAGATCTGACACGAGAAAGAGGCACCTTCGCTGTGTAGAATGTAGTCGCCCTGCATGTACACGCTTATAATATCGCCTTTATTTTCTTTAATCTTCGCTTCAGTTATGTGATTCTGATGGTTTATACTAGATATGACATGAGTAATCGCTTCGTTTACATCTTGGAACGTTGTATTGCAATAATCACAATGGACCACATCATTTGTTGAAATCTTATTGAATGATAGTAACTCTTTATCAACATTCTCAGAATAAAGCGCTGAGCGGATCAATTTTGCCACTGTTTCGATGTGTAAAGCGCTTTCGAAGTGTTCAATGATCGCTGCAAATGACGGAACGGCCACGTACTTTGGACAGATGGCGCACACGTAATAATTACCAAAACTGGCATAGTACTCGGACGGTCTGCAATAATTCTTGTAGAGCATTGACAGTTTGTGGGGCGCGGCGTTCCTCAAATGCTTCTTCTGTCGAATGTGATTGAAGAGGACCTGTCTAGGTCCTTTCAGAGTCATATCACAACAGCTGCAGTAATTTGCGACCTTTCCTGAAGGTTTTATGAAGTTTTCGATGATCACATGGTCGCGATTGTGCTGCGGTTTGCCGACGCTCGCCAAGAATTTTGTCCAATCTAAATCTTTCGGGCCCCACTCGTCGGGAACCGCCCCATCGGGGTTACTAGCCCTCATTTTACGGTATAATTTATCCGAGAGCTTAGCTAAATGATTCTCGTCGAGAATATGAAGCGTGGAAGATTCGATTGAATCAATAGACGTCTTACAAAGACCGCACCTTATTCCATTCCCGTCATCAACGACGTCGTGGACATAGAGAAACTTCTTGTTTATTTCTTTAATTTTTTCCACCGACTTTTCATCCATAGAGAACGGGATATGCTTATCAGCTTGTAAAATGCAAGACAAATTGTGAATATGCGTTTCATTGAATACATGATTCAAAACACTGTCGTATCTGAACCTCAGGGTGTAATACTCGCATGCCATACAGAAAAATGCAAGTTTCCCAGTTCGATCGTCGATCAATGACAACAATTTGTGATTGTTGAGCAATTTAATTATAACATTCTCAATAGGCCCGTAATATCGGTACTTCTTCACTTGATTCTTAACCGGTCTCTCTGGAGCTTGATCATTTTCTTCGTTTTCTATATTTTTATTTGCATCCGCGGCGAAATTCTGATAAACATTGTCCTTAATACTCATTATTATAGGCGCTACAGAGCTTGTTTGGGTTGAGAAATCAATAACGGCGACATCTCTAGAAAGCTTATCGTAAACTCCTTGATAAAATTTGACTGCAGCATCGATGCTGGCTTCGGAATTGTCGGGGAGGTGCCTAATCAAAGCCGCTTCGAGTTTAGACGAGAAATTGCGGTCTAGCTTTTCTGTTGGTTTCACTAATTGCATTATTTGGTCCAAGTTCTGCGCTGGTGTTTCACCGCTCTCCATAGCCGAGAGTCTTCTGGACATTTTGGGTAGTATTATAGGTTCAGCTACGTCCACACTTTCTCGCTTCAGTTTCGGCAGATGCACCTCTAAGTTAAAGTGCTTTTGAAGAGAATCCATTAACGGTTCCTCATCATTTAACTCAATCTCCACTTTGCAATCCGTACAGATGTGTACTTGCTTAGCATGCTCGGCTGTTAGCAACTCAGCTTTTAGCAATTCAGGGACCTCGCTTACGGGTAGACTATTGAATCTTTGTCTCTGAAGGCTACTCTTCTTTTCCGTCGTGAAGATATACTCCACTTCGACACCCTCGCGTTTTTGAAAGAACACTTTCTTGTGTGTTTCCGTGAGGTTCTTCAAGTATTTGTGTACAGAGGGTTTCTGTTGTGTCTGCTGATGATTAAGAACGTCCTGGAAGTGTTTGGCGAGACGTTTCATCTCGTCGAGTTTCCTAAATGAAATAACGGACAATTCCGCTATTTTTTCAGTCAGTTCCTCAACACTCGCTTTATCACCCATCGTTTTGAAACAAAGCATAAAATAACAAAAAGACCTGTCTTGGAAATGAATCCAAGATTTTAAGTCATCAAACAAAGCTGGGAAAAAAAAGGAATTTTAGGCCCGTACGATAGCCGAAACTCTATTCAATGGAATATTTGTGCAGGAATTTTTAAATCCCGAAGTGATTGTGATGTGTAGCGTATTTTTATTAAAACAAAACTGGTCTGGATTTTGGGAGACTATCACCGCATTTCAAGATCTGAAACAGAAGAAAAGTGGTATATTAGTTAATTCAGATTTATATATCTTTGCTAATTAATAAACGATGGGTTCTTATTAGAAGTTTTAACAATTATTTATTTACTAGCTGATGCCCGCCACCTTGTTCGCGTAGTATTTGTTAATCCTGTTTAGTATGTATCAATACCTATGTATTATGTCTAGGAATACTGGACCAGAATTACTAAATGACGTGTCGTTCTCACTCTTTGCAAAATGACTTTACTTAAGTAGGTCGTGTACTAAGCTGTATAAGTTACTATAGTTTTTTTAACTATCCCACGGGAACTCTTTAATTTTCCGTGATTAAAAGTATCTAAGATATTGACCGGGGATGTAAGGTACCACCATGAAAAATTAAATTTAAATCGGTCCAACAGATTCGGAGATGCCTGTACAAAAAGAAAAAGGAACAAAAAATAAAAAAATCTGCACGAGTTCTATTTCGCTGATTTGTTACTTTTTTTATGCAACTTAGAATGGCAAACAAACTGACGACCCACCTGATGGAAAGTGGTAGCAGTGGTATAAACATGAGCAGTACCATGGACAAAACAGAGTATACTGTTTCGCCCATGTTACCCTCTATACGTTGCCATTCCTAAGAAGTAAGGTTTTTTCCTCTGTACCCTGTAAATTCACTGCCATATCCCACCCTTCAAACCGAAACACGCCTGCTTCACGATAGAAACACGAATGGAACAGAGGTGCCCAAGCAAACTACTTTTGTACAAAGTCTTCCTCTGGTAAATCTATTTGGAAGTTCTCGGATACCTTGAGGCAATGCATTCCAGAGTCGTAAAGTTCGGGTGATGTAGGAGTAATACATCATTAATATTAATTAATTATTTATTTACTAATAAATTATCAATTATAAGAGCTATTTATTGTTGTATGCCCTTCCATAATTGTTTAGTATTTACATTATATATAATTAATTTTATATTTTCCTTATGAGACCAACAAATCAAATGGATATAAATTATGGGGAAAATTAACGTTATTTTTTAATTAACTATTTTGTTGTAGTTTTAAACTATTCAGCCCCATTGCTAGCAATATACCTTATCAGGTCAACCTCCATGCGGTTCCCACTGGAAACCATATTCGTTCTTGTTGATTTTTTTACGACAGGTCAATTGATCTGCCTTTCGATTCTCACCTACCATCTCTCACTGGTGCTCAGCCTGCATATACCGATAGCGTGGGTGGGGTTACCATTCCATTAGTACACATTAAAAATTATCTATCTATGTCATAAAACTGTTCCGACTGGTAGGAGAGGGTAATATTAGCAACATATTTTATATATTTAGTTATATATATATATATATATATATATATATATATATATATATATATATATATATATATATATATATATATATATATATATATATATATATATATATATATATATTTTAGTTACAATATTTATATAGTGGTCTAGTAATTAATATGTTAAAAGTCTGTTATCCAAAAACTAATATTAAATAACAGTCTCTACCCCATAATTTCATTGCCATATCCCAAACTAAAACCTTTCAAACCCTTCAAACCAAAACACATTCATTCAACACAACTATTTCATGGCAGAAACACAAATGGGACAGAGGTACCCAAATGGACATTTGTAGTGTTCCTCTAGTTATGTTAAGAGATAAGTTTACAGAATTGACCCCATTATGTGTTTGGTCTCATTTCATTTAATGTATATATATATATATATATATATATATGGATAAATGTTAGATTCAAGAGAGAAGCAATTGTAAGTAATGGGGAGATCAATCCCCATAGCTAGCAATATACCCAATCAAATCAGCCTCTATATGGCTCCCTCCTGGAAACCAATTGAGTTAATTCCCAGTAAATTTGTTATAATGAATCAAGTTGACTTTACCAGTATCTATCATGCTGTATGGTACCCAGTATGGTAAGTCACTATTTTCATATATTAAAAAAAAAAAGTGCCAGAGTTAGAGAAATTTAATTTTTCTTTTTAACAATTTGCCAGAAACATATTTTGAAAATATGTCATTTTATTAAAAAAAAAAAAACATTTTTTTTCTATATTACAACATGAATTTTTATTTCATCATCCCATAACTTTGTGCCATCATTTTCATTCTTCTACAATTGTTTCATTTCTTTTCTAGTTTTCTAGTTGTTAGTATGCTGTAATATTAAATAAAGAAGTGCCAATAAAGGTAACACATGATCAATAAATATTTACAATTCATGATTAACACTTCTCATTGTCTTATTTGCTATTTTTATTACTAAAAAAAAACAGTGTTAATTCACAACACTACTATTATTTGGCTGTATAGAAAAGAGTTCTAGGTAGGTTGAAATGTCCAATTCATTATATATCGTATAAAAAAAAATAAAGTCATAAACTAAATAGCTTTTTTAAAAAAGTGGGTACAATGCAAACAAAAATATTAGAATTAATCTTATAAATTCCTTCCATATAAAACGTAATATTTCTTCTATAGACATTTTAAAGAGATCAAGGTTGTCAACCATTAACAAACAATAAATAATTCTAGCTTATAATGAGCTTGGAGTTCTGGAAAAATCAACAATAGACTACACAGTGGAAAACAACTTTTTCAGACGTATCAATATATTTACATAAAGAATATGGAGCATAAAGAAAAAGTTTGCGCACAACGAATACAAATAGCGCATGGTGCATATATTTATCTTATTAGAATTCTATTGTAAATGTATTATATTATTGGAGAAAATGTGAGGTTAGAATGATAATGCAGATCTGCGTGTAAACGAAAAAGTACTATATATTGCATGTACATATAACTTCTTTTTGTTTAAATAAATGGTTACATACCTAGTAATCTTGATTTTGTGCATGGCAGCGAGATCCGCTGCAGTTTTTAATATCGTACGGGCATGGGGTGACAGTCCAACGGTGACTATTGGTGACATGTTAAACATTTTGACAGCTACAACGTGACCCACCCCCCTCTTCGTATGGGATGGTAAGTTGAAAATGTTTTCCACTAAATAAAGGTAAAATATGTATTTTCTGAAAAATTTCCTTATTATTATCAACATAAAACAGTCCTCAAAAATTATGTTTATTTATTCAGTTAAAGCGAAAAGATTCATTTGTTATATATTATATTTATTATTGGTATATGTACGCTAGATTCTTTACTCTGATTTATTTTTTAGTGGCATTTTCGACATAAATGGCAAATAATCCTAGCGTCTGTAAAAGATTCTACTATATAAAATGAATGTGTTTAATTTATAACTTAAAATATTTTATTTATTGATTTGTTTAAATAAAAATATATTAAAAGCATATGCATTAAGAGGATTAATAATTTACAGAAGAGTAAAACAACGTCACCAATCTCTATGAATTTTAAAAACAAATAATTTTCAATTGGTCTGATTATTTAAAAAATGCTCAGCTAATAAATAAAAAAGTTATGTAATCATAAATTTATATTGTATATAAATCTACAACTGAAAACTTTGCATCTACTTCATACTTTTTTTTTGGAAATTTACAAATACATTTTTGCCATGAGAATCCAAATTTTCAGTGACATTTTAATAATAATGTTTTTTTATATTTAACATAATTGTTTTTTTTTTTTTCTTTTTATATTACATCGCGAAGTTGATATTAAAATTGGTCAACTTAAAAAAAAATATTTCAATAATTCCATTTTCAATAGTAGATAAAGAAAAATTAAAACCTCAACGCGAGTATTGCTATACTGCTGAATTAATATCCCCACAAAATATTTAAAATAAACTTTGCTAATAAGATATAAACTTAATAAAAACCAATTGACAGCACTACACCAATCAGTACAAAATACACAGGTTCTACCCATTTATTTGGTATTTGTTTATAGAACTATCCTCATACTTACCATTTGTGTTTACCTTAGATAAATAATTACCAAACACTACAATGATTTAGTTAAGTGGCGAATGAATTAGTAGTTAAAGCTTGCAAACGTGTAATATGAAATGTCATTAAAGTTATTTATCTAAGCAACAAGCACTTTAATTTTTTACTCAGTGACAGTTGGAACAGCATTGTTGGAATGTCATTTTTTACGAATCTATGTTACTAAAGAATTTTTTAAATAATTCCATCTGGCGGATCACGACAATCTTAAATAGGCACCATGATAGTTAATGTTATGGCGCCATTTCAAAAATAATACTTCGCTTGGAAATGTTGTAAATATTTTTTTAAATATTAAAATAACGAATATGTTTTGATAAATTGCGTATTAACAAATAAAAATATAAACAATTAACTAATTATGTTTGTAGAATGCTGTTTTTTTTAAAATGTACCCTTTTAATTTTAAAATAATCTTATTCATCTCTTATAGGATCACTTCATTGTCACAAAGTAATCCTATAAGAGTTTTGTTTTCTGTATCCTATATTCTATTTGCATTTGATCGGCTTTAAATTTCGAAAATTTCATATTATGAACTGGCTAGGTTTTTGTGACAAATTATATCGAGATGGAAATATATTGGATGACGGCATATATATGTACGTAGTGGATATTCATTTTTATTTTTATTATATTATTGCTTTGGAAAGGTAACATGCATTTAATTTTTTTTTTTCTCTAGGTCCGTTTATATAAGGCCAGTGCCAACTTTTACAATGTAGTGTTTACTTACTCTGTGCTGTCAGTCACCAAAAAAAGTAAAAAATAAATGTCAAAAGAGTTATGGCGGCTGTCGTTGTTTACTAAAATGAAAATTATAAAAATTATTACATTATTACTGAACTACACTTAAAACAACAGTTGGGAACAGCCTAAAATAGCTGTCGGCTGTATAGAAATCGAGAACCATGGACGGAAGCCCAGAAATAGGAATGGACTACGAAGACCCAGGCGATACTACGTGTTCTTTATGTTTCGCCGAGTTCCTCGATTTGGACGACTTGAAAATCCATATTAATCAAGTGCACAGGACGCCTGCGTTCGTGAAATGCCAGTTTTGTGACTCGGAATGCAATGATATGGACCGATACGCGTCTCACATAGTAGACGCTCATCTAGTATGTTTGAAAACCTGTAAATACTGCACTAGGATGTTTCTCAACGCGGACAACTGTCGTACACACGAGCACAAGCATTTTATCAATACCTCCACAAGGAAATACTCTTGTTCTCAGTGCATCGCAGTTTTTTCCAGCATACCTGAATTGGAATACCACGAATATGATAAACATAAAGATATCGGGGATGGTGTTTTATTACAAGAGTGTTTTCCTTACTTATCATCAGTTCTGAATATCAATGCCTTGAAATTTATACAGTCATATGGCACAGATACTGTGTATGTTTGTGTTCACTGCGAACTAACTACACCGGATGTTATGGAGTATATTGAACATTTAAAGCGATCTAAATGTCGTTCGTACGTCTGCGATAAATGTTCATTTGTGTATAAAAAGAAATTTGGATTGATAAAACACTTTTATACACGTAAAGAGTGTAACAATTACACTATGAAGATACCGAAGAAAAAATGCGAAGACTGCCAAGTTTACTTTACTCCAAAGTTACTTAAGGAACACAAGAAGAATTGCAAGGCCCTAAAATGTAAGGTATGTAATTGGACGTTTAATAGTATGTACGAACTGACATCGCACCAAACTGAGTTTCATCCGTTGTCTATATCGCTGCAATCATGCAAGTTTTGCAACAAGGAATTTGTTGGAACAGTCGCTTTGAACAAACATATACACAGATCGCACAAAGACGCCGCTCATCTTTACAAGTACTCGTGCGTTCATTGCAATGCAATATTCAACCATCCCAAGAAGTTGTTCTGTCACTTTTTCACTAAGCACAAAAATTTGGAGCCGTACACTTGTAAAATCTGTAATGAAAGGTTTAAATTGCGCAAAAAATTCACTTTACATATAAAACTGCTTCATGAAAGTGTCGGTTATGTTGAATTTGACGAGAATCTCCATGTGTTTTTCACTGACAAAAAACCCGAGAAATCATTTAAACCAACAGCTAATGTGGAACATATGGCTGTATCTGAAGATCTTGATAACACAGATAATAGAGATGAACCATCACAAGCTGCTACTGAAAGAAAGAGAGTTACATTTGATGTAACAATAAAAGAAACTGTAAACCTAGATAACGTCTGTTCAGACTTTATGGACGCAACTGAAACCGAAGGCCAACAAACTGAAGGAAACCAGACTGATATTGAAGTACCTAAACCTGGTTTAACACGTAAACGGAAGCTGAAGAGTACTAAAAAGAATCAAAAGTTAAAAAACCAAGTAGTGAACTTAGATAGTGATTCGTCAGATGATGAACCACTATTGGTGGTTAGAAAGAGAGTCAGGAAGAAGAGACAGCAAAAGTTAAGATGTGCCACATGGAATACGAAGAGGCAAGTGGTAAAAGCTACAGATACTAAAAGGTTCACATGCAATATATGCAATAAATACTGTTATACTTATAACAATTTTCATAATCATGTTAATTCACACTCAAAAAGTGAAAATAAAAGATGCATAAAGTGCTTCAAACAGTTTAACTCCAAAGAGAAATTAAAGAGCCATATGGAAAGGCAACATTCGTCATCAAGATTGACAGAGACCCTTAAAAAATTAATTGAGAAACGCAAGAAAGGTTTAGGGGCAGAAGAAGTTCAGATTCCAGCAGCAGAAAGGTTCCGAAAAACTATTAAAAAAGTCAACATCGAAAGGGATTGTAATGCGGCAACAATAAAACCAATTGAGGATGGTCTGTCCGTTCAGAAATTTATCGAAAGCTTCACACCAGAAGTTAATGAAGGTCCGAAAAAGGAGATTGTCATAGACACGGTGGTATCAATAAAACCTGTCACTGATAATACTGTTAAACAACCATTGATTAAACTGACGAAGTTTGAACAAAATACAAATTCACATTTGAGAGTTAATTTTAACACAAAACTAGCCATGCCCGTTAAATTTAAACCCGATTTAGGAGAGAAGCAAAAAGTCACAATCAAGATTGTTCCAGAAGCTTCATATAATACTTATCCAAATGATGATACAGGTGTTACAGGTGATACCAGCTTTTACGACGATGATGGTGGACAAAATGACGACATTCCAGAGGTGGCGCAAGAAGTGATGCTGGAAGGTTCAGAAGAACTAAAATCCGTGCAAGTGCCACACAAAATAGTTTTACCTAACATACTAAATCTACCAGAGCAGTGCAAAGATGTACGCATAGCCCATTTGCTGCCACAAGCGCCGTATTATAAAATTGTTAAAGTTAAAGATTTGCTAAAGGAGCAAAACCAAAAGGCTAACGACGAGGTAGATAAGCCAAAGGAATCGATAAAATTGCCGGACGGCACTAAATTGGTCAATGTGAATCCATTAGCGCACTTACTAGGTGACACGCCAGTTGAGAAAGTATTTGAAAAGAATAAGAGCAAATATAACTTCAAACCTAGAGATTTTGAAACCGCCATAGCCAAAGCTATGTTGAAATTGGACAAACCTGTAGTGAATAACAAAAAAAAGGGTAAAACAAAGAATTATGCTAATGAACAATAGAAACAATTCAATGTTAACGAAATATTAAAAATATGAGGTTAGAAGAAATGTTGCCTCAGAATCGGTCCCATTCTGAGAAAAATTGAAAATTATGTGATTATTATTTTAATTCGATTTTCCTAATATTATTTTACATTACACGATTTTAAATCAAAGAAACGGGAGAATAATTTGAAGTTTGAATTCAGTGTTTCGGTTTTTGTCAACCTCTCCCTTACATCCCGGTATATTGCTTATGTAAATGTTCCCAGTCAAAATGCAAGGCACGGGTAATATCTGTACCGCTTCGATATCTATGTATTGGGCTCCTCTGTATATTGATGGCGGGAAATGAGATCATTTCGAACACTGATACCAGAAATTTTAGCACCAATTTAGATATCTGTTGTTTTGATCAGGTGCATTTAGATATATATTGGATATCCATAATTTTATATATTCATTATTAAACAGTATATAGACATTGTAAATATGGCATTATCCACCTTCTATAAGACCATGGAAAACATCACAAGAGTGCTGGTGCACTGTGTGCATGATTAAAATAAATAATTAAGGCATTTTTTTCAAATAAAGTGTAATTACTATGAAGTTATTGTTTCATTTATACCACTACTATGTAATGCCTATTCAAGTTACTGGGGTCGAATGGTGACAGCATACTCAGAGGGTCTGTAAAATAAACCTCTGCCTCTGTCCCATTCGTGTTTCTACCGTGAAGCAGTCGTGTTTGCATGGCTGTGTTTCGGTTTGAAGGATGGGATATGCCAGTAAAATTTTTGTTCATTTTCATTACTAGATTAGATATATATTCCACACAGTTTATGTAGAAAGTATGCAAGTAGGTTGTATCTGAATTTGGTAAGGTTATACGGCCGTATAACATGTTCTATACAGTGGCCTGCTATGAATTGACAATTTTATCACTCCTTCTATGTAACACTCATTGTTCTTAGTAAAAAACTTAGTCTGATAATGACATATCTAAGGTTTTCAATAAAACAATAAAATATTTAAAAATATTTTTTTTTATTACAACTGAAAACATATCCTTAATAATAGCTAAATGTACACAAACTAACAATGTCCTTTTTATACCTAAACATGAAAAAAAAAAACAATTTTTTTAGAAAACTAGATTCAATTTACAATTTCAGGTTAGGTTAACTACATTATTATATTTTTAGATTCATATCTTAGGACCATAAAATAACAAGCCGAAACATGGCGATCTAGTGACCATATTCAAAATAATAAAAAAAGTGATATTGTAAATACCTATTCCAGATATTAAAAAAAAAAACTTTGATTTTAAACTACTTTAGACAAATAGGTGGTATACACAGAGTGAAACCGATATCGTCAGCATCCTTCGAAGACAGTGGTCGATCAGCGAAACAAAACACTGAAGGAACCTCTTAATACATCACTAAGGGGGAAAGGGATTGTTAGCAATGGAGTTTGACAGCCCCATTGCTAGCAATATGCCCTATTAGGTCGACCTCCACGTGGTTCCCCATGGAAACCATCGTGAAGAATTTTTGTTGAATTCGTCACGATGGGCTAACTGACCTGCTTCATCTGCACCTATCATCCTTCACTGGTGCCCCGCCGGTGTATACCGATAGCGCGGGTGGGGTTACCATTCCATCATCGCCCATAAAAAATATACATCACTAAAGCCTAACTGTGAATGCCAACGTCTGCCAAGTATGGCAACTATTAGTAAAAACCCCTTTTACAGGGATGATTTAGTAGTGGGCAGGTATGATGACGATTCTTTTGGATTGGGGGTATTGCATGTAGTTGCCACGTTTGACAGGTGAACTGGCAACCAAAGGCTTTGGTGATGTTTAAGAGGGACGCAGTTGCCCGTCTTTCTACTAAGATCCCTTACTGGCCTCTTATAATACTTACAAAGAAGGAAGAGTGTGGGGTCCGTTCTATTCCGGGACCACAAAATGACCATCTTCCGTATACTTTCGAACGCTTACAGTTTCAACTTTATATTATAAATATGGTCCTATTTATATAGAAATGTAACATTTTCTAATTAAGAAACATACTTCCATCTTTATTCATTCTAAAAATGTGATTTACACTTGTAAAGTTACAAAATTTTCTCCAAATTATCACCCTTGATAATTTATTAAATTAAATTTTTTTGAAAATGACAAAACAATCAGCGTTTCCAACAATTAATTATTAATCTATATACAATTGATATTTTTCTTAGAAAAAAAAAGGACTCCTTACTAGAATTAATCATCAAACATAATGACATATTGAGTAAATTGTTAATTATCACTTATAAATACTAGGTTTAATATAAATACACTCATTGCTAGAAACCAAATACAAGGCGAGCTTCACAAAAACATGCCCGAGAGTAGATAATCACAAATTTGTATTGAAATTTCAATGTTAAAACGTGTTTAAAAGGAACAAGGAAGGGGGAGGGGGAGCTGCGCCAACCCCAGAATTGTCTAGTACCTACACCAAGATCTAAAGGAAAAATCACAAAAACATGGCTGAGAGTACATATTCACAAATTTTCATTTACTATTTTAAAGTTACCATAAACGTATTTTAAAGGGACGTGGGGGGGGGGGGGGGGAGCTGTGCCAACCCTAGAATTGTCTAGTACCAACACCAGGATCTAAAGGAAAAATCACAATAACATGGCTGAGAGTACATATTCACAAATTTATATTTATTATATTAAATAATTCAATGTTACCATATGCTTATTTAAGAGTGATGAGAAAAAAAGGGGGGGGGGGGCTGAACCAACCCAGCCCACTCTGCATCTTAAATACGTCACTGAATATCACACGCGACATATTTAATGTTACTGCATACCAGTTGTTACATTTTATCAAAGTAACTGTTGGTTGGATCCTTTATATAATTAAAAAAAAAAATGTAGGTTTGCCCCTTTTATATAATTAAAAAATGTAGGTTTGTCCCTTTTATATAATTAAAAAATCGAGGTTTGGCCCTTTTATATAATTAAAAAATTTAGGTTGCGCCCTTTTATATAATTAAAAAATTTAGGTTTGGCTCTTTTATTTTATATAATTAAAAAATGTAAGTTTGCCCCTTTTATATAATTAAAAAAAATGCCCTTTTATATAATTTGCCCTTTTATATAATTAAAAAAATGCTCTTTTATATAATTAAAAAATTTAAGTTTGCCCCTTTTATATAATTAAAAAATGTAGGTTTGCCCCTTTTATATAATAAAAAAATGTAAGTTTGGCCCTTTTATATAATAAAAAAATGTAGGTTTCGCCTTTTCTTATAACTATTGGTAATAAATAATATTTTGATTACATTAAAATTAAGCGCAGCGAATACCATTGAGCTTTCAAATGACTGATCCCATGCTTTATCAATATCAATCAATGCACTGTAACATTCAATCTCCTCGCACGTTACACCACGAAATAACATTACATACAATCCTCCTCACATAACATTACATCCAATCCTACTCAACCAACAATCTATTCTTAACATTTCTTCATAAATCCTAACATAAAAGTTAAAAGGAACGATATTTTAACATTTTTATTTTTTATTTATTTATTACAATGCATCCATGTACATAATATAGTTGTTACAATATTCTTATGTAAAGTAAGTACATGAAACCCTGTTCGGGTGTAGCAAAATTACATTGATAGGTAGCTAATATACATGCATTAATGTCAATTTAATTTTTAGATTATATTTAATTATTTTTACATATAATTACTCATTTTTTTTTACAAATGCTCGTATTTTTAAAACAGTATTATGCAGTTTTACCATGAAATTTGTCTCTTTTAAATAAATTTGAATGCTATCCTGTTGTAAGTTAAGCACGAATGTTGATTCATGGTTAACATCTTTGATTTTACCGTGGTTAAGTAAATAAAGAATTATTATTATTATACTAAATTTTAGAAAACATTTCATGGCAGGCGCTCTGAACTGTGTACAAAATTTCCAATATACCCATTCAGTAGTTTAAACATGACTGACGATAAAAAAATGTTAAAAAAAAAACATTTACAAGTTAAATTTAATTATAAGTTAAAACTACGCTTTGGAATTGGAATAAAAATTTGATGGAACAATAGACAAGAGTTATATTTTTTTTTGTAAAATGTATATTCCATATTATTATAGGGGCCATAAAATGATTTGTTTTGTATTTTTTTTTTCTCTCTACTAACATAGTTTAAGTCAATTGTTACTAACAAAAATGGATCTTAGTTATTTGTAATAAAGAAATTATTATATAATTTTTATATTTATACAGACAGTACGCTGAAGTGGTCACTAAACAAATTTAGACACGAAATACTAGATGACGTTGGAGTCGAGACTGTAGTTTTTGTTATTTTATAATTGAGGGTAGTGTGAAGTATATTTTCTAAATTGGCGCGTTTTTAGGATGTACACTCAATATATACAGTAGAAACTCGATTGTCCGGACTGAATCTTGTCGCTTTGTATTCGGATAATGGAATATATGAAGAGAAGTGATTGTTAACGAGCCGTTTCCCGCGGCATTGCTCGCTTCTGTGTAGTTACCAATACATAGATATCGATGTGGTACCGATATTAAGTCCCTGTCTGACACTTATGGCGGAAAAATCTATTTCAAATTCGCATGTACACAAGTCGGCTATGTATATTCATTGGAAATGGTTTCTTCTTTTTGTTATTGTATATTGGATAAAAGATATTTATAACATTCGTTATTGGACCCATATATATAGATATTGGAATTGCAATATATATAGATACTGCTAAATTATTGAATAACAGATATTTAACATGTACGTTATTGGATATACACACAGATATACATGTTGTACTTACAATAAATTATTGGGTAAAAGATCTTTAACACATTTGTTATTGGACCAAAACATAGATATTACCGGCCCCTATTATGGACTCGCTAGCGGTAACGATTCTATCAATAGAATCGTTTATAGTTTGTCTACAGGTGGGGGGGGGGGGGGGGTAGTATTTGCGTGTACGTGTTTATTCAAAACAACAAGAAGCGACCAAAATCAATACCTATTAAAGGTCATTACATGACAAACGCTACAAAAGGCTCAGAAATAAAGATTAAGAAATGTATTCTAATATATCTTTAGACACGGGTAATATCAGTACCGCTGTAATATCTATATATCGACTACCTCCGTAGACTGATGACGGAAGAAAGATCATTTACACCAATTTCGATATCGTCCATATCTCTAAATAATATATTAATTCCCATAGTGTTCTTCACTTCGATATATATATTGGACAACCGATATTGAATATACTCATTATTGGGCCAATACATTGATACAGTAAGCAATATATATAGATATTAGCATATATATATTTATCAATATCTATGTATCTTACCTACTATATATTTTTATGAGAAACATACAAACACGACGGAATGAAACCTTCAAGAGATTAGACGTATATATACAAATGTGCCTGTTATTTTTCTACAATCTTATTTAACCGCTTAAACATCTCGAACGAGACTCTCATGCGCATCAAATGTGTTCCGATTTGCGCTATCCCGAGTACCTCTCGCCACTTATAAATATTACGTTTATATTTTTATCTGGAGCGATGTCTTCTCGCCCGTTTGTATTTCATAGAGCTTAGTGTATATCTACTGTATGCTCGCTCGAATTTAGTGCGTGGGCTAGTGCGCTAGTTGACCTTGTTTCACAGAAAAATTCTCGCATTAAGTGATTGGTTGATAATCCGGATAATCGCGGATCAGTTTAACCGAATTCCGGATAACGGAGTCTCTACTGGATATTTATGACTGCGTTTCTAATTCACAACGATCAATTGAGCGAAAATATAATTCTACCTTATTCTAACTTTGTACTGTGGCTCTGTGCGAGGAGAGAGGGGAACTGGACGCCGAATCGATGCACAGTTCCGAGGCTTGCTCGGCCAGGTCTAATGTTATCTGAAAAAGAAAAAAATAACCTTTAAATATTGGGGGGATGGGATTGCTAGTAATAAGATTTAATTTTCGCATTATTAGCAATACACCTTTATCAGGTCGACTTCTACGCGGTTTCCCCTGGAAATTATCATGGTTAATTCAGCGCGCCAGCTGCACCAGCCGCGCGGGCCAGCGCGTGCCGTGTGCTGCGTGTGTAGTGTGTAGTGTGTAGTGTGTAGTGTGTAGTGTGCTGCGTGTGTGGTGCTCACCTGTCGCAGGGCGGGCGCGGCGCAGTCGGGCGGCAGGCGCAGGCGGCGCAGCGCGGCGGCGAGGCGGCGCGGCGGCTCGCGGGCGGCGCGCGCCAGCTGCACCAGCCGCGCGGGCCAGCGCGTGCCGTGTGCTGCGTGTGTAGTGTGTAGTGTGTAGTGTGTAGTGTGTAGTGTGTAGTGTGTAGTGTGCTGCGTGTGTGGTGCTCACCTGTCGCAGGGCGGGCGCGGCGCAGTCGGGCGGCAGGCGCAGGCGGCGCAGCGCGGCGGCGAGGCGGCGCGGCGGCTCGCGGGCGGCGCGCGCCAGCTGCACCAGCCGCGCGGGCCAGCGCGTGCCGTGTGCTGCGTGTGTAGTGTGTAGTGTGTAGTGTGTAGTGTGTAGTGTGTAGTGTGCTGCGTGTGTGGTGCTCACCTGTCGCAGGGCGGGCGCGGCGCAGTCGGGCGGCAGGCGCAGGCGGCGCAGCGCGGCGGCGAGGCGGCGCGGCGGCTCGCGGGCGGCGCGCGCCAGCTGCACCAGCCGCGCGGGCCAGCGCGTGCCGTGTGCTGCGTGTGTGTGTGCGTGTGTAGTGTGTAGTGTGTGTGTGCTGCGTGTGTGTGTAGTGTGTAGTGCGTGTGTAGTGTGTGTGTGTAGTGCGTGTGTGTAGTGTGCTGCGTGTGTGCTCACCTGTCGCAGGGCGGGCGCGGCGCAGTCGGGCGGCAGGCGCAGGCGGCGCAGCGCGGCGGCGAGGCGGCGCGGCGGCTCGCGGGCGGCGCGCGCCAGCTGCACCAGCCGCGCGGGCCAGCGCGTGCCGTGTGCTGCGTGTGTAGTGTGTAGTGTGTAGTGTGTAGTGTGTAGTGTGCTGCGTGTGTGGTGCTCACCTGTCGCAGGGCGGGCGCGGCGCAGTCGGGCGGCAGGCGCAGGCGGCGCAGCGCGGCGGCGAGGCGGCGCGGCGGCTCGCGGGCGGCGCGCGCCAGCTGCACCAGCCGCGCGGGCCAGCGCGTGCCGTGTGCTGCGTGTGTAGTGTGTGTAGTGTGTAGTGTGTAGTGTGTAGTGTGCTGCGTGTGTGGTGCTCACCTGTCGCAGGGCGGGCGCGGCGCAGTCGGGCGGCAGGCGCAGGCGGCGCAGCGCGGCGGCGAGGCGGCGCGGCGGCTCGCGGGCGGCGCGCGCCAGCTGCACCAGCCGCGCGGGCCAGCGCGCGTGTGCTGCGTGTGTAGTGTGTAGTGTGTAGTGTGTAGTGTGTAGTGTGCTGCGTGTGGTGCTCACCTGTCGCAGGGCGGGCGCGGCGCAGTCGGGCGGCAGGCGCAGGCGGCGCAGCGCGGCGGCGAGGCGGCGCGGCGGCTCGCGCGCGCGCCAGCGCGCCGCGCGTGTGCTGCGTGTGTAGTGTGTAGTGTGTAGTGTGTAGTGTGTAGTGTGTAGTGTGCTGCGTGTGTGGTGCTCACCTGTCGCAGGGCGGGCGCGGCGCAGTCGGGCGGCAGGCGCAGGCGGCGCAGCGCGGCGGCGAGGCGGCGCGGCGGCTCGCGGGCGGCGCGCGCCAGCTGCACCAGCCGCGCGGGCCAGCGCGTGCCGTGTGCTGCGTGTGTAGTGTGTAGTGTGTAGTGTGTAGTGTGTAGTGTGTAGTGTGCTGCGTGTGTGGTGCTCACCTGTCGCAGGGCGGGCGCGGCGCAGTCGGGCGGCAGGCGCAGGCGGCGCAGCGCGGCGGCGAGGCGGCGCGGCGGCTCGCGGGCGGCGCGCGCCAGCTGCACCAGCCGCGCGGGCCAGCGCGTGCCGTGTGCTGCGTGTGTAGTGTGTAGTGTGTAGTGTGTAGTGTGTAGTGTGTAGTGTGCTGCGTGTGTGGTGCTCACCTGTCGCAGGGCGGGCGCGGCGCAGTCGGGCGGCAGGCGCAGGCGGCGCAGCGCGGCGGCGAGGCGGCGCGGCGGCTCGCGGGCGGCGCGCGCCAGCTGCACCAGCCGCGCGGGCCAGCGCGTGCCGTGTGCTGCGTGTGTAGTGTGTAGTGTGTAGTGTGTAGTGTGTAGTGTGTAGTGTGCTGCGTGTGTGGTGCTCACCTGTCGCAGGGCGGGCGCGGCGCAGTCGGGCGGCAGGCGCAGGCGGCGCAGCGCGGCGGCGAGGCGGCGCGGCGGCTCGCGGGCGGCGCGCGCCAGCTGCACCAGCCGCGCGGGCCAGCGCGTGCCGTGTGCTGCGTGTGTAGTGTGTAGTGTGTAGTGTGTAGTGTGTAGTGTGCTGCGTGTGTGGTGCTCACCTGTCGCAGGGCGGGCGCGGCGCAGTCGGGGGCGGCAGGCGCAGGCGGCGCAGCGCGGCGGCGAGGCGGCGCGGCGGCTCGCGGGCGGCGCGCGCCAGCTGCACCAGCCGCGCGCCCATCTCCGCGCGGGCCAGCGCGTGCCGACCGCTCCTGACATCCAATGCAAATCTAATCACATTCGCCGCCAAACAGTCGGCAGGACGTCCCGGCGCAAGCGCCGGTTAGTTGAGCCAAACGCCGGACGTAACAGTGAGGAGGAGGACGTGGAGATTGTCAAGTCCTCGGCATCTGGAGCCACCCGAAAAAAGATGCCCGCGAAAGTGGAGGTAAAGGAGGCAAAGGTTGTCCTGACAACCGCTTCTATTAAGGAAATCAAGAGGCTGGCTGCGGCTACCGTTGCCGGCACCTCGAAGGCCTCGACCAGCACGGTGACTTGTCGTAGTTCCCTTGAGGACGCGCTGCTGGCCGATGCCTTGGGTGCTGACATCCAAGGAGAGGGCAAACCGGATCCTGGATGCGGTGAAGCCGTCGGGCAACATAAAGGGGACGATCGTCAGGTACATAAAAGCGAATATCGCCGCCATCCGCGAGTCCTCGTCGTCCCTGGTGGAGCGCTCGGCTACGCAAGAGAATGCGGACCTCCGCAAAACCGTGGAGAGGTTGACCACCCAGCTCAATAACCAAAAGGTCCTCCTGGACAGCACACGGCAGAAGGTGGAACAGCAGCGGCAGGAAATTGCGGCGTTGCGTAGGGCGCTGTTGTCATCCGTTAAATTCGGACACGGTGGCGCTTATGGCTCGCAACCAGCAGCTCGAGCGCGAGCTGAAGAAGGCGCAAACGGCGAACGAGTTCCGCCAGGAATTCACGCTTAGCCGTCAAAACCTGCGTCGCCTAAAACAAGAGTCGGCGGAGGCCAAGGCTACTGCGCCACCACCATCGGCGCGAGTGGCCGTAGAGGCTTTGCCTGCCGCCCCGGCCCCTTAACAGCCGGGTATGGCCCCTCGGCATGAGGAGGGCATGGAGGCGCGAATCATCAGGCAGATTGGCAAGCTTTTCAGCGCCCGATTTGCCTCCATAGAGGAGAGCTTTGGCCAGGCCAAGACAAAGAAAGCACCTCGCAAAAAAGGCGAGGCAAAGAGGGTCCAGCAGCCGAAAGTAGTTGCGATTAGCCATGATGGGTCAGCAGGCCAAGCAGTCCCAGCCTCTGATCAGGGTGCTGAACGCGACCTGCCACAACCGTCCGCTAACACACAAAGAGAGGAGTGGACAACAGTGGTCAGGCGTGGTAAGCGCCCGAAGCCGATCCCGTAAGATCGAAACCCCGAGAGGCAGCGCCACCTTCTTAGGTGACAAAGGCTGCAAAGCCTAAGAAGAAGAGGAAGCTGAGGTTGCGTCCGCCCCGGTCTTCAGCGGTCGTCCTGGCCCTCAGACCGGGTGCGGAAGAGGCCGGCACCGATTACCTGAAGGTAATGTCCGAAGTTAGGACAAGGATCTCCTTGGATAGCCTTGGAATACCGTCAGTGTTTTCGGCTGGCGAAAACAGGCATCCGCATCCAGGTGCCGGGTCCTGTTGCCGAGAGTGGTCCAAAGGCGGATGCGCTGGCGGCCAAACTGCGGGAGGTGCTGCCGGAGAGCCAGGTCAAGGTCTCCAGGCCAGTCAAATGCGCGGAGATGCGCATTTCACATCTGGACGACGCCACCACGGTAAACGACATGGTTTCGGCTGTGGCGCGCAAAGGCAGGCGCGACGAGGCCTCCGTGAAAACGGGAGAGATCCGTCGCACGCGCGCCGGCGTGGGATCGGTCTGGATGCGCTGCCCTGTGGCGGCCGCCAAAGCCTTAATTGGCGCAGGCCGGATCAAACGGGGTTGGCTAATGGCACGGGTGCATTTTTTGGACCCGCGGCCCATGCGGTGCTACCGCTGCTTGCTCCTTGGACACGTAGCGCAGCGGTGCACCGCGAGCGTTGACACCAGCGAGGGCATTCTCTGCTTCCACTGCGGAAAAGCCCCGAAATGCGGCGTCTGTGCCGCGGCTAGTCGGAAGGCGTAAGTGGCACCTCCAAGTGCAGGGACCCGCGCAAGGTTCGAGCTTCGGTGCAAGATGGCCGCAGGTGCGGAGAGACGATGGACATCTAGCAGACTTTTACACTGCTGGGTGTCCCTCGGCTCTGAAGTGGATCTCCGGGCGGCGGAAGGCGGGACACTTCCAAAGCCTAACTAGAGGTGGAGACCCGGGAGTCGGCGCGCTGCGTATTCTTGGCGCGCCACTCGGAGTGACCTTGTCATGGGGTGGCGCCGCCGGTGATTGGGACGATTGCAAATCGCAAGCCCCAGTCATCGGCACACGGCGTTGAGAAGAATACCGAAGTGGTTTTTAGTGGGTAAAAATCCCACAGTACCACCACCCCGCTGGCGGTGGGTCTCTTTCTGAAGATTTTCCCCTCGATAAAAAAAAGGACCAAGATCTCCCTGGAATTTATCGGTATTTCCGAGGTTCACTTCAGGGTAAGCTTCACGGGAGCCCGTACGTTAGAGTAGCCGGGTGCCGATACCGATCCCAAGGCAGACGCACTGGCTGCCGAACTGGGAAAGATCCTGCCGAAGGACGCAGTCGAATCTCCCGTCCGATGAAGTCGGCGGAAATCCGAATTCTGGACATTGACGACTCTGTGACAGTGGCCGACGTCGTTCAAGCAATAGCGAGAGATGGGGGTTGTCCGGCGAGCTCGGTGAAGACTGGAGTAATCCGCCGGGACCCTTCGGGTGTGGGCTCAGTTTGGGTCCGTTGCCCTATAGAGGCAGTCAGAAAACTCACCGTAAAGAACTCACAGAAAACACAAGGTAGGCTTAGATTTGAGTGGGTGACGGCGCGGGTGCGATCTCTCGACCCGCGTTCGATACAATGCGTCCGATGTCGGCTCACGGGTCACGTGGCTCATCGGTGCACCGCGAAGGAAGACCACAGCGGACACTGTTTCCGCTGCGGGCAACTCAGTCACAAGGCCGTGTCGTGTACCGCGCCATCACCTATGTGTAGGCTTTTCGCCGCGGCTGGTCGGAGGGCCGCCCATCGGGTGGGCAGCACTTCTAAGTGCCGTGCACCCGGGGTCGGCGCTTCGACGTGGTCCGCGTATAAGGGGGAAGGAGTCGATGGAAACCTAATCCTACCTAGGTGGGCATCGACTCATATCGGGTCCTCGGGGAGGACGATGATTAGGGCAATCCGAAGCTCACCAGGGGGGAATGAGAACCGTGTGGGGGCGTGTTGCATATACCCTTCACGCCCCGAGGTGGAGTTACCCTTCATTGGGGCTCGTGTCAGTGTCGAGGTCGATTTCAAAAGGGATCCCTCGGCATTGTCGTTTTGAGCTGGGAGGTATATCGTCAGGTCGTTTAGCCGGTAGGAGTCCGGCAGTACCCACACGGGCCCTAAACTGTGTGGGTTTGCATAATGCATTTTTCCTGACGTAAAAAAAAAAAGAGGCGGGGTTATCATACCATTTTCACCCATGAAAAAAATCATATTCATTTGTTACATGGTACAATAAGAAGTTACATATACAAGTATGGAAATGGAGGTATGCAAATGTTAAATTGTATTTAGTCTCAACATTTTACGTCTACTTCAACGTCCACAACGAATACCACGTCGTACATAAAAGGTTACCGTACTATATGTACGAGTCTCAGCCAGTCCTCGCAACAGGGTCAGACTCTACTGTGACCGACCCATCATCAAAGACAAAACTGTAGCTGCTAATAAACCTGATATTGTATTTTTTTTTAACGCTACTTAGAATGTAAGTGGTAACCATCGCCTATGATCATGACAGACATGGACATAACAGAGTACAATGTTTCGCCCATGATAACCCCCATCTGTTACCATTCCCGAGGACTCAGATGTTATACCTTTAAACCTTGTAATTCTACTGCCATATCCCACCCTTTAAACCGAAACACAGCCATGCAAATACGACTACTTCACGGTTGAAACATAAATGGAACAGAGTTGCCCAAGCAAATGACTTTTGTACAAAATCTCTCTCTGGTAAAAAGTGGTGATGGATCAGGCACTTTGAAGGGTATTTTTGGCGAATATCTTCATATCGCATAAAACCGAAACCGGGAAAAAAGGAAGTATCTCGACTTGGCTCACAAGGGTACCGGAATGTGGGGATTAGATCCACCAAAATCATCTCAATCATTCTATTGATGAACGGTCTTATCTCAATCAGTCTGGAACAACACCTCAGACGGTTTAGATTCCGAGACAGCACACTTCCGGGGAAGATGTAAATGAGCGATGCTCTCGGATACTACCCGCATAGTACGCTGGTTTCTTTCCCTGGGGCCTCAACCACAGTTTAAACCCCAATTGGTTTAAACTGTGGTTCTGACAGAGGTTAGATCTCCCTTAAGAAATGTGAGTTTTAAATAAAAAAAACTAGGCATAACGATGACACCAATCTTCTGCTTCTCAAAATAGGACAACCAGTGTTGTGAGGAAGGAAAGGGATTGCTAGTAACATGGACTACCAGCCCCATAGCTAGCAATATACCCTATCAGGTTGACCTCCACGTGCCGCCCCGTAGAAACCATCGTGCTGAATTCCTTATTCATCACGATGGGCTAACTGACCTGCCCTTTCACCCTCACCTATCATGTTTCCCTAGTACCCCGCCAGCGTATATCGTTAACGCAGGCGGGGTTACCATTCCATTATCATCCATTTAAAAAAAACCAGTACTGTGAGAAAAAGGACAACAAACCTCTGGGGGGATCATCCAGAACAATTGTGTTTGTGACAGTCGCCTCTTACGACACCCATGGGAAAGGAAGGGGGCAGTCTATTCCATAGAGACCACACGGCTTTCATTCATACACCATAAAAATTATGTGATTCTAATATCTGAAGGCCACATAAATGTGTTTTTTTGTATACAACTTAGAATAGCAAACAAGCTGACGGCCCACCTGATGGAAAGTGGTAACTGTCGTCTATAGACATGAGCAGTACCGTGGACATAACAGAGTATACTGTTTCGCCCATGATACCCCCCATGCGTTGCCATTCCTGAGGACTCAGGTGTTATTCCTCTGTACTCTGTTAATTCATTACCAAATCTATGGCGTACGTTACTTACGTGGGTTGTAGAGCGGTGAGGGCTTTACAGGCGGCCGCCACACGTGGTCGTAGGGCTTCCAGCTTGCCCCCCACCTCACTGCCGTCGCCGCCGTCACCCTCGCCGCCGTCAGCGCCTACCAGCCCACGGATCTGGAATACAAATATTTTGTTACCAACTTTATATTGATTTGATTAAATACAATTTATCAGGGGGCACAGTAGTTACCAAAACAAAAAAAAAACCGGTCAAGTGCGAGTCGGATTCGCACAAAAAGGGTTCCTTACAAAATAATAAATAAAGTTTAAAAACATTTTTTTTTTTGTAAAATAACTACAAATTTACGATTTTCAGATTTCCCCCTTTATTTGTGCTACGTGACATTGCTTTTTGCCACATTTCATGATTCCAGGACAACGGGAAGCACCCTATAGGTTTTGATTTCCTTTGCGAATGTCAAAATATGCGATATAAACGGAACATAAACGACCGTATAAAGATACGGCCGTTTATGTTCCGTCACCCATTAAAAAACCCCACCGACCTGGGTACAGACGTGCCAGTAATGGTAGAGCGCGAGGCCGCCGCTGTGCCAGCCGCTCACCTCGTGCCGCTCGCCCGCCTCGTTCAACTTCTCCAGCAGCGGCGCTATGCTCTCCACGTCGTCTGCGACAAGAGTACACAAGCATAAACTTATTTATTTATTTATTTAATTCTTTATTGTACACACCAGTTTTTTTTTTGATGGGTGAAAATGGTATGGTAACCCCGCCTGCGCTAACGGGATATGCCGGCGGAGCACCAGTGAAGGGTGATAGATGAGAATGAAAACAGGCCAGTTAGCCCATCATGATGAATTCATCAGGAATTAACCATGATAGTTTCCAGGGAGAACCGCGAGAAGGTCGACCTGGTTGGGTATATTGCTAGCAATGGGATTCTCAGTCTCCATTACTAACAATCCCTTCCTCCCCCCCCCCCCCCCAACTGTACACACCAGTTATTTATAAGCATATGACATAGGCAATGGGATTCTCAGTCTCCATTACATAACTGAATCCCTTCCTCCCCCCCCCCCCCAACTGTACACACCAGTTATTTATAAGCATATGACATAGGTAATCAATGGATCAGGTGGTTGGGAGCGCGTCGAACATTGCCGATCTCAGAACAGTTTATGGGGATGAACCGTCCACAAGTGGCTAAAAAGGTCAAGACATTCTGAAGGATGGCATTCAATGGACATCTGTCGGGCATGTCGCCATCGCCTGAGACAATGTCACCTCTCTTGTTGTCAGACATGTGCTTTCGTGACTTCTTCTTGTTGTTCATTTGGGGGACATAAATGAGATAAAAAAAGCTCTGAGAAACCTACAACAGAGGACTTTGAGTGGTACTTGCACAAGTGCATTATGTCACAACTTTGAAGGGGATAAAATTGAACCTGAATAATTGTACTTTCCACAAAATACTCCATCAAGAGCTAGCTCTGAAATACGGCCTCGCGAATGAGAGGTTGCTGTACTATAAGTACGAGCCCCAGCCGGTCCTCGAAAGCGACAGCGTCAGACTCTACTCGGACAGATCCATCATCACGGACAGGACAGTTCTTGCGAACAAACCTGATATTGTGGTGGTTCAATATCAGGATATGGTTAATATCAGGATACATTCAATATCAGGATACCTACATTATTAGGATACGTTCAATATCAGGATACGTTCAATATCAGGATACCTACATTATTAGGATATGTTCAATATCAGGATACGTACATTATTAGGATATGTTCAATATCAGGATACCTACATTATTAGGATATGTTCAATATCAGGATACCTACATTATTAGGATATGTTCAATATCAGGATACCTACATTATTAGGATATGTTCAATATCAGGATACCTACATTATTAGGATATGTTCAATATCAGGATACCTACATTATTAGGATATGTTCAATATCAGGATACCTACATTATTAGGATACGTTCAATATCAGGATACGTACATTATTAGGATACGTTCACATTATTAGGATATGTTCAATATCAGGATACGTACATTATTAGGATACATTCAATATCAGGATACCTACATTATTAGGATATGTTCAATATCAGGATACCTACATTATTAGGATATGTTCAATATCAGGATACGTACATTATTAGGATACGTTCAATATCAGGATACGTACATTATTAGGATACGTTCAATATCAGGATACGTTCAATATTAGAATAAATTCAATAATGCATGTAACATAGTCCAATTTAACTGTGCATTAAATGGCCGATTTAAATGTTAATAAATAGAATTTAACTGTTTAAAGTTTAAATTAAATAGTTTTCTTTCAGCATCTCAAAGGTTTAACTGTAAGCGATCCCTCTATGGGATAAGTCCGCCATTGTATATTAAATCTTTTAATGTGACCAATGTAAATTATGTACAATAAATATGTGAGAGTGAAACAACTGACCAGAGAGCACCGCCTCCGGCAGCAGCTCGTCTAGAAGCACCCTGTGAGCGGCGTTCCACTGCTCGGCGCCGATCAGGTGTTCCACTTCGACGGCCGGCAGGTGCTGCGAGTGAATTCGTATATTTATTTATTTATTTCATCAACTGGATGAGCTTTACACTCACCCAATACGATCACCCGGTGAGAAGTGATTGTTAGAAATGCAGGCTACTGTTATGTCCAGTCTATTCATGACTAAAAGGAAATTTTGTACAAAAGTCGTTTGCTTGGGCATCTCTGTCCCATTCGTGTTTCAACCGTGAAGCAGTTGTGTTTGCATGGCTGTGTTTCGGTTTGAAGGGTGGGATATGGCAATGAATTTTTAGGGTACAGAGGAATAACACCTTAGTCCTTTTTTTTATACAACTTAGAATGGCAAACAAGCTGACGGCCCACCTGATGGAAAGTAGTAACCGTCGCCTATAGACATGAGCAGTACCGTGGATATAACAGAGTATACTGTTTCGCTCATGATACTCCCCATGTAGTCCTCAGAAATGGCAACGCATGGGGGTTATCATAGCCGAAACAGTATACTCTGTTATGTCCATGGTACTGCTCATGTGTATAGGCGACGGTTACTACTTTCCATCAGGTGAGCCGTCAGCTTGTTTGACATTTTAAATACGGTAAAAAAAAAACTGTAGTGATATGTTTAGAGTTATGGGTGGAACAAAACGTTAACTATAAATATATGGTGTATGTACCGACCTGGTACCGCGCGCGGTGCGCCTGCGCAGCGTGCAGCCAGCGGCGCGGCACCCGCAGCCGCCGCAGCAGCTGCAGCCGCGCCTGCACCTCCGCGCCGGAAGCTACGGCGGGCGCGTGCCGGCCCACCACACCGCGGATCAGGTGCCCACGTCTACCGTACATACATACATACATACATACATAGATAATTTATTTGCATTACTTACAACACACAAATAACAACAGACATACAGATATATACAGTAAAAGAATAAAAAACAAAAAAAAAAAACAAAATTGAAATATTATTTATATACATGATTATGTAGTCACATACGAGGTCTGATAAAAAAAATAACCGTTATTTTCAAGTTTCGTGAGTTACGTACGTTCGATTTTCGCATTTTTTTTCTGTTATGTTGGTATGGTAACACATGTCTGTTATATATGTTGGCAATATCAGCCATTTTGAATTGTCAGTTTGTTTTTGACAGATAAAAAGATTAGTCGTGTTTTGATGTGCTCTTCGATTTATTACTATTCGAAAAAATGGATTAAAGAAACTGTATTAATCATCTGGTGATAATAATAATAACTGGGATAAGGGTAGCAAGATGAGAAATCACAGAAATAAATAAAATAAATTAAAATTGTATGATTGACTTCAATGAGTAAATGAACGATCTAACACAACAGAGGGAGACTTTGTACAAAAGTCGATTGCTTGGGTACCTCTGTCCCATTCGTGTTTCAACCGTGAAGCAGTTGTTTGCATGGCTGTGTTTCAATTTAAAGGGTGGGATATGGTGTGAATTTACTGGGTACAGAGGAATAACACCTGAGTCCTCAGGAATGGCAACGCATGGGGGGTATCATGGGCGAAACAGTATACTCTGTTATGTCCATGGTACTGCTCGTGTCTATAGGCGACGGTTACCACTTTCCATCAGGTGGACCGTCAGCTTGTTTGCCATTCTAAGTTGTATAAAAAAAAAACACAACAGGTGCTACGAGATTCTAGTGATACAAGCCTGGTTCACTACATAAGTCTTAAAATATATACTCACGCTATGTCATTAGGGTGGTAAGCCAGCGCCTGTACAGCGAGGTGCCAGAGGCCGCACGCTTCCAGCTGGTCCGCTACACCCGTGATGCTCTCCACTGTAGGGTTCCCAAACCAGGTCCCGAGGAGGAAGCTGGAACAACCAAGTTTTTATACTCCAAACTTTTTCATATGATAACATTGGATTGGTAACCTGGCTTGCGCGAGGTGAGAAGGAGAAGGGATAACAATCCCTTTTCCTCCTAGAATTGACCGTTGCCCATACCAGAATCCAAGCAAAGTTTTCAGTTACACGCAAAGACATATCTGGAAGTTACACATAAGCCTTTTTGGAAGACTCAGGCCTCGCTGAAAATTTTTCAACACTCTATTGGTGTCCGTGTCTGTACTTACCAGAGGGCGTAGTCGAGCGGGTGCGGCGAGGCGGCGGCGGGTCGCAGTACGGGCCGCGCTTGTTGCCCGCGGGCCCGCAGCAGCTCGTAGCGCAGGTCCAGCGGCCGGCGGCCTGTACCGTTCTGAATGCAAACATACGAGAATATTGCATTGTCTCAAAAGGAGATATTTTCATTATTATTTCAGCCGTGAACTGTCCACAGCTGGACATAAGCCTTCCCCATAAAAAGAGTTTTGCCAATAGTTGCCACGCTTGGCAGGTGGGTTGGAAACTGCATTGAAGGTTATAGAGATGTTTTAGGAGAAACGCTGCTGCCCATCCCTCGCCCTCCCTTAGTCTCCTCTTACGACACCCACGGGAAAGGAAGAGATGTTCCATTCTATGCCGGGACCACACAGCGTTATAAACTATATATAAACCCTTCAGCTAAAAACTAGTTTTTTTTATACAACTATGAATGTAATGTAAGAAAGACTCTGTTTTCCGCACTTAGCCTCTCATTTGGGCCGTTGTGCGTGTTATATACAACTATGAATGGCAAACAAGCTGACGGCCCACCTGATGGAAAGTGATAACCGTCGCCTATAGACATGAGCAGTACCACGGACACAGAGTATACTGTTTCGCCCATGATACCCCCCCATGAGTTCCCATTCCCGAGGACTCAGGTGTTATTCCTCTGTACCTAGTAAATTCACGCCATATCCCACCCTTCAAACCGAAACACAGCCATGCAAACACAACTGCTTTACGGTTGAAACACGAATGGGACAGAGGTACCCAAGCAAACGACTTTTGTACAAAGTCTCCCTCTAGTATATATATATATATATATATATATATATATATGTATATACTTACATTATTCGTAAACTCATATTCCGCATAGTACGGCGGTAGAGGGAACTTCATGCCCATCACGTCCTCTTCCATAGTCGCCAAATCCACGGGCTCCCCATCATCCTCGCCCTTTCTGAAGAAACTCTCGTATGTAGCGATGACTTTGTCCAGTGACGGGACTTGCGGACAGAGATATCTGAAAAGATCAAGTTAATATGTATATTTTTTAAAAACAAACATATAAAAAAAGCACGCTAAAATATTTCATCAAAACCTATATAACATTCTAATGGGGTCTAACAGCCCCATTACTAGCAATTTACTCTCCCAGGTCGATCTCCACGCGGTTCCCCCTGGAAACCATCATGTTTATTTCTTGTCGAATTCGTTACGGTGGGCCAACTGACTTGCATTCATTCTCACCTATCATCTCCCACAGGTGCCTCGTCGGTGTATACCGATAGCGCGGGCGGGATCACCAATCCATTTTCACCCATTAAAAAAAAAACATAAATATTCCATTTCATTCCAGCAGCTCACATACCTGGCGGTGGCATGCAGCGCCCGTAGCCAGTCGAGCTCGCGAAGGTCCTCCGCGGTGGCCAATCCGGCGACCAGACGCAAAGTGGCCAGCCTGGACGGCGAGATGGTACTGTCCGCGCCGCATTCGCGCCACAGCGACAGCTGGCGGCCCAGCAGCGAACGGAAGCTGGGATCACCTGTGGACCATCACACGTGTTATAATGGATGTTTCAAATCATGCATTTAATCCTTTGTTTGTAATATTTTCGCCATCATTATATCAGCCTTCATCCGTCCACTGTTGGGGGGAAAGGGATTGTTAGCAATAGAGTTCGACATTGCTAGCAATATGCCCTATCAGGTCGACCTCCACGTGGTTCCCCCTGGAAACCATCGTGAACAATTCTTGTTGAATTCGTCACGATGGGCTAACTGACCTGCTTCATCCTCACCTATCATCCTTCACTGATGTCCCGCCGGTGTATACCGATAGCGCGGGTGGGGTTACCATTCCATTATCACCCATAAAAAAAAACTGTCCACTGCTGAACATAAGCCTCTCCTTTAGGAGTTTTGCCAGTAGTTGCCACGCTTGGCAGACGGATTAGCAATCGCAGATAGGCTTTAGAGATGTTTTAAGAGGGACGCTGGTGCCCGTACCTCGTTCTCCCTTAGTCGGCTCTTACGACACCCACGGGAAAGGAAGGGGTGGCTTATTCTATGCCAGGACCACACGGCCAACATAATTTTTGTAATGTAATATTCGCATTAAAGTCCTACCGCGACGCGCGGTATCAGCTGTGCAAGGTCAACGACACGAGCGTACGAAAACTACCTACGTAGAAGCGTCGTTGACCGCGCGCTGTAGGCATCACGCGTCGTGTGGATCGTAAAGTTTCAAATACATTGCGCGGCGTCAACACTATGAATCGTTAATTATATGGCTGCGGTGGATTTCCGGTGGGAAAAGAATCTGCCATCTGATTCAGAGCATTCATCTAAATCAGCTGTTCTCGTTATAGCCAAACTGTCCCTCCCACCCTGTATACCGACCGGAGGCCTGGGCGAGCAGGGCGGCGGCGTGGAGGTCGCCCCGCTGCACGCTGAGGCTGCAGGCGCGCCGCAGCCGCCCGCCCACCACCAGCGTCCACACGCGCTGGCTGTGACACTCGCTCTCTGCAACAACAGTTCAAAACACGAATTCAAAAACAACTACTACAGTCGTGGGGGAGAAGGGAATTGTTAATAATGAGATTTAACAACCCCATTGCTAGTAATATACCCTCTATCAGGTCGACCTCCACGCGGTTCCCCCTGGAAACCATCATGGTAGAATTGTCCGACCTGCCTTTTCATCCTCACCTATCATCCCTCACTGGTGCCCCGCCAGCGTATACCGATAGCACAGACGGCGTTACCATTCCATTAGCATCCATTAAAAAGACCTAATGACTCACCATCGTCGGTGTCTCCTTGCGTCGGCTGGGCGAGTTCCCGCTCGGTCACGCCGGAGACCGCTTCCGTCAACCATTCCAGCAGTTTCTTGTGACGCTTCACTATAGACTGGACGTCATTTCCGGGTATGCCTGTGAAAAAATGGTAAAATGCATTATTATTATTATTTCAGCCGTTAACTGGCCAGTGCTGGACATAAGCCTTCGCCATAAGGGTAGTGTTACTAGTAGTTGCCACGCTTGGCAGGCGGATTGGCAACCGCAGTTAGACCACTAGATGAAGTGACGACTTCAAATGCATTGCATGCAGTTCTTTATGTCAGTCTATCGTAAAGGCCTATGTCCAGCAATGGACGGATATTGGCTGAGATGATGATGGTGATGATGATATAATAATCATATACATAGTTATTTTATAAAAAAAAATTATACCACTGAGGTGGCAAACAAGCATACGGCCCACCTGATGGTAAGCGGTTACCGTAGCCTATGAACGCCTGCAATATCAGAGGTATTACGCGCACGTTGCCGACCCTGAAGAAACCTCTTTACCCCCCCTTTTAAAAATAGAATAATAACAATAATAGTACTATATGGGATAGAGATATAGATCTGTGTGGTCCCGGCGTAGAATAGGCCACCGTTTCCTTTCCCGTGTGTGTCGTAAGAGCCGACTAAGGGTGGGCGAAAAATGGACAGCAACGTCCCTCTTAAAACATCAACTACAGCCTAACTGCGGTTGCCAAGCCGGTCGTTCGAATTTTTCGTTAAAATTTTCTTTTTAATAAAAACAATCCAAACTCACCGTCATTGTCGAGATCGTCGCCCCAGAGCGCCTCGCACAGCTTCCACACCTCGTAGCAATACGCGCCGGACACGCCGAACTGTTCAGGACAATCAATTTAATCATTAAGGTGACAGCTGGTTACAAAATTAACATATATTGGAGTCTGTTAAGATTAATTTGTAATCTGTTGCCTTGTTATAAATAAATAAATATAGACTGGAAAGGAGATAGGAAAGGAAAGGAGTGGAGAAAGAGAGGAGGGGATGAGACGAAAGAAGAGGAGAGGCGTGGAAAAGATAGAAAAGGTGAGGAAATAAGGAACAATGAGAGGAAAGGATGGACATGTTTTTTTCTATTATTTATTGTGCATAACACCGACCTCCACTGTGTAGTCCTTGAAGGCGGCGGCGTCCCTCAGCTGGTGCTGCAGCAGCTGGCGGCGGGCACGAGGTTCAGATCGCACCCGCAGCTGAGGACAGCGCTCCGGTCCGGACCTGGCACTCTCCGGGCTGTCAACCGGCTCAGAAAATTCCAGCAGCGTCGCCAGGTGGCGGGTCAACGCCTCCTGCGGATAACGCACTACATTCGCAACTAGCTTTCGACATTTCTTTTCTATGATTAGCTTTTTACCTGTTATTTCGTACGCTTCTAGATGGCGTAACGTGGTGAAATATACACCAGAGGGCTTACCATCAAAAGTTTTCCGAAATTTCGGGGACGAACGAAACAGAAATTTGATGTTAAAATTACATAATACATGGCGTTTAAAATTATTAAAAATGTTAAAATATCGTTCCTCTGGACTATTAGGGTAGGATTTATGATGAACGAAACGTTAAGCTCCATTTACTGGCACGATTTCGGTACGAACAAAAATACGAAATTGAGCCCGAAAATTCGGAATTTCATTTCATGGTAGACCGCCAGTATTTAAGTTAGACCTACAGGGATACAGTTACAAACTGCCTGTAAAAGGTTGCCTGGAAGAGATCACTATTTAGCGATAAGGCCGCCAACTGTAGCCTCTTTATCTTGCTTTTATGCAATTATTTATTTATTATATTTGTGTACATATTGTTAATCTTTATAAACTGTATCATTCTTTGAAGGAAACAAAGAGTTTTTATACATTCAAAAATATAATTAATAATTTAACGCTGTTCGCCAACTGCTTTAAACATGCAAATGTTTTTATGCAACTTAGAATGGCAAACAAGCTGACGACTCACTTGATGGAAAGTGGTAACCGTCGCCTATAGACACGAGCAGTACCGTGGACGTAACAGAGTATACTGTTTCGCCCATGATACCCCCCCATGCGTTGCTACTCCTGAGGACTCGGGTGTTATTCCTCTGTACCCTGTAAACTCACTGCCATATCGTACCCTTCAAACCGAAACACAGCCATGCAAACACATCTGCTTCACGGTAGAAACACGAATGGGACAGAGGTACCCAAGCAAACGACTTTTGTACAGTCTCCCTCTGGTTTTACTCTCTCTAGTTTTATCTGTCATTTGAGTTTGCAATATTAGAGATATGTTTATAAATAAAATATAAGATTTATTAAAAATCATGCCTCTATTTCTTAATCTAACCATATCAACAAAGCCATAGTAAGTTAAATTTGACTCAGCGCCTCGTAAAATACTGCTTCTTTAAATTGAATGGTTTTATTTTATTTTTTATTTTAGTAGGTTGTATAAACCATGTTGTATTAACCTACATGTTACAATCAATAAAATATCAAAGTAATAAATCTACCAGAAGTAAGAAATCTACCAGTTTGCCATTCTAAGTTGTATAAAAAAAAAACACACAATATGGCGTGTGCTGGATTCTTCCCAAAGCGATACTAGATGTCGCTACGTGTCCATTTACATAAATAAAACACTGACAGTTCCAGTTTTGTACGTTTTTGCTGTATTAGTTTTTTTTTTTTATTTTTTAGCATAAATAAAAAAATATACAAGAGAGGTTTTCTGTTTAATGGGTGATAATGGAATGGTAACCCCAGCCGACCTGCTTCATCCTCGCGTATCATATCCCTCACTGGTGCCCCGCCAGCGTATCACCGATGGGTTATCTCACCTGCACGTAGCCGCCGTCGGCCGCGCCGACCGCGAGCCGCGCCAGCACGGGTTCGCTCCAATCAGCCGCCGCACGCCCGCGCACATACCGCCACAGTTCCGACATGGCAGCCGCTGCAACGACACATACGAACATTGTTAGCAATACATTTTTTTTTTACAACACAGGGGGCAAACGAGCATGCGGCTCACCTGATGATAAGTGACTACCGCCGCCCATGATCACCCACAACACCAGCGGCATTGCAGGTGTGCTGCCGGCCTTTTAAAAAGGAATATACTCTTTTCTTGAAGGTTATGTTGTCGTATCGGTTCGGAAATACTGCTGCTGGAAGTTGATTCCAAAGAATGGTTGTGCGTGGAAGAAAGTGCCTTGAAAAACGCACGGTGGAAGACCGCCACTCGTTCAGATGATTGGGATGAAACTTTAGTTTGTGGCGGGTTGTATGGTGGTGAAAATCAGCAGCAGGTAAATCATACATCCACACAGCTCGACCTCTTCGCGGTTTACCCTGGAGATTATCTTGTTCGATTCCAAGCGTATCCATCACGATAGACTAACCGACCTGCCTATTTATTCTATTTTGCCAGAGAGAGACTTTGTACATAAGTCGATTGTTTGGGTACCTCTGTTCCAATCGTATTTCAACCGTGAAGCGGTTGTGTTTGCATGGCTGTGTTTCGGTTTGAAGGGTGGGATATAGCGTGAATTAACAGGGTACAGAGGAATAACACCTGAGTCCTCAGGAATGGCAACGCATGGGGGGGTATCATGGGCGAAACAGTATGGAAAGTGTATTGCTGGCAATGGGTCACTGATAGACTCCATTACTAACAATCCCTTTTGCCTCCGGACTACCTGATATACGACTAGATATGTTGCTAGCAATACGATTGTTAGACTCCATTATACTAACTGCGAGGCAAATCCTGGAGGCCTTCGTAGGTGGCGAGGTAGGCGATGGTGCCGGCTGGACCGAAACTGACGCGGCTGTGGCGGCTGCGGCAGATCGACATGTCGGCGATGCACGCCGCGTCCAACTTGCCTGTGGGAGGAGAAATTTACAGACATTATTTTTAATGCATATGAATGAGCAAATGGCCCATCTCAAGAGAAATGGTCATCACCGATTTGTACATACCTTTACTTCCGTTTTCAAATTTATTAATTTACTAGACTGTAAGTTATTCAAATTTCGTTATTTATGTCCACGGTACTGCTCACGTCTATAGGCGACGGTTACCACTTTCCATCAGGTGGACCGTCAGTTTGTTTGCCATTCTAAGTCGTATAAAAAAAAATTATAACTGTAAGCTTCCTAAAAATAATAAATAAAATACTGCGTTAGGTTGACTGGAAGAGATCTCTTTTAGAGACAAGTTCACCTTTGCTAACATTAGCTGTTATTAACTTCTTGTTGTTACTGTATGTTATATATATACATATATGAAATTTTGTGTGCATATTGGGTAGGTCTGAGAATCGGCCAACATCTATTTTTCATACCCCTCAATCATAAGGGTGACCCACACTTAATTTTGTTTTTATTTTTTGTCATTTTTTTTATGCTTTATCATTGAAAAATACATACTACTTCAAATTTTCGTGATTTTTATATTACGTAATAGGGTTGCAAGATGGCAATCGAATATAATAATTGTAGTACGATATATTTTCATGTATAATTCTAGAAGTAATGTATATGGTAAAACAACGTTTGCCGAGTCAGCTAGTAAATATATAATAGTAATAATGTATGTATGTACCGGCTATGGTCTCCTTAAAAGGCGGCACCTTCCTGTGATACTTCAGCACTATGGTGTAGGGACGGACTATGAGAGGCTTCATAGGCACCTCTGAAACATAGAATACAATAAATTACAAGAAACATGGTAAATGTATAGATGTTAACAACAGGTATAAGTCCTCATATTTCGCCATAATTAGGTATGAAAAATTTTAAAATTTAAAAAAATAAATGTTAATTAAATGAGTCATTATAATTCGTAATGTTATTAATGGCTGTGTTTCGGTTTGAAGGGTTATGGCGTGAATTTAATGGGTGAATGAGTCATTAAAATTCGTAATGTTATAAAAAAAAATCAAAAATGTCGAACACTTGTCAACAATAAAAAAAGAAAGAAATGTCACTGTCAAATCGTGGACTATATGATAATAGCTGCATTGTATAACGATAGGTGATTCAAGTAGGTAAACGATTTTGTATTAAACTTAAATCATTGGTTAACCAAACCTGATTGCTGACCTTCGGTGTAAGCAGGCGGCGTGATGTCGAGGTAGGGCTCCGGTGCCGGCCCCGTAGTAACCGGCAGGTCCTCTGTGGGTACCGCCAGCGGTACTTGCTGGTCCCCGGTCGACACCGACACGTCGTCGTCCATTTCTGTTTGGCATACATAAGAATAAATGACATTTAAAAAAATCGAACGCTCGAATGGCTGAACGTACCCATTTTTTTTTTAAATATAATTGTCCACTGCCTATGTACACAAAACGTATGACTGCCTATTTTTATTTTTAAACTAGCTGCTCGTCCCGGCGTTGCACAGGGGGACATTTTAAACAATCATCTCGAAGAAGATTTTCAAAATAATGCTCACATTTCCAAGCATGTTTGAGAAAAATAAAATATTACCTATATTTATTATACCTATAGTTTTTGAATGATAAATAAACATGAATCCGCCTGTGCTATCGGTACACGATAGCGAAGCACCAGCGAGTCCTTCCTTATGACAGTCTGGGGAAGGCCTATGTCCAACAGTGGACCTATAACGGTGGAAATGATGATGAAGGTGACATACCTATATCTGCGTAGAGGGATGCCTTCATCAGTTGAACATTATGACTCTGGCGGTGCTCCAGCCGCGCCAGCTCGCTAGTCGGACTCTTCACGCCGTACGCCGCTGGGGGTGGACAGTAAATATAAATGTTATATACATGTCACGAAAATATATACATACTTTTTTTAATGCAAGTTAGAATGTCAAACAAGCTGACAGTCCACCTGATGGAAAGTGGTGACCGTCGTCTATACACATGAGCAGTACCGTGGACATAACAGTGTATACTGTTACGCCCATGATACCCCCATGCGTTGTCATTCCGAGGACTCAGGTGTTATTCCTCTGTACCCAGTAAATTCACGCCATATCCCACCCTTCAAACCGAAACACAGCCATGCAAACACAACTGCTTCACGGTTGAAACACAATATACATACTTACTGCTAACTATAGGAATAGGCTAACTATAGGTGACGGTTACCACTTTCCATCAGATGGGCCGTCAGCTTGTTTGCCATTCTAAGGTGCATAGAAAAATAATAACAAAAAAAATGTTAAAATTGTATATAAAAAATACTTTTTACATACCTCTGTTTTCTTGGTATAGGCTCGGCGCTTCTGTGTTGTCTTCTGTCGTGTCCATTTCAAAAGCTGTAACAAAATAAGGAGTTTACACAGATATAATATTGGATGTTAGAGGGCGCCACTCTCCCACACGGTCACCATTACAAGTTATATCAACTTTTTTATACAACTTAGAATGGCAAACAAGCTGACGATCCACCTGATGGAAAGTGGTAACCGTCGCCTATAGACATGAGCAGTACCATGGACGTAACAGAGTATACTGTTTCGCCCATGACACCCCCCATGCGTTGCCGTTCCTGAGGACTCAGGTGTTATTCCTTTGTACCCAGTAAATTCACAGTCACATCCTACCCTTCAAACCGAAACACAGCCATGCAAACACAACTGCTTTACAATTGAAACTATCAACTTCCAGCAGCAGTATTTTAAAAAACAATGTCCTTTTCTCATCCGTGTGCCATATTAACACAAAATGGTCACACACACTCATTATAAGTGATTAAGTATTGGCATAGTTTTTAAGTATACTTACTAATAAAAATGTACCCAAGTTGTCTAATAGTACATAACTGCAGCGGCCAGCAACCGAGGCATTGATGGACGAACGTGCAAATGTGGGCCGAGACGTAGCCGAGGCACACATATGTGAGTCCATTAATGCATAGTTGTGGCCAAGGCTATACAAGCCAAGTACTTTTCTCAAACAATGCGCGTAAATCAAAAACACAATTTTACTTTTTAAGTTCAATGACGAATAACGAACAATAATAATTTTTCACGCGCCATAATGTTCCTTTGTTTTTTTTTTTCAATGAACAGCTTTCTATTTGCGAGCCAGTTCGAAATTTAAATAAAACTTATTATTAGTTACCTCCTCGGTAGCCATGTTCCGAAGTAAAAGGTCATTCCATTTTTAAATTACAGGACAGATATGAGTTTACATAGTAATTCATCTGGCCGCAAAACACGACAGATATGGATTTTCATACAACTTTTGCCGGCCGCTGCCCGCATGTATCTGGCCAGTACGGCAATTTTGATTTATCTCTATGAGGATTGTCAAAATAATGCTCACATTTGCAAGCATGTTTGAGAAAATAATATTAGTAGAGAGAGCGCTGACCTGTGCCGGCGCCGAGCACGTGCAGCGAGGAGCGGTGCAGCGCCGGCAGCTCGGCCGCCACCACGCCCGCCCCGCCCAGCCCCGCCGCGACCGCCGCGACCGCCGCGACCGCCGCCGGCTTAGAGACTGCCGCCGGAACACAAGTAACATACATACATACTTTTTAATTACTAGTACCGCATTCGAGTATTCTGACACTTCCCTATAGTTTCGCGTTTGCTAACATTGTTATTAACTTATTGTTGTTACTGTATGTTTTAGTGCAATAAAGAATATATAATAATATCTAATATAAAAAAAATGTGTGTCGCGGTGTTCGTTACCAAACTCCTCCGAAACGGCTTTACCGATTTTTATGAAATTTTGTGTGCATATCGGGTAGGTCTGAGAATAGGCCAACATCTATTTTTCATACCCCTCAATGATAAGGGTGACCCACCCCTAAATATTTTTTTGACATCATAATTTCAGCCATTATCCGTCCACTGCTGGACATACTCCTCTCCCCATAGACCGCTATAAGGACTAGTCCTGAGCCACCTGCATCCACTGACTCTTTTTTTTATACAACTTAGAATGGCAAACAAGCTGACAGTCCACCTGATGGAAAGTGGTAACCGTCGCCTATAGACATGAGCAGTACTATGAACATAACAGACTCCCTGCAATACATTTAAGCCCGTCACTCCGTCTAGTGAAGGTCGTCGTACACTACGTTTGCCCGTACGGGGTCGCCATTCAAGAACCTTTCATCCGCATCTGTAGCCGGTTTCCTTTCCATTGCCACTTCAGCTTGTCCCCAATTAAATGTTTCATGCCATTTACATATCAGATATCTCTAAGTAAAATATCCCACGGGACAGCAACTAGACAGCAATTGTACTCACCAGGGGCCGCCGTCTGTAGGCTCTGCTGGTTGACCAGCTGCCGCTTCAGGACTTCGGGTGTGATGTCATCTTCCTCGTCGGAATCGGTCAGGCCGTATTTGCTAAAATGCTCCACCTGTTGGAACGAATTTAACAAATTAAATGAGTAAATATATTAGTAAACGTTTCAACGTGAAATGAATATAGTTTATTCACTATTGTTACAAACTAGCTTTCACTCTCTGTTTTTTTTTTTAATAAACTTAGAATGGCGAACAAGCCTACGGCCCACCTGATGACAAGTGGTAACCGTCACCCATAGACACAAGCAGTACCATGGACATAACAGAGTATATTGTTTCGCCCATGATAATACTCTATACCCTGTAAATTCACTGCCATATCCCACCCTTCAAACTGAAACACAGCCATGCAAACACAACTGCTTTACGGTAGAAATACGAACATGAATGTTTTCCATTACATACAGTATCTTGTACCCCAAATTACATAGCGAATGGGTTAAATCATTAGGATGTAACAAACAACTCATTTTCACATCCTTAATTATATACAGAAATAAGGCCCCAGGGGTAGGGATTGTTAGTAATGGAAACTAAAGGCCCCATTGCTAGCAATATATCCAACTAGGAGGACCACCACATGGTCTTTCGGTATATTCATCACGATGGGCAAACTGACCTACTTCATCCTCACCTATCATCTCTCACTGGTGCCCCGTCAGTGTATACCGATAGCGCAGGTAACAGCGGGGTAACATTCCAATATCATCCATTAAAAAAGAAATGTGATTGCACTCACCCGAAACACCCAACTTCCAGTCTGCGGTCTGTACTCAATAAATTTGGTGTCGTGCTTGTCGCAGACTCGACGCAGCTTCCCTTCGTAGTCCATTTTTATTAACCTGTAAACGGAACAAGAAGTGAGACATGCATTACAGATGAAGTATTAACCACAACCACACAACCAAAATATAAACCAAACACAAACAAATAAAAAATTTACCAGAGGGAGACTTTGTACAAAAGTCGATTGCTTGGCTACCTCTGTGCCATTCGTGTTTCAACCGTGAAGCAGTTGTGTTTGCATGGCTGTGTTTCGGTTTGAACGGTGCGATATGGCAGTGAATTTACAGGGTACAGAGGAATAACACCTGAGTCCTCAGTAATGGCAACGCATGGGGGGTATCGTGGGCGAAACAATATACTCTGTTATGTCCACGGTACTGCTCATGTCTATAGGCGACGGTTACCACTTTCCATCAGGTGGGCCGTCAGCTTGTTTGCCATTTTAAGTTGTATAAAAAAAAATGCACCAACTGACCTGCCTTTTCATCGTCACCTGTCATCCCTCACTAGTTCCCAGTTATTGTATACCATTACCGCTGGCTGGGTTACCATTCCATTATCATCCCATAAAAAACTAATTTGTGCATTTAAAAATTGAAGATTAATTAATTAAGGTTAATTCAATTAAATAAGATTGCCTGCAAGAGATCACTCTTAGCGATAAGGCCGCCCATTGTTTCCTCACTGTGATCATTTCTTGTAATTGTTTGTATCTATAATAAGTTTACTATTGTAATCTTATGGAGGGAACAATAAAAAGTATCTATTTGATAGCTAATAAATGATATTCCTTTTTAAAATGCCGGCAGCACACCTGCAATGCCGCTGGTGTTGTGGGTGATCATGGGCGGTGGTAGTCACTTACCATCAGGTGATCCGCATGCTCGTTTGCCCCCCCCCCCCGCGTGTTACACAAAAATAAATGAAAATCCAACTGTATTACTACCTATCCGGGTCGGTGATGGCCCGCCGCTCGGTCTTGTCCCGGGGCCAGACGCGGTCCAGGGTCACGATGGCCCGCCGATTCAGGCCTTCACCCACCGGCGGCTTATCAGCGTCCTCCGGGTACACTATCACCTCTTTGTTTAGGAAATGCACTGTGGGATAGAGACGTTTATTTATTTATTTTGTGGTACATAGGTTGTGGAAATTGGTAAATGGGAGGAATAAGGGACTTGTGTGGGAAAGGAAACGGGACACTGCAGTTGCGGAAAGGACTGGGACACTGCAGCGGCTCGGGAGGCCGGGGTCGCATACCCATATGCCTTTATTCTAGAATCGGACAGATTTCTGGAGGACACCCAAACTAATGATGAAAATTATGAATAAATTATTTCAATTTAGTTAAATTATAAAATAAATAAAACATAATGGCGACGTACATTAACATTTCAATTTAGACAGAGAGTGACCTATCATAATGAATATACTTACATACATAGGGGTTATTTTTAATGGGTGATAATGGAATGGTAACCCCACCCGCGCTATCGGTATACACCGGCGGGGCACCAGTGATAGATGATAGGTGAGGATGAAGCAGGTCAGTTAGCTCATCGTGACGAATCCAACAAGTTCACGATGGTTTCCAGGGGGAACCACGTGAAGGTCGACCTAATAGGGCATATTGCTAGCAATGGGGCTGTCAAACCCCATTGCTAAGAATCCCTTTCCCCCAACAAACATACATAGAGTTTTTTTTTTATGGGTGAAAATGGTATGGTAACCCCGCCTGCGCTAACGGTATACGCTGGCGGAGCACCAGTGTAGGGTGATAGATGAGAATGAAAACAGGCCAGTTAGCCCATCATGATGAATTCATCAGGAATTAACCATGATAGTTTCCAGGGAGAACCGCGAGGAGGCCGACGTGGTTGGGTATATTGCTAACAATGGGATTCTCAGTCTCCATTACTAACAATCCCTTTCCCCCAACAAACATACATAGGGTTACATATTACAATATATTCAAACAAGATTTCACACTCACCTAAAGAGTCGAGATCTAGTCCAGCGACATCTATCTCACAGTCGTAGTAAACGTTCCCGTAGTTCTTCCGTCCGATGGTCAGGTGGGGCACCACACACGTGCCGTCGGGACGGAGGTACCCTGGAGAGAGATGAGTTTTTTTTATACAACTTAGAATGACAAACAAGCTGACGGCCCACCAGATGGAAAGTGGTAACCGTCGCCTATAGACATGAGCAGTACCGTGGACATAACAGAGTATACTGTTTCGCCCATGATACCGTCCATGCGTTGCCATTCCTGAGGACTCAGGAATATCTGTCTGTTTATTGTATGGATAATCTGGTAGTATTGTTTTATTGTTAGCCTATTCCCTTTGGCCGCAACAGAATATCAGTGCTCTGCTTTTTAAGGGCGAAGCAATAAACTGAGTTGTGACCATTTTGTATTTTTATGGCACACGCACAAAAGGAAAATTTGTACTTGGCTTTATGTATTTTTTTTTTTATCATTTATGTTATCTCGCTTTTATTTTGTGTATGTATGTTGTAATTTGTGTGCTGTAAGTAATGCAAATAAATTATCTATCTATCTATCTACACGATCCACTAACCTGTTATTTCGTCCAAACTCGGTATAGTGTAGTACCCGGGGCGGGTGAGTTTCACGCCGGCGGGGTGCGGCGTCGATTCCCGGGTTGACACGTTTTCTTCCTCGGACACTGTACAAATAGATAAAATAGATAAAATAGATAAAGTAGTCAGTTTTAACTAGTCAAAATGTATTATCAAGAAATTAAAAAAAAAGGTGTTCCTTAATTTGAAATGTTTTTTTTGGTCCTATGTTATGCAACACGTTTTAATAAAAGTTGTCATATATATAAAAAAAAAAAGATTGTGTCCACAAAAAAACCGACTTCAATTGCGAAAATATCAGCTATTCTGTTTTAAAAACTGAACCACTGAACCGATTTTGATAAAATTAGAGAATATATTTTTTTTTTTATGGATGATAATGTAATGGTAACCCCACCCGCGCTATCGGTATACACCGGCGGGGCACCAGTGAAAGATGATAGGTGAGGATGAAGCAGGTCAGTTAGCCCATCGTGACGGATTCAACAAGAATTGTTCACGATGGTTTCCAGGGGGAACCACGTGGAGCTCGATCTAATAAGGCATATTGCTAGCAATGGGGCTGTCAAACTCCATTACTAACAATCCCTTCCCCCCAGAGAATATATCTGTATAGATAAAAGAAAAACAAAGTGATAAAAGAGTGTAATAACACTGTTTTGTCACTTTCTTGTTTACTATTCTAAGTTGCATAAAAAAATCTTTAAGTTATTGAGATTTGAAGATTCTGTGAATAAGGGTTGTACGTATACAGGGTGTAAGGGACAGGTCGGCACTGAACACCAATGGAAATTCAGAAAAGATTCCAGTTTTTTTTTTTCCATTTAAAACCATGTAATCTATGATATTATGTCATAATATAAAGAAATAATAATATTTTATAGTGAAATACTATAAAATACCAAAAAACAAAGCAATGTAACATACGTTTTAAAGTCCTACCGCGACGCGCGGTATCAGCTGTGCAAGGTCAACGACACGAGCGTACGAAAACTACCTACGAAGTAACACCGTTGACCGCGCGGTGTAGGCATCACGCGTCGTGTGGATCGTAAAGTTTCAAATACATTGCGCGGCGTCAACACTATGAATCGTTAATTATATGGCTGCGGTGGATTTCCGGTGGGAAAAGAATCTGCCATTTGATTCAGAGCATTCATCTAAATCAGCTGTTCTCGTTTTGTTCAACCTGTCCCTTACACCCTGTATAATCTAAAGAGAGGAATTTAGAAGTAAGGGAAGAAGGAACAAAATCAAAGGAAAGGAGAGTAGGAACCGTAAACGCCCGCTATCTGATGGGCAATCTTCTCGCAGGAGCAGGTGCCGCGTCCGCCGCGGTGGCAGCAGAAGTGCAGCTCGCTGCTGCACCCTGGCGGGGAGGGAGAGGATTAGGAGAGAGTGGGGGATGGATGTGGGGGATCTATCCATATAATATCATTTGTAGCATAAGTATTTTGAAAAATATACTGATTGTATCACGCGGCTTTACCCATGTGAATCGATAAGTATATAAATGCTGTGCGCAAAGTTAGTATAGCATCTACCCATTCAAATTCGTTCAGCAGTTCATGCTTAAAAGAAACAAATGTTTATTAAATTTTTATATTTACATATTATTTTCCTATGATTAGTGTTCAAAACTAGATAGATAGATAGATAGATACTCTTTATTGTTCCCTCCATAAGATTACAATAGTAAACTTATTATAAATATAAACAATTACAAGAAATGATCACAGTGAGAGAACAATGGGCGACCTTATCGCTGAGAGCGATCTCTTGCAGGCAACCTTTGGATGGAGAGGAATAATTATAAACAGTTTGGTGGGAGGCACGGTGAAAAATTAACCTTTTTACATACAATGACAATTGTAGTTTATTATATATATAAAAAAAAAAAAGAAAAATGATAAACAATCGAAATGGAACAAAAATATACATATAATAACGTCAAGTCAACAGACGACATTTTCATTTACAATTAATATAATTAATAAATAAAAATATAAAAAAAAAAAACTCCATTCGTATGAATTAAGACTTAATCATTTTAACATTAATTCTCTTATAAATAGAAGACCTATGTCCGATATCATCGCTCTCTATCAAATAATAAATTATAAATGGGACAGTAGCACATTGTTGAGCCTCGTTACATTCCGTACAGGTAATAAAAGAATACAAAAACTATTTTATATACCGATTCGTAATAATATTGTATCGTGTCACAATCCCAATTATCCGCGTGTGCAGAAAATATAACGATGTACGCAAGGAGCTTGATATCTTCCAACAATCCTTGCAATGTTACATTAAGGCAGCCAATTTGTTACTTTAAATCTATAGCCGTCATTCTTTTAACGTATATAATATCGAATGTTACGCAGAGCAGTTGTTGGAGTGCAAATTTAATGCTGTTTTATGTAATATTTATTTTATTAATGTATTAATTTGTAATCTGTTGCCTTGCTATAAATAAATAAATAAATATAACAAAAACCAGCGTATTTTACAACCAATTAGTATAGTTGCATGGCGGATACCACCAACAAATACACTACCAAGACAGACTGACGGCACACAGGCGGCCGGTCGGTAAATCAAAAGCTAGATCCTTGAGTAATATAAATAAATACATATTACACCAAACCTAAATAGTTGTAATAACGACAGAGTAAAGAAAAAAGGAAGAAACGAAAAAAAAAAGAAGGAAGACGAGGAAGAAGGGAGAAGAGGGAAAAAGAAGAGAGGAAGGTTGATAGTTGATCTGTACTCCATGCCACTGTATTTCAATTGAATTGTTTATATGTCATTGTTTATTTTTATGTTTTTGGTGCAATAAAGAGTTAAATAAATAAATGATAAGGGGCCGCCCTAGACGGACGTCTGTCGACCAAATAGGCGACGCGCTGAAGATGGGCCAAATTAAAAGTACCCGTAACCGACGAGCGTGTATGAAAAGATTGATGAATGTGGGGGAAGCGAAAGAGGTTTGTTTGAATCGAAGCATTTGGCGTTCCATTGTTTCTGCCTACCCTAATGGCAGACAGGCGCGACAGATATGTATGTATGTATGTTTAAATAAATGAATGCAGTATGAGAGAAGGCCGATACCTGACAAGGTGTCGATGTTCTCCTTGTCGAGCTGCCTGTCGCCGCGCACGCCCAGCTCGCGCACCGAGCTCTCCGCCGACTCGGGGTTCGACACCAGCGGCTTGCGGAGCGGCTTCGTCGTCAGCCTGCCCACATTTATACACATGAACTAGCGGCCCGTCCCGGCGTCGCACGGGTGGACATTTTTACATTTTAAAAAGTGGCCATCAAGGCTGCACACGCGACGGAAGCTTCAAAATGGAGTAACTTCTCCCGTTTTCCCAACATTTCCCTTCACTGCTCTGCTCCTATTGATCGTAGCGTGATGAAAAGTATACTATAACCTGCCCGGGAGTATGAAGAATAATTGTACCAAGTTTCGTTAAAATCCGTCTAGTAGTTTTTGTTTCTATAACGAACATACAGACAGACAGACAAAAATTTTACTGATTGCATTTTTGGCATCAGTATCGATCACTGATCACCCGCTGATAGTTATTTTGGAAATATATTTCATGTACAGAATTGACCTCTCTACAGATTTATTATAAGTATAGAAGATAGATTAGGTATAGATAGGGCTGCCATCCGTTCAAAATTCCCCGTATTTTTCCTAGTTTGAAGGGCGTCCGGGGGCCGTCCGGCAGGGGTTTTTGAAAAATGTCCCGGACACTTTTGTTGTCAGGGAAAATCTAATTTTTTAAATAGGTAGGCAGTATCAATAGATATAAATCTTAGTTCCAAATTCATCCACAATAACCCTTTTTTTATATAACAATGTTTTTATTACAGAATTGACCTCTCTACAGATTTATTATAAGTATAGATAGAGAAATAATGAGTAACTTAATAAAACTTCTGGTACCAATAGTGGTGATCGATCTTCGTGTGTTGGCAGTCACACACATACTAATGGTAGCCCTTCTTTGCATAATGGTGGAAATTTCCATCATAACATTGAACGTCCAAAAGTTATATAAAAGAACAAGTTCACTTTAAGTTGATCGTGTCTGGACACCTTTTTATTGTCCATTGCAGAAAAAAAAACATAGCTGTCAAATTTATTTCTTTAACCATTTTAACCTTTAATTTTGAACTTGAATTATATCACCTTGATATATTTCACCAATAAAAAAATCCTGCTTGTATTCTTATTCTTTGGATTTTGGCGGAGCATACCATGTTATTAGAGACAATTTATACTCATGTAGTCCCATCGGATTTGGGGAGTTCAGTTGCTAATTTAAATCATTCAGTTTCATTCCTGAATAGTTATTTAAAATTATTTCGTTTAATTCCGCTACCGTTAGTATGTGTGCGACTGCCAACACTCGAAGACTGACCGCCACTATTACTACCAGAAGTGTCACAACCTTCCATATTAGACATCAATCTCCGACCGCTATTCAGTCCACGCACGTTTCGTGATACACGCTCCATTTCTAAAATGAGGGCATGTTCGTCATCATACTTCGTGAAATAATGTCAAGTTTAGTAAAATATTAATGATATTAACTTACCAACTGGCACGACGCTCTGCCATTGGAGAGGACATTTCTTTATCTGAAAACAATTATTATATATTATTATTTATTTATTATGTGATACATAGGTAAAAGTACATAACAATGGATGGTAAAACAAGATAAGTCCTCTATGATCAATCTCATCGATCTAGGTATACAAATTGACAAACATATATGAAATATATATATATATATATATATATATATATATATATATATATATATATATGTTTTTTTATTATTATTATTTATACTATATACTAGTTTATTTTTTAGATATGGTTATCCCTGTTTTACTATTTCTGATATGTCGAAATACTTGCCTGTAGTTGTATATAATCAGTAGTTTGTTATATAATATACATATATCAGTAAAATTCCTAGCTACCATGACTATGTAATTTGATTTAATATATTACAATATAATTTAATATATGATATACCAACATTGGAGAGAGACTTTGTACAAAAGTCGTTTGCTTGGGCACCTCTGTCCCATTCGTGTTTCAACCGTAAAGCAGTTGTGTTTGCATGGCTGTGTTTCGATTTCAAGGGTGGGATATGGCGTGAATTTACAGGGTACAGAAGAATAACACCTGAGTCCTCAGGAATGGCAACGCATGGGGGGTATCATGGGCGAAACAGTATACTCTGTTATGTCAATGGTACTGCTCATGTGTATAGGCGACGGTTACCACTTTCCATCAGGTGGGCCGTCAGCTTGTTTGCCATTCTAAGTCGTATAAAAAAAAAGTCAAAACTTACCTAAGTTGGGATACAAACGAGGCGTGGGCTCTTCTATGGGCTTCTCGTTGTCATTCCAACTCACTTTCGGCGAACTCAGCCTGTATACACAAACAAACAAACAAACAAACAAATATATTATTATTTCACAAATTAGTTACACAATTGTGAGTACTGCTAAAAAGCCTACGTTTAATATCTATATGCATGTATATGATAACACGGGTACTGCTTCCTACAGGACAGGCTCCGCCTAGTGTAGGAAGCAATGATAAATTCTGTGCTAATACAAACATACTTTGTTAAATAAATACATCTTTATCTTTATTTCAGCCGTTAACTGTCGACTGCTGAACATAAGCCTATATAACATAAGCCACAAGGGGCGTTATCGCCCACTTTAGGATAGATTGAGTTAAAACAACAACTTCCCAAATCGATTTACAAAACACGGTATTCTGAAAGAACAAAGACAAACAGAAATACAACTTTAATCAGAACCTCTTACATTCTTTTCAAGTTGGTTAAAATAAAAAAAATTAAACGAATATTACTTACCAACTACCATGTTTCTCTGAGCTGCCATCCACGTCTAGAACAAACGAAGCAAGTGTTATATTTTCTATACAACCGCGGTGGTTTAGTCGTTCTGTGGTCCCGGCGTAGACCAACCCCCCCCCCCCCTCTACTTTTCTTTTATTTTTGCCGACTTCAATTATATTTATTATTAGTAGTATCTTAGGTTACGACTGCCAATTTACAATAACACATCCATTCCATACACTCGCAAATTACACAGTCAAGATTTCATTTACAAAATATTATTTGGACAAATTAAATTATTACTGTATTAGTAACTTAACCTTTATTGTTTTATTTTTATACAATTTTGCGTCATTATGCCGTATGGGGAAGAGCACTGCTTATCCTAAAGTACAGGATTTACCTATTTAGGGAGCAGAGTTTTACCTACATTTAAAATGTAACATTTATTTTGAAATAAATTATTATTATTTTTTAAATTTTACTAAAATTCTCATCTCCCCTCTTAAGGAGAGGAGATGGCAACTAACCCCCGGTAGAAGCACAGTCGGCCGGGGTTCAGGGCCCCAGGGAGAGAAACCGGCGTACAATGCGGGCAGAATCTAAGAGCACCGCTTTCTGCATCTTTCCCGGCAGTGAGCCGCCGCGGAATCCCAACCGTCTGAGATGTTGTTCCAGACTGGTTGGGATAAGACCGTTCACCGACATAACGATTGGGATATATATTATATTATTATTTATTGTAAATGGAGATTTCACGCCGGCCGGTGGAATCCTCTGGTGACCAGAAGGCTGGCCTATGCTTTGGTCAACGCATCTCCATAGCTATTCAGCGTGGAAATGCAGCAAGTGTCCTAGGCACCCTACCAGCTGGCAGTGATCTCAAAGAAAATTTTTATCTTTAAATATTTTTTTAATTACTTCTTATAAATAATTAATTAATATGATACCACCCACATTTAATTAAGTGGCACCAAAAGTGCAAAATTGTAAATTTGAGTGTTTCCATATTGTATTTTTTTTATACAACTTTGAATGGCAAACAAGCTGACAGCCCACCTGATGGAAAGTGGTAACCGTCTCCTATAGACATGAGCAGTACCATGGACATAACAGAGTATACTGTTTCGCCCATGATACCCCACATGCGTTGCCATTCCTGAGGACTCAAGTGTTATTCCTCTGTACCCTGTAAATTTACGCTACATAAATAATTTAGATTTATATACATTTTTGATACAATTAAAAGAAAACCTAATAAACTCACTGTTATTCTCTTGGTAGTCGGGTTGTCGCCACACGCGGTCTCGCTCGCCGTTGACGCGGTCCCGCTCGGGCTCCGATGACGGGCCGTTGCTCTCGGGCTGCGCTGGCGGCTCTTCTAGCGACCTGCCGACACCGGTATTTGTTAGGCACGCTAATATTTTAAATGTGAAACTAATCCGTTACTAAATTAATTTAATAAACACACACGTACGCACGCACATATCTATAGGCTAAGTTAGGCTATATATATATATATATATATATATATATATACGTACATGCGTACACAGAATGATCAAAACACAAACGCGTAGCTAAACAAGTATGTAAATACAATATCACTACATAGTATAAAACAAGGGGAGAAGGGATTGTTAGCAATGGAGTTTGACAGCTCCATTGCTAGCAATATGCGCCCTATTAGGTCGTCCTCCACGTGGTTCCCCCTGGAAACCATCGTGAACAATTCTTGTTGAATTCGTCACGATGGGCTAACTGACCTGCTTCATCCTCACCTATTATCCTTCACTGGTGCCTCGCCGGTGTATACCGATAGCATGGGTGGGGTTACGATTCCATCATCACCCATAAAAAAAAAGTATAAAATAAAGTCGCTGTCGCTGTCCGTGCGTCCCTATGTATGCTTAAATCTTTAAAACTACGCAATGGATTTTGAAGCGGTTTTTTTAATAGATAGAGTGATTCAAGAGGAAGGTTTATATGTATAATACATGCATAATATTGTAGAGGAACACTGATAAATTTACAGGTTTCTAATGTGATGTCGTAAATAAACACATTTTTTGCGCTTATATTGCGAACGCTGGCTGAACACCACGAGATAAATCTGTGGCGTATATATATATTGTATATATAACAAACCTTTATAAATACCTTTTGAATTTCTGGAGAAAAATAAATTATAAATAACAGCGCATGCGAAGTTGCGCGCGCAGTATAAAATTTAGAAATTGTCATTTTTTTTTAGAAAATATATAGACGTTTGAATATTGAATTAAATATTTTACTTATTCATTTCCCATAACTGGTGACCCCGTAAAAACGCATATTACAATGGCATCGTCTAACAATAACGACGAAATATTTAAAGTGGGAATACGAGTTCCGCCATTTTGGCCGGAGGAACCCGAAATATGGTTTGCTCAGGTTGAAGGCCAATTCGCCGTCTCAAATATAACAGCAGATGCAACGAAGTTTAATTACGTTATTGGACAACTTGACCACCAATTTTCAAAGGAAGTGAAGGACATTATAATTTCACCACCTCCGACGGAAAAGTATGAAAAATTGAAAACTGAACTTATCAAACGTCTAAGTGCCTCACGCGAGAAGCAGGTAAAACAACTACTTATGCATGAGGAATTGGGAGACCGTCGCCCATCACAATTTTTACGGCATTTACAAAGCCTCGCCGGACCGAACGTGCCAGAGGACTTTCTCAAGACCATATGGACAAGTAGACTACCACGCAACGTACAGACAGTGATAGCTGCTCAACCTACAGCGTCACTAGAGGTGCTCTCTGATTTGGCAGACCGTATCCAGGATATTGCCTCTGCTACTCCGCAAGTGTCAGCTGCATCAACATGTGGATCATCACTTGACGCTATGGCCAACGAGATAGCCGAACTCCGGAGGCAGTTGAAAGTGCTTTTGGATCGTCAGTCTCGTCCCCGTTCCTGTCAGAGAAGTCGTAGCCGCTCTGAAACGCGATCGGAATCTAACTATAGAAAATTTCCGAAATGTTGGTATCATGCAAAGTTTGGAGCTAAAGCAAAGCGATGCGTAAAGCCTTGTGATTATCAGGCGGGAAATGCACAGGGCGGTCGGTAATGGCGACGAACGGCCGTCCCAACACGTCTGGTCGCCTGTTCGTCGTAGATCGTCGGTCGAAGATGCAATTTCTAATCGATACAGGAAGCGATGTTTGTGTCTTCCCACGACGAGCACTGCATGAGCGTCGTCCTAAATCAGATTTCCAACTTTCTGCTGCTAACGGTACTACGATCAGCACATTTGGATATACTCACCTGGATTTGGATCTTGGTTTGCGCCGTGATTTCCCATGGCGTTTCATTGTTGGTGACGTCACTAAGGCGATTATAGGAGCTGATTTTCTGAAATTCTATGGTCTTCTAGTAGACATACGTAACCAACGTTTGTTAGACAACACGACGACACTGTCCGTCATTTGCTCTCCTGCGCACTCGTCGACTGCAATTTCTTCTATCAAGATACCAATCGGCGAGTCTCGCTACGATCAAATCCTGAAGGAATTTCCTGAAATTACAAATCCATCCAGAAAACAAGCTGATATCAAACACAATACCGTTCACTTCATCAGGACTACGCCCGGACCTCCAATTTACTGTACTCCACGCCGTCTAGCGCCAGACAAATTAAAAATCGCAAAGGCAGAATTCGAGTCTATGATTAAATTAGGTATTACTCGACCATCGGAAAGCTCCTGGGCCTCGCCATTACATCTGGTACCGAAGAAGGATAACGGATGGCGGCCTTGTGGAGATTACCGAATGCTAAATGCTCGCACTATTCCTGACAGATGTCCAGTTAGACATGTTCATGACTTCACACACAGTATAGCAGGTTGCACAGTATTCTCAACAATAGATCTTGTCAAAGCCTATCATCAAATCCCAGTAAATCCAAGTGATATCCACAAGACTGCCATCACAACTCCGTTCGGGCTATATGAATTTCCTGCCATGACGTTTGGTTTACGAAATGCTGGGCAGACTTTTCAGCGTTTTGTTGATGAAATGACGCGTGGATTGGATTTTGTTTACCCTTACATTGATGACTTCTTAGTCTTTTCCAAAAATGAGGATCTTCATGAGCAGCACCTGCGTATACTATTTAATAGATTGAAAGATTACGGAATTGTCATCAATATTTCAAAATGTAACTTTGGTCGGTCTGAAGTAAAATTTCTTGGATATAATATATCAGCCAATGGTATCAAACCTCTTGATGAGAAAGTTGAAGCGATCAAATCGTTTCCTCCTCCCAAGACAGTTCGAGAACTCCGCAGATTTTTAGGGATGCTGAATTTCTACAGACGATTCATTCCCAGCGCTGCTGAAGTTCAAGCACCTCTACATGCTCTCATGACTGGCTCAGTTAAAGGTTCTTACCCTATCAACCTGTGTGATGATACCCTTCAAGCCTTTGAAGATTGCAAAGAGAGTCTATGCCGCGCTACACTTCTTGCTCATCCAGATTGCCAATGCAGACTTGGTCTTGTGACAGATGCTTCAGAAACTGCAATCGGAGCCGTCCTACAACAATATAAAGATGAAGATTGGCAACCGTTAGCCTTCTTTTCACGTAAGCTAACCTCAGCGCAGCAAAAATATTCTCCTTATGATCGAGAGCTGCTTGCTGTGTATGAAGCATTAAAATATTTTAGACACATGGTTGAAGCCAGGGATTTCACGATCTTTACAGATCATAAACCATTGTGTTACGCCTTTCACCAACGTAGGGATAAATGTTCACCGAGACAGTTTCGTCATCTGGATTTTATATCCCAGTTTACAACTGACTTGAGACACATCTCGGGAAAGGACAACCTAGTCGCAGACACATTGAGTAGAGTGGAAGAGGTGGAACTGTCTATCAATTTCTCTCAACTTGCTGAGTCACAAGCAGCTGATCCAGAATTAAAGAATCTGTTAGACCATGGAACTTCATTACGTTTGGAGAAGGTGAAGATACCTGGAACGCATGCAGAATTATATTGCGATGCGAGCACTCCAATTCCTAGACCCTACGTAACAAAGTCCATACGCAAACAAGTCTTTGATAGCCTGCATTCATTGAGTCATCCTGGTGCTAATGCAACAATCAAGTTAGTAGCAGAACGCTATGTATGGCCAGGGATTAAAAAAGATTGCAGAGAGTGGACGCGTACATGTCTAGCTTGTCAACGTTCTAAGATAACTAGGCATGTATCCTCACCTTTAGGTACCTATCAGCTGCCACGAGCTCGATTCATGCATGTCCATATAGATCTCATCGGACCACTTCCAATCTGTAATGGAAATCGCTATTGCCTCACTGCCATAGATCGATTCACTCGATGGCCTGAGGTGATACCAATACCCGATGCTACAGCTGAAACAGTTGCTAAAGCTTTTCTTGCTGGGTGGATATCAAGATTTGGTTCTCCAGTGGACATAGTTACAGACCGCGGCAGACAGTTTGAATCTTCTTTGTTTCAACATCTTTCAAAAATATCAGGATTTCAGCATAAGAGAACTACTGCATATCATCCTGCAAGTAATGGTGTTATAGAAAGATTCCACAGACAGCTGAAGACCGCTATTACCTGTCATGCGATAGAGAACTGGATGGAAGTCTTACCTTTAGTTCTGCTCGGCATTCGAAGCGCCTATAAAGAGGGCATACAAGCAAGCACTGCAGAGCTAGTCTATGGTGAACCGCTACGATTACCGGGAGAATTCTTCGACCCAAGCACAGCTGGAACAACAGACGTTACAGAATACACTGCCCGCTTACGTTCGTTTGTTAATAATTTAAAGCCTTCCCCTGCATCAAGACATACAAAACCGTCCATATTTATTTATAAGGATTTACCAACAGCTTCACATGTATTTTTAAGAGAAGATGCAGTTCGTGCTTCCTTACAACCAGCATACACCGGTCCATATACTGTCGTGGAGAAATCTGAAAAAGTATACAAATTATTAGTTAAAGGCAAACCTGTTACTGTATCAATAGATCGCTTGAAACCTGCCTACATATTAAATGACCGCAGCCTCGCTCTACATGAACCTCTGGACGCCTTACCTCCACCTAAAGAAGTTATAAAAACAATAACAGGACGAGTAGTTAAATTTCCAGATTACTATCGCCCGTAGTAACGGTCTCGGAGGGGAGTGATGTGGCGTATATATATATTGTATATATAACAAACCTTTATAAATACCTTTTGAATTTCTGGAGAAAAATAAATTATAAATAACAGCGCATGCGAAGTTGCTCGCGCAGTATAAAATTTAGAAATTGTCATTTTTTTTAGAAAATATATAGACGTTTGAATATTGAATTAAATATTTTACTTACTCATTTCCCATAAATCAAAATAATGTACTACAGTACTGTACACCTTAAAAAGGTCAAGAAAAAAGTGCGCGATGATATATGTCGATCTCTTAAGGATAACCCACAATAACCATTTTTTATCTTTTAAATTTTACGGGAAAAAAACGGCTTATTTACGAAGTGATTTTAATCCATACAGCATCAATTGTTATTTAATTAAGTACCTTATATACATTGTCCATTTAATATAGATAAATATGGCCCTTTACAGCATGTAATTTAAAATAATATTTCCGAAGATATTACAGATTTAAAGTGCAGGGACATAGCGGTATGGCGGTACCGGCCCGGCGCGTGCCCTATATAATAACGCGTCGAAGGCCGCGCTTCGCCCTATAGCACTTTATTCATTAGACAATACAAACAATGTAAAGGGAGGGGACGGAGAAAGGGTTACCGTGCTATGGGAACCCTGCCCTGCCTTATGGGGACGGCTTATGTTCAGTAATGGACAGATAACGGTTGAAACAATATCTCTTACCTGTTATTTGTGTGTTGATCGGCTGAGTCGTTTTGGACGCTGTCTGCTTTATTTTGGCGGAGAACAAGCCGTTTCCTGCTTGGTTTAAGTGACAATTTATCTTCTAGACTCGCGTCGGATTCTTCTAGGCCGTCGAACAGCGATTTCTAGAATTAAAAAAGTTAATTAGAAACTATCGATCCGTCCGGCTTCTCATGGGTAAGTAGTTTATTGTTGTTTATGAGAAGTGGTAGCAGAGCACTAATAAATACAGGTGGATGATATATAACAACATCTATATTTTATTTTCGCATATGGGGTCAGCTAAGCCGTTGCACGTCGATCCATCAGGATCTTTTGTGCATCCCCCTGCCTTATACAATCATTTCATAGATCCTATTTGTTACCTTAACGTTATCCCACGTTGGGGGAAAGGGATTGTTAGTAATGGAGACTGAGAATCCCATTGCTAGCAATATACCCAGCCAGGTCGACCTCCTCGCGGTTCTCCCTGGAAACTATCATGGTTAATTCCTGATGAATTCATCATGATGGGCTAACTGGCCTGTTTTCATTCTCATCTATCACCCTTCACTGGTGCTCCGCCAGCGTATCCCGTTAGCCCAGGCGGGGTTACCATATCATTTTCACCCATCAAAAAAAAAAAAACGTTATCCCACGCTTTAAGATAGTTTGTGTAGTACATGTCTTACTGGCATATGTCCAGTTAGGGCACCCATAATGAGTTTTGCCTGTTGTATGCCACCGTTGTAGATGAGTTTATCCCATCCCTCAGCATTGTTGTTTAAAAACTTTTTAGTATACCTAAGATCTTTTAAAGTTCTCATTTGGATTATCTGAAAGTCAGTCTGTCACTCCGTTAGGAACACCTTTACCCACGGATATAGGCGTCTTGCATTTCGACTGCCAGGTTGGCACAGTATATGATATATTAATAAAGAACCCTTATTTAATTGAAACGAACATAAATATACAAATGATATGGGGTGATATAGGGCTGGTCATTTCCCACCGTCAATACTCAGAGAAGCCCAATATATATATATATATATATATATATATATATATATATATATATATAATATATCGATATAACGTATGATGTACCATAGCATTATATGGGTGTGAAACATGGACAATGACGCAGAAGGAAAGAAAGATGCATGAGGCATTCGAAATGTGTACATGTAGGAGAATGGAAAGGATAAGCTGGACAGAAAAACTAACAAACGAGGAAGTCCTAAAAAGAGTAAACAAGAAGAGAACATTGGTTGAAATAATAAAGAATAGAAGAGGCAAAACGCTGGGCCACCTTATACGACATGACGATTTTTTTAAGAGCATAGTAGAAGGAAAGATGAAGGGCAAAAGAGGAAGGGGAAGATCGAGGATTAACGACATGGGACAGATAAAGGAAACACTAGGCGTCATGTCGTATAGGGAGATAAAGGATATGGCCTGGGATAGAGCTGGCTGGAGGCAGATGCATGAATTGGTTGCACCGACAAGAGGGAAGTGTTAAATGGAAAGTAGTACCTTGTCGTGGGCTTGCGGGCGCGGGCACAGCCGCAGCGGCGGCGCGGGCGCGGCCGACACGCGGTACTCGGCCGCGGCCGCGCCGCCCAGCACCGCCTGCAGCGCCGCCGGGTTGGTCGGCCGCAGCGCCTGCTCGCCCGCCGCCGCTGCCGCACCGCAAACATTACCGTTTAGAGTACAGCCAAGCGATAAATATGGCGATTTCAATATTAATTAAAATATGTTCTATATTAGTTAAACTTAGTAGATGTAAACAAACGAATCACTGACCAGACCATAAGGCAGTCACTATCATCATTATTTATTTATTTATTTATTACATCCACTGGGTGAGCCTTACAGTCTTCCAGTACGCCCACCCAGGAAAGCATCAGTACAATAACATATAAAAAGGAATATTGCACAAAAATAATATAAAAAGATTTAACTCAAACAAAAAACGTGTGAACACAAATACTCTGTGGTCAGTCGACGAGACTCCAGCAAGTTGGAGGCAAATACATCCAATTGCGGATACTGGCTCAAAATATCATTGAGTAGTTACAATGCAATTCATTATATGAGCCTTTATCTGTCCACTGGCTCCCCTTGAAGACATTTGCTAATAGTTGCCACACTTGGCAGGCCGATTGACAGCCGCAGTTAGGCTTTGATGGTGTCTTAAGAGGAACTCTGCTGCCTATTGCTAGACCATTAAGTTTCTAGAGTCGTCACTTATGACAGCCACGGGAAAGGAAAGGGTGGCTCATTCTATGCCGGGACCACACGACAGCAAACATGCATTGTAAATTAAAAAAAAAAGCTTGTAGAAAATACTTACATGTATCTGGCAGAAGATCTTTGAATAAGGGCGAGTCACCGTACGGCCGTGCGGCCAGCGTTAACATCTGTTCGTGCACGTTCTGCCCTGTCGCGCTGTTGGGACAGACAGACAGACAGTATGAGTATATACAGGGTGAAGTGGCAATTGTTAGTACCCTTCGATCACCCTTACCAGGGTGGTCGGGTGGAGGGTAGGGTATGAGGTAAAGATTTTTTGGTAATGTGGTCCGACAGCTTTGAAAATTTAGGAAAATTTTGAGTTAGCCTCAAAACCTCCATTTATATTAAGTATTTAATTTTTTTTTAATCTACTGCAGGGTTTGAAAGTTGTCTGTTGAGAAGAGCAAAAAAATCAACAGTTACTTACTTGCCGAGCCCACTGTTGTTTGTGTTTAGACCCAGACCCAAACTGCTGCCACCTAGCGACGTGTTACTGAACAAGCCTCCACCACCGAGACCGCTGTCCAGACCTAGGTAAAGGCAAAAATTTCTTATTATTAATTTGAAATACTAAACAAGATGGCGGTCAACTTGTTGGAAAATGGTAACAGGCTGGTAACCAATGGGAAAGAAGGGGATTGTTGATCCCTTTCCCCCAGGTTGGTATAATTAGATTAAGTTTGTTTCATTTATTCAGGCCACACCTTAGTCGAGAGGATTAGGAGGAGGAAGGAGAGGAGAGGAGGCCCTGCTCCATCTACAGGAACTATTACTAAGGCACCCCCCCCCCCCGGAAGGATTATGTTCAGCAGTGGACAGTTAGTGGCTAACATAATAATAATGATGATGATGACGATGATGATGAAATGTGATAATAACTTTACAAAGCTTGGTCAAACTTGCATAAAATTGTTTAAAATTTATCCCAAAATTAAATATATCAACATGCGCCATCTTTTTTTGTCAAAACTCAAAATGACAATAATGTTTTAGATCAACAAATCCAAATTAATAAATATAAAAATAAAAATATTCAAAATAAAAAGCAAAAAAAATCATATAATACAAAAAAAAAAAAAGCAATTCGACGACCAAAAATGTCCAAAATAATAAAAAAGTTGAGTTGGATTGATAAAATTCAATCAATGATTTTACAATTGAAAAGCGTCAGCCCTTTCTTTATACCGTACCGAACGAATGTATGGCGCAGTTCGGTATCCCTAACGCGCCGGCGGTTCCCCTTAAAAGTTACCCCATAAAAAAAAAATATTAAAGAGTTTTTTGCATTAATTACCAGTAAATATACTAGAACACCATAAGCGAAGGGGAGAGTAAAGACAAATGGCAGTGGTACTAGGGCAGAAGGAGTGATAAGGAAAGAAAGATAAAGAAGTGCGCTGCGCGGAAAGTGGTAACAAGATTTTTACATAATTACAATACTAGAGCAGCATAACTGAGAAGGAGGTTAAAATAAATGGTTTATGTGGTATAAGTGGCATTTAGACTACCAATGAGTGAATGGGAGAGTAAAGACAAATGGCGGTGGTACTAGGGCAGAAGGAGTGATAAGGAAAGAAAAGAAGTGCGCTGCGCGGAAAGTGGTAACAAGATTTTTACATAACCACGATACTAGGGCAACATAAGTGAGAAGGAGGATAAAATAAATTATGAGTAAAATAAGTGGCATTTAGACTAACAATGAGTGAAGGGGAGAATAAAGACAAATGGCGGCGATATTACCAATAGTACTAGGGCAGCATGAGTAACAAAGACAGTAAGATAAGTGGTGGTTACCTGTAGGGAAGGTACAGGGGTCTTAAGATCGCCTAAGATACAATACTAGGGCAGTATAAGTGGGAAGGAGGATGAAGCCCTAGCGATGCAGTTGACTAATATGAGTAAAATTAATGGCATTTAGATTAGAAATAAGTACTAGGGTTGCATGAGTGAAGAGGAGAGTAAGATAAAGAGGTGGTGACCTGTACGGAAGGTAGAAGGGTCTTAGATTACCTAAGATACAGTACTAGGGCAGCATGAGAGAGAAGGAGGATGAAATAAAGCCCTAGCGAAGCAGATAACTGATATTAATGGCATTTAGATTAGAAAGAAGTACAAGGGTTGCATGAGTGAAGAGGAGAGTAAGATAAAGAGGTGGTGACCTTCCGTAAGTGGGAAGGAGGATGAAATAAAGCCCTAGCGAAGCAGATGACTGACATGAGTAAAATTAGTGGCATTTAGCGTACCAATAAGTACTAGGCAAGCATGAGTGATCAGAAGGGTAAGTCAAGTGGCGGTGTAGGCCTACCAGTGCGGAAGGCGGTGCCCTGCGGCTGCGGGAAGCCCGAGGCGAGGGAGCCGAAGGCGGGTGCAGGCTTGGCGCCGAAGGGTGCGGCGGCCGCGCCCAGCCCCGCGCCCAGCGTGGTCCCCGCGGTCCCCACCCCCGCGCCGCCCACACCGCCACCTAAACAACACTTTTCTCAGTTGGCAACAACATACTGGAGCATATATTAAAGGAGAAATTGTCTGCTTTGGTATCTCTGTCCCACTCGTGTTTCTGTCAAACAGCTGCGTTTGGATGGCTCTTTCGGCTTGGAAGGTGGATATTCCACCCTCCAGTAGAATGACAAGGTACAGAGCCATCACATCTAAATCCTTAGGAAAAGTAATATATAAATAACATCACAGCGTTTGCTGTGATGTTCTCGGAACTCTTCATCAAGTGAATCATCAACATGTTTGCCATTCTTAAGTATCGTGAAAAAGTATCAGAAACTTTATCATAGTAACGCCTAATATTCTTTCTGCTTCTTCGATCCGGATTAAGTGACGCCCAAATTTTGTAGCCCTAAGAGCCGGACTTAAAAACCTAGATATTTTTGATCCTCCAATTCGGATAGAGTAACGTTAAAAATTTGGTCCCTCGAGCCGGATTGAATATCCCCGACATTTTTGGTCCTTCGAGTAAAATTGCATTACCCCAAGTTTTTCGAGCCCTTTGCTTTCTCCGTGTAATAACTTTTATTTCCTGTCTCACCGAGAGCGTTCGGCTGCGCGTTGAATCCGAAGGCGGGCTGCGTGGTGGCCGGCTTGCCGAACGACACGCCCGAGAACAGACCGCCGGACGTCGACGTCGTCGTGCCGAAGCCGGTCGACAGACCACCGAACGCTGTTGGTGTGAAACGAGCATTACATATTATGGATATAAGGGCTGAACCATCCAAAGGTATTAATGTGAAATTGGCTTAATTCTTGTGTATTAACGATAAACCCGTTTCTTCATTTATTCTTTATTGACCTTACAAAAAATGATTAGTCCAAAAGGCGAACTTAATCTGATCCTTGTATACAATAAGTCACCCGTTCCTTTCCCGAGGGTGTCGTAATAGGTGACTAAGGGAGAGTGGCAGAAGGGCAATAGCGACTCTCTTAAAACATCTCCTAAGTCTAACAGCGGTTGTCAATCCGCCTGCCAAGCGTTGCAACTACTGGCAAAACCCCCAAGGGGGAGAAGCTTATGTTCAGTAGTGGACAGTTAAAAGCTGATATGATGATACAAGCTTTTCTAATATAAAATACTATGTTATGTTTCTAATAAAGTCAAGTAAAGTCTCACCCGGTGTGGTGGAGCCGAAGGCGGGCGCGGTGGACTGTTGCGGCTTGGCACCGAACAGGCCCGTGCTGCCGAAGCCTCCGAAGCCGGTGTTGGTTGCCGCCGCGCCGAAGCCAGAGGTCGCTGGCTTCGCGCCGAACATACCCGTCGACTGTCCACGACAAATGAGAACTTTATTAAATGGATAAAGATGGAACGATATACTTGACTATGCTAACGGTATACGCTGGGGGGAAAGGGATTGTTAGTAATGGAGACTGAGAATCCCATTGCTAGCAATATACTCAACCAGGTTGAGCTCCTCGCGGTTCCCCCTGTAAACTATCATGGCTAATTCCTGATGAATTTATCATGATGGGCTAACTGGCCTGTTTTCATTCTCATCGATCACCAGTGAACAATTCTTGTGGAATTCGTCACGATGGGCTAACTGACCTGCTTCATCCTCACCTATCATGCCTCACTGGTGCCCCGCCGGTGTATACCGATAGCGCGGGTGGGGTTACCATTCTATTATCATCCATTAAAAAAAAAATAGACAACGTGTACCAATTTCCAACAATTTACTCGTCATCTTGATTGTTATTCCTGATCCCTGAAGACTATGGGCTGTTACCTGGCCTGTAGGTCCTGGCATAGAATAGGCCACCGCTTCCTTTCTTGTAGGTGTCTTAAGAGGCAACTATGGGAATTTAATAGTCGAGGTTTGGACAGCACAGGTCCTTGTAAATCACTGAAGTCCAACCGCGGTTGCTAATCTGGCAACCTAGCGTGGCGACTGTTAGCAAGCCCCCCCCCCCCTTATGGGGAGGCCTATGTTCAACAGGGGACAGTTAAAGGCTGATATGGTGTGGGCTATTGAATCGCCATACCCTGTAATTTCACTGCCATATCCCGCCATCTTAGATTACATAGTATCTCCATACAAATGCTTCGAGAAAAGCGGATCAACTTTTTCATACAATTTTGCGTGATAAATAGTTATGAGTGATTACTTTATAACTTTTTTTTTATACAAGTTATAATGTCAAACAAGCTGACGGAAAGTGGTAACCGTCACCTATAGACATGAGCAGTACCATGGACATATCAGAGTATACTGTATCGCCCATGATACCCCCCATGCGTTGCCATTCTTGAGGACTCAAGTGTTATTCCTCTGTACCCTGTTAATTCACTGCCATATCGCACCCTTCAAACCGAAACACAGCCATGCAAACACAACTGCTTCACGGTAGAAACACGAATGGGACAGAGGTACCCAAGCAAACGACTTTTGTACGAAGTCTCCGTCTAGTAACTTCTATATTTATTTTGTCTTATAAATTTGGCACCTTTTTAATGCGTAGAAACAAATTTTATTTATTAAATAATTAAATATAGATACGTCAAGATACATTATGTGCATAAGTGTATAGAACACTGATTTACACAAAAGTCGTTTACTTGGGTACCTCTGTCCCATTCGTGTTTCAACCGTGAAGCAGTTGTGTTTGCATGGCTGTGTTTCGGTTTGAAGGGTGGGATATGGCGTGAATTTACAAGGTACAGAGGAATAACACTTGAGTCCTCAGGAATGGCAACGCATGGGGGGTATCATGGGAGAAACAGTATACTCTGTTATGTCAATGGTACTGCTCATGTCTATAGGCGACGGTTACCACTTTCCATCAGGTGGGCCGTCAGCTTGTTTGCCATTCTAAGTTGTAAAAAAAAAAGACAGCTAATTTGACAATTAGCTGACAAAAAGTTGACCCGTTTTTGAGGCTCGAGACTCTATCAATATAATCTAAGCTCACCATCTTGACCTTCAACGACATCCAATAAATAAATTATGAAAGTGAATGAAGCAAGAAATATACCAGTGCTAAATACCAGAGGTATTTTGCACTGGTTTCCCACTGCCTACCCCGCACGCAACTTGACTCACCTGATTCTGTGTGTTGGAGCCGAAGCCGAATGTCGACGTATTAGTGCCGAAAGAGGGCGCCTGGGTGGTGGTCGCACCGAACAATCCCGTACCTGAAATGACAAACCACAATCTAGTAGAAAATTAAGCGAATCTTATTCTATAGACATTGGGGTACAATTAGACCACACTAAACCTAATATTATTAGGGGAAAGGAATTGTTAGTAATGGAATCTAACTGACCCATTGCCAGCAATACACCTTATCAGGTCGACCTCCACGTAGTCCCCCCTGGAAACCATCGTGCTGAAATCCAGATGTATTCATCACGATGGGCTAAACTGACTTGCTTTTTCATCCTCACCTATCATCCCTCACTGGTGCCCCGCCAGCGTAACCATTAAACGCAGGCGGGGTTACCATTCCACTATCCTCCAAAAAAAAATATATATATAAAGAAAAAACCTTGGTTTTCCTGTAAATTATTAAATAAATAACCTAATAGTGGTGAAAAGAGGGTGGACGTCAGGCAAGCGGCCGGTCGTAAAACTATAAGCCAAATCTTTTTGTAATATGGTTAAAAAACATATTACGCCGACCGCAAATAATAATTGGGATACGTTTAGAAAGAAGAAGAAGAATACCGGTGGTGGCGGTGGTCCCGAATGCGGGCTTGGCCGCGCCGAACAGTCCGGTGGATGTCGTGTTGCTCGCTGCTGTATTACCGAACGAGAACGTATCTGAGGATTATAACATTAATTTTATTATTTCTTTATTATTTATTGTACACAAAACAAACTGTTAAGCACAATTCATTATAAACATAACGTACAAAGGCGAGCTTATCTCTAATAAGAGATTTCTTCCAGCAAAACCTTTTCATGTGAATTGTATGTTTTTTTTAAAAATAAAAATAGGCAGTCATACGATCTGCGTACATTGTATAAACACATAAGATATGTATACACAAAGAATAATACAAAGTACACATTATAAATTGCATAACATACATAATCCCTGTAAACATACACATATACTTACACATACATACATATACATATATATATACACATATAAACATAAATAAATATACATACACATATACATAATACGTCAGCATAGTGATAAGTAAAGGTTTTAGTTATTTATTTACTTTATTTGGGATAACAGCAGCGTTTTACAAAATTAAATCATAAAATAAAATCAAAAACAAACAAAAAAAAATTAAATATCTTCTTTTTTTGTTTGTCTACAGTAATATTATAAAAAGGAAAGATTTATATTTTTATGTGTAAGTATGTATGTTTGTAATGAATAAATTCAAAAACTACTTTGCCGATTTCAAAAATTCTTTCACCATTACAAAGCTACATTCACCCTGTATAACATAGGCTATATTTATTGCTAGAAAACATTATGGATCCTTACTAAAACTTTAGTAACGTAACTCAAGGTGTACAAAAAACGCTATAAAATATCTTTGGTCGCGCGCGCTGCGGAAACTATTGGTGATAGAACAAAAGTATGTTCTACAATATTGAAGGAAATATCGATAACTACAAAAAATACTAAACAGTACACTCTGTTATGTCCATGGTACTGCTCATGTCTGTAGGCGACGGTTACCACTTACCATTAGGTGGGCCGTCAGCTTGTTTGCCATTCTAAGTTGTATAATTTTTTTTTTTTAATAATATCAACAAGTTGTTTATTGTTAAGAGTGTAACTCACTGGTCTGCCCGAAGCCGCCGTTGGACACGATGCCGCCGCCGCCGAACACGCTCGGCGCGCTCGTGGTCGCCGGCTGGCCGAACGACGCTGTACACACCACCATACATTATTCAATTGACCATAGACAATACCACAAAAACGGGGGGAGAGATTTCTAATAATGTAAACTACCAATCCCATTGCTAGCAATATATCCTGTCAAGTCCATCTCTACGAGGTATCCCTTGGAATGCATCGTGCTGAATTCCAGGTGTATTCATCACGACAGACTAACTGAGCTATCTTTCCATTCTCACCTATCATGTTTTCCTGTTGCCAGTGTATACCGTTAGCGCAGGCGAGGCTACTATTTAATTATCATTCATTAAAAAAGAAACACCAAACAAAAGCTCACGTTATGGGCCCAGTCACTGTACAGCATGTAAAACAAAATTATAGATTGCGTCCCACAGAAAACTGACCATAATTGTGATAAAACCATTTACTTTGATGTAAAAACTAATTTATTAAACTAATTTTGATAAAATTTCTATAAGATCCATCTGAAAGTATATTTTTAGATAAAAAAAAATTCAAGGCTTACAACTGACGGAGTTATGAGATAATAAACATTTACAAAAAAAAAAAAATACAAACAAAATTAAAACCTCCTCCCTTTTTTGAAGTCGGTTAAAAATGGCTAAATTAAAAGTTACAGCTGGAAAGCAAATAAATAAACCACCGTTGTATATTTAATTGCCTTGCCGAGGTTTTCCCATGAGATTACAGCGATTGGGGTTCTTCAAAAGGGGGGGTAAAGAGGTTTCTTCAGGGTCGGCAACGCGCGCGTAATGCCCATAGTATTGCAGGTGTTCATAGACTACAGTAACCACTTACCATCAAGTGGGCCGTATGCTTGATTGGCACCTCAGTGGTATAAAAAAAAAAAATCTTTTAATGTGCCCAATGTAAATTGTGTACAATAAATGTTACAATACAATACAAAAATATACACACTGTTAGCGCCGAACAGAGATTTGTTCTCCATGGTATTTTGGAAGCCGCCGAACACCCCGCCGGAGGCACCCTTCCGCCCGGCCGTGTAGTCCTCTAGGCGAAGCTCCTCCAATGATTTGTTCTCATATTCCTGGTGGGAGAAAGAATTAATTCGATTTTTATTACACATACATATTAGAGTCTCGATTATTCGAACGTTCATTATCCGATTATTCGATTATCCATGATCAGTATCATGGACTATAGTTTTTTTTTTATACAACTTAGAACTTACTTGGCAAACAAGCTGACGGCCCACCTGATGGAAAGTGGTAACCGTCGCCTATAGACATGAGCAGTACCATGGACATAACAGAGTATACTGTTTCGCCCATGATACCCCCCATGCGTTGCCATTTCTGAGGACTCAGGTGTTATTCCTCTGTACCCAGTAAATTTACGCCATATCCCATTCTTCAAACCATAGTATAAATAAGAGAATATACGCGTATAAACATGTAGCTAATAAAATTGTTAATTTATTTCAAATAGATTGTTTTTTAGCTACATATGCATAATTTTTTTAATTTAAAATGTTCTTAGTTTGAATTTAATAAAACACATACATATTGCGTTCATAACATATTTTTTTTTTATTATTCGATTTAAACCCCCTTTAACGAGAAGAGTTAAACGTGAACCATTTATACATTATATGGGGTCGTACAAGCACGTTATACGGAGTTGTACAAGCGCGTTATACAGGGTCGTACTAGTATATTATACGGGGTCGTACAAGCGCGTTATACGGGGTCGTACAAGTTTATTATACGATGTTGTACAAACGCGTTATACGGGGTTGTACAAGCGCGTTATATGGGGTCGTACAAGCGCGTTATACGAGAACACTTCTACAACGCATTTTCCTATAAAGCGGAACGAATCTACCGTGTTATAGGGGGAATTACTATATATCTATCTATGTCTACTGTTATTTGTGATTCAAATAAATTATATATTTATCTATCTACAGGATGTTACTAATATAACAAATTTGTAACTAGACAATGTTTGTACATGGGAGGTGTTTGAGAAAAATAAATAGTAAAAATCTTAATAACATCAATAGATGTCATCCATTCCATCCATCAGAGGGCGCCACTTTTAAGCCAGCAGTAGTGGAGCGCGTACCTTCATGCAGGTGATGCAGTGGTGTTTGATGAGGATGCTCTGCGAGGTGCCGGACTTGACCACGACGTCGGTGCCCACCACCGGGTTGTACTTCACGTGGGCGGTGCCCGCGGCCGCCGCCTGCTGCCCGAACGCACCTGTATATTGGGTGACACATTTGTTAGGTCCTAGAATAGCACTGAAGGGAATCAAAGCTAAAAATCTCCTTTTTTTATTAATGAATAAATTGAATTTATAAATGAAAATTATAATGTAATGGTTACCCAGCCTGCGCTATCGGTATACGGTGGCAGGGCACCGGTGAGGGATGATAAGTGAGAATGGATAAGGTCAGTTAGCCCATCGTGATGAATTCAAGGATAATTAATCATGATGGTTTCCAGGGGGAACCACGTAGAAGATAGACCTAATAAAGTATACTGCTAATAATGTAGTCACAAGTCCCCCCACCCCCTGGACGTGTTGATCTAATTTATCAGGGAAGATCATTAAACACTTGCCTGGATACGCTTATGCCAGTCCTGAGCGTAAATTATAAAAAATGGACAATTCTCGTCAACTTGTATAATTTATTTAAATATAGTCACATCTAGTTCCTTTTTTAAGAGTACTTATGCATCAATAGACATTAATATAGCCTAGATGGAGAGAGTGGGAAAGGGAGAGAGTAAGACAGACAGATACGGCGAAGAGACGGGGAGAAAGAGACAATGGTGAGAAAGACGAGAGAGACGGGGGGAGAGAGATGAGAAAGATGGAAGAGGGCAAGAGACAGGGGGAGGAGGAGAGAAAAGGGAAAATATGCTTTATTTGCACCCCACACATGTACTTGATACGAATGCTACCGAGGTGAATTTTGTAATTTTTTCCCGCGCTCACCCGTATTGTTGCTGAAGAGTCCACCGCCGCCGAGGGTGGTGTTCTGCTGCCCGAACAGCCCCGTGGTGGTGCTGGCGGTGGAGCCGAACAGGCCGCCGCCGGTGGTGCCCGTCGTCGGCGTACTCCCGAAGCCGAAACCGCCTGAAGGATTTACATAATGTTACGTCACACATATCATACAATCTGCTATAAATCACACTAAGGGACTACTCACACTTGTTCTGCTCTATTCAGCTTTTGTACATAGAAAACAACGATTTTGTATAGAGACGTGTACCCATCCATTCAACTTTCCGCGTCTATTCTGCTTTCGCGGCAATCCAGTATGAAATGAGGATAAATGTGTATTTATCATGCGAATGCTATAGAGAGCGTTCAGCGCTGTTCCGCCGCGTTCAGCGCTGTTCCGCCGCATTCACCGTGGAACGCGGCGAAACAGCTCTTTACAGGGATGTTTCGCGACTCCTTGTCGACAAGTTGCGACCTGTATTGTTTCTGCATTGATTCGATTTATTATTGCGTAATCATTATGCACGCAAGGATTAAAGAGTGCACACGCATTTTATATTAATTATAATTATTTTATTTTTACGAAACGCAGCATATGTTATGGAATGAGCTCCCTGCCGAGGTTTTCCCAAGAGACTACAGCATGGGGTTCTTCGAATGGGGGGTAAAGAGGTTTCTGCAGGGTCGGCAACGCGCGCGTAATGCCTCTGGTATTGCAGACGTTCACAGGCTACGGTAACCGCTTACCATCACGTGGGCCGTATGCTTGTTTGCCATCTCAGAGGTATAAAAAAAAAATTCAACACCGTACACAGTAGACAAGCGTTTCAGCGGAGATAGCACGCTATGACGGCTTTTCTCGTTCTTACGATAATTTTAAAAGTTTCTAATGGATGGAACGTGCACCCGTGCGAAGCCGGGGCGGGTCGCTAGTATACTATATTATACACTATACTATAATAATTTCTATGCCTAATTGCAACTCACCAGCCGGCTTGGCGCCGAACGCGGACGTGTTCTGAGCAGCACCAAACAGCCCAGTGGACGTATTGCTGCTACCGAACAGTCCGCCCGCGGTCGTGTTGCTGCCGAAGCCGAATCCGCTGGTGGACGCGCCGAACGCTGGCGCCGTGGTCGCCGTGTTCGAGCTGCCGAACAGGCTCGTCGATGTGTTCGAAGCGCCGAATAATCCTGGCAGAGAGGAAACATTCTAAGTTGCATAAAATAGTACATTACTGTAGCGGCCAGCAACTGAGGCATTGATGGACGAACGTGCAAATGTGGGCCGAGGCGTAGCCGAAACATACATACGTGAGTCCATTTCCTCAAACAATGTGCGGAAATCAAAAACACAATTTTACTTTTTAAGTTCAATGACGAATAACAAACAATAATAATTTTTACCTCCTCGGTAGCCATATTTCGAAGTAATAGGTCATTCCATTTTTAAATTACAGGACAGATATGAGTTTACATAGTAATTTATCTAACGGCAAAACACGACAGATATGGATTTTCATACAACTTTTGCCGGCCGCTGGCCGCATGTATCTGGCCAGTACGGCAATTTTGATTTATCTCGAAGAAGATTGTCAAAATAATGCTCACATTTCCAAGCATGTTTGAGGAAAATATATTTTAATTATGATTCTATCATCACGATGAAGAACTGTTTTCACTCCACTGTTATTGTCTGCATGGAAGACTGTTGCTAGCATTGGTGGGCTCGAATGTGGCTTACATAGCCAATCTTTTTAATATAGGTTCTTGCACATATCTGGTATAATAATAATAATAATACAAAAGGCCAGCAGGAAAGGGATTGTCCGAATCTGTCTCTATCAGGTTGACCTCCGCGAGGTCTCCCCTGGAAACCATCGTGGTTAATTCTAGAGGGATTTGTTACGATGGGCTAACTGACCTGCTATCATCATCATCTATCATGCCTCACTGGTGCCCCGCCAGCGTATACCGATAGCGCAGGCGGGGTTACCGTTCCATTATCATCCAAAAAAAAAATACAAAAGGCCACACCTGAGTGCTCAGGAATGGCAACGCATGGGGAGGTATCATGGGCGAAACAGTATACTCTGTTATGTCCATGGTACTGCTCATGTCTATAGGCGACGGTTACCACTTTCCATCAGGTGGGCCGTCAGCTTGTTTGCCATTTTAAGTTGCATAAAAAAAAAAGCTACCGCCTAATGGTGAGTAGCTCAACTTAAATTGTCCAGTGGTATAAGAAAAATCTAGAATTAAAATGAGATCCTTCTTTTTTTTGGATTTGGTTAAAAATACTGGCGGTAAAGCCTACCTCCGGTGGCGGCGGGCTGCGCGGTGGCGGCGGCGCCGAAGGCCGGCGGCGCGCCGAATGCGCCGCTACCGGCCGCCGGCTTGAACCCGCCGAACGACGACGTGCTCGCGCCCGCATTGAACGACCCTGACAAATTGTCGAATAGGTTTATTAATACTCTATTTTAACAGAACTTAATAAAAACGTAAACATAAATAAAAAAAAAAAAACTTTCCCGTTGCGGATAATAATAAAAAAACGACATGCTTTCTAACTGTATCGGGTTGACTGGAAGAGATCTCTGTCAGAGATAAGCTCTGACAGAGATCTCTTCCACGTTTATAAATACATACATACATATATATATATATATATATATATATATATATATATATATATATATATATATATATATATATATATATATATATATATATATATATATTTTTTCTTTTTCTCTAGAGACTACAGTATGGGGTTCTTCAAAATGGATATATATTAAGGTTTCTTCAGGGCCGGCAACGTGCACGTGACACCACTAGTGTTACAGGCATCCATAGGCTACAGTGACCGTTTTTTTTACAACACAGGGGGCAAAGGCAAAGCACAGGGGACAGTCATGATGGTAAGTGACTACCGCCGCCCATGATCATCCACAACACCAGCGGCATTGCAGGTGTGCTGTCGGCCTTTTAAAAAGGAATATACTCTTTTCTTGAAGGTTACGTTGTCGTATCGGTTCGGAAATACTGCCGCTGGAAGTTGATTCCAAAGAGTGGTTGTGTGTGGAAGAAAGTGCCTTGAAAAACGCACGGTGGAAGACCGCCACTCGTCCAGATGGTTGGGATGAAACCTTAGTTTATGGCGAGACGTACGATGGTGTACGGTTTACCATCACACAGGCTATATACTTGTTTGCCACTTTTGTGGTATTAAAAAAAAAATAACTAAAAGGATATTTTGATAAAAAGAAAATAATCTTCCAAATCGATTTACAACGGGGGGAAAGGGATTGTTAGTAATGGAGACTGAGAATCCCATTGCTAGCAATATACCCAACCACGTCGACCTCCTCGCGGTTCCCCCTGGAAACTATCATGGTTAATTCCTGATGAATTCATCATGATGGGCTAACTAGCCTGTTTTCATTCTCATCTATCACCCTTCACTGGTGCTCCGCCAGCGTATCCCGTTAGCGCAGGCGGGGTTACCATATCATTATCACACATAAAAACAAAATCGATTTACAACTGACAGAGTTATGAGGTAACAAACATGATAAAAAAAATACAACCGAACCCTCTTCTTTTGAAGTCGGTTGAAAAGTACATAATAACACTAACCAAAGCCGGAGGTGTTGCTCCCGAAGGCCGGTTTCTGGAACATACTGGTGGTGCGGTGATGGCGACGCGTTGACTACCACACGAGTACTGCGACCTGGTCACGCGCGTCCGGACATGTTCACGACTGTAATGTAAACAGAAGTCAGACTGTGAGAGGGAGACTGTACAAAAGTCGATTGCTTGGGTACAGTGGTACCCAAGCAATCGACTTGAAACACGAATGGGACAGTGGTCCCATTCGTGTTTCAACCGTGAAGCAGTTGTGTTTGCATGGCTGTGTTTCGGTTGGAAGGGTGGGATATGGCGTGAATTTACTGGGTACAGAGGAATAACACCTGAGTCCTCAGGAATGGCAACGCATGGGGGGTATCATGGACGAAACAGTACACTCTGTTATGTCCATGGTACTTGCTCATGTCTATAGGCGACGGTTACCACTTTCCAACAGGTGGCCGTCAGCTTGTTTGCCATTCTAAGTTGTATAAAAAAAAAAAGATTCCTACGAAATTTACCAGCCTTACGGCGGAGGCTATATCCAGTGGTGGACGGTTAACAGGTACAAAAAAATATGTTTAAGAGTTCAGCTGTGATGCATGTCTTACTTTTTCATTTTTAATTTACGCTTGGCAGGCGGATTGGCGACCGCAGTTAGGCTTTTACAGATATTTTAGGAGGGACGCTGCTGTCCATCACTTGCCCTACCACAGTCACCTCTTACGACACCCACGGGAAAGGAAGAGATGGCCTATTCTATGCTGGGACCATACGGCGAACGTTTTAGTGATAGATATAGTAAAATTGTTATTTTTTTTATGGCTGAAAATGGTATGATAACCCCGCCTGCGCTAACGGGATACGCTGGCGGAGCACCAGTGAAGGGTGATTGATGAGAATGAAAACAGGCCAGTTAGCCCATCATGATGAATTCATTAGGAATTAACCATGATAGTTTCCAGGGGGAACCGCCAGGAGGTCGACCTGGTTGGGTATATTGCTAGCAATGGGATTCTCAGTCTCCATTACTAACAATCCCTTTCCCCCCCAGTAAAATTGTTATTAGACGATATCTATATTAGGGACAAGCAAGCTGAAGTGGGAATAAGCTGGTCATATAGCTCGAGGAACCGACAACCGATGGGAAAGAAGAGTTCTTGAGTGGTGATCGCAGTATGATCAAACGCAGTATAGTACGACCCTCACTAGATGAGAGTGACGACCTCAGGTACATTGCAGGGAGTCAGTAGATGCAGGTGGGTCAGGACTGATCTTTATGGCAATCTATGGGGAGGGGGGAAGAGATTCTTAGTAATTGGGAGGTTACACCGCAGTGCTTTCAATAAGGGAACGTTGATAGGGTATCAGGTTGACCTCCACGTGGTTTCCCATAGAAACCATCGTGACTAATTTATCGTTCAATTCGTCACGGTGGGCTAACTGACCTGCTTTATCATCCTCACCTATCATCCCTCACTGGTGCACCGCCGGTGTATACCGATAGCGCGGGCGGGGTTACCATTCCATTATTACCCATTAAAAAAAAAATAGAACGCCAAATACTCCCGATTGAAACAAACCCCTTTCGCTTCATCCACATTCATCAATCTTTTCATACACACTCGCCAGTTACAGGTACTTTTAATACGTCGACCTGTTTGGTCGACATACGTCCGTCTAGGGCGGCCCCTAACGACATCTCCATTCATGTTTGCTCGATAAATACTGTTTGTACAAATATGTTGGTTCTTGTATGTATATATTATTTGTAAGTAAAGATGCCGTCTGTTGACTTGATGTATTGTATATATATTTTTGTTTCTATTTCAATTGTTTATAAATTTTCTTTTCTATAAAAAACTACAAATGTCATTGTATGTAAAAAGGTTAATTTTGAACAAATACTCTCACGTAATCCTTCTTTTATCAATCCTCTCCAAATGGCTAAATCAAGGCAACATTCCCTTTTCGATTTTTCAAAACAATAATTTTAGAAATTTTGTCTGTCTGGCCGTATGTTTGTTACAATATCACGCAAAAATTATTGCATCAACTTTAAACTGGTGTATAATTTGTCTTGATTCGACATTTAGGAGTGATTTACTTCACCATTTATTCTACTTCTGAAATCTAAATGTAAGAAATAGCGGGCAAAAACATAGTTACGTAAATAAAATGGATAGATAGATAGACACTCTTTATTGTTTCCTCCAAAATATTACAATAGTAAACTTATTATAAATATAAACAATTATAAGAAACTAGCGACCCGCCCCGGCTTCGCACGGGTGCAATGCTGACAATAAATATACCTACTTAATATATAATATAAAAAAATTTATGTTGTATTGCTTAAAATCACTTCGTAAATAAGCCATTTTTACCCGTAAAATGTAAAGAATAAAAAAATGGTTATTGTGCGTTTTCCTTAAGAGATAGACATATACCATCGCGGACTTTTTTCTTGACCTTTTTAAGGTGTACAATACTGTGGTACATTATTTTGATTTATCTCGTGGGGTTCAGCCAGCGCTTGTAATGTAAACGCAAAAAAAAAATTTATTTACGACGTCACATTAGGAACCTGTAAATTTATCAATGTTCCTCTACAATATTATGCATGTATTATACATATAAACCTTCCTCTTGAATCACTTTATCTATTAAAAATAACCGCTTCAAAATCCATTGCGTAGTTTTAAAGATTTAAGCATACATAGGGACGGACAGACAGCGACAGCGACTTTGTTTTATACTATGTAATGATAATCACTCACTGTGACTGTGGTAGGCGGATCGGCAACCGCAGTTAGGGTTTGGAGATGTTTTAAGAGGGACGCTGCTGCCCATCCCTCGCCCTCCCTTAGTCGTTACGACACACACGGGAAAGGAAGGGGATGGCCTATTTTATGCCGGGACCACACGGGAATCATAAAAAATATATGACTTGATTCATCGACACGATCTCAGCAGAATAATGATGACGACGACAAGGGCTTTTTTTTTATATAACTTAGAATGGCAAATAAGCTGACGGCCCACCTGATGGAAAGTGGTAACCGTCACCCATAGACATGAGCAGTACCGTGGACATAACAGAGTGTACTGTTGCGACGGTTACGACTCTCCATCAGGTGGGCCGTCAGTTTGCTTGCCATTCTAAGTTGCATAAAAAATGTTTTTTTTTTTTTTATATATATAACATACTAATTAATTAATAACATTTAATAATATTACACAAACATGTTACACACAAAAGAAACATTAAAGATATGAAATATAGACTGATAAAAAAGAAAATACAGTAAAATCTCGATTATTCGTACTCCGTATAATCGAAAATTCGGATAATTCCTAGATTCGAATCGATTTCAAAGTTTAATTATATAATAATTATATTTTAATTATGTAAAGGCTTTTACATCATGTCTTTTAGATAATACTATATAATATTATAAAAAATTATAGATATATATATATATATATATATATATATATATATATATATATATATAAAACTAGTATTAATACTAAAATTTTTATACTAGAAAATAGAAAATTAAAAAAGAATGATCTGTACCATATATATATATATACACACATAATAAATAATACCATTTCAAAATCGGTAATTAAACCCGTGAACAATAAGTCCGGATAATCTAGATTCTACTATAGTTAAAAATTCTAAGCGATTTCTGATTATTCACTTAAAAACTTATTTGTTAATCGAAAAATTGGTAGGTTGGATGGTTTCCAATTTCTCTGGTCCCGGTTGCTGAGAGGCCAATGGCATTGAAGGTCCAGCTTTCGCAGTCCCAAAGAGGGCACCACTCTGGGGTTGCGAATTTCCAAACAACGAATTCACATTACCCTGGGCAGCACCGAAACCTACCGATCCCTGCGTACTTTGAGGAGCACCGAAGGTGAAACCCTGGGAGGGGGGTTGTTTAAATCCATGGCTTGAATAGGGGTTACTGCTTGCGTTTATCCCATATTTGATTGGAGCACTCTTGTACATATTATAGTGGTTGTAGAAGTTCGTCTCTTCCAGTACTATTCCTAATGCCTCTTCGATGGTCCCTGGTCCTCGAAGCCTCACGATCCTAACAATATCCATCGGTAGATTGTATAGGAAAACATTTATTGCCATTTTCTTGTAGATATCAATCTTGCACTGTCTCATTTTCTCGTCTTCTATCAAATTCACTTTGGACAACAGTACGTACAAGGCTGAACGGATACGGTTGCAGAAGTCCGAGTACGACTCGCCAGTGTTAATCCTCAGGTGTTCCAGCTCAGCAGCTGTGAAGTCCTCGTTGCGGTAGTCGCCGAAATGGAGTATCAGGAACTGCTTCAACTTCTCCATCGTACTTAGATCGTCTCGGTCACTAACTATCGCCGCCGCGTTCTCTGTGAGGCGGCTCGTGATCGCATGCATCACGTATTCGTTCTGATCATCATCGCCCTTGTATCTCTCGTATACGTACTCGCATTTCCGCAGGAAGAAACTCAGGAGTCTCCTGTCCCCGTTGTAATAGGGCACTATTTGCAGCATTTCCACTGGTATCAATTTTAGATCGGACATTCTGATCACGATAATTATATGAGTATGTTAGGAGATGAAAAAAGAGTTTAGTGGATAACCAACAGATTATATAAAATTTCCTGCCCTGTCCTCTGTGATGCGAACTTCCAAGGTCTGCTGAAATTGAAACTACTCGAGTCGAGTAATTGCTTCAATGCTGAATTGCAAAGACTCTTTATTTCTATTAGCTCTTACAACTATTCTGCAACTACAAGTCTTAGAATTGCTTTTTTATTTTATACTTCTCTCTCTACTAAGTCTGAAACTTCTTTATTTCAAATAGTACAAGAGTTATTTAACGTACTGTTTAAACTACTATTCTTGTAATATTTTTTTCTTCAGTAAACCGTCTAGTGCTCAGCATCAATCCACAATTGTTTTGGATCCAGAGTGACTGTACCAGTTTTGCAGCGATCAATTTCCGGTAGCTAAAACCCAGTAACACAATATTCAATGTTTTCCTTATAACATTTATATATGCAACTTAGAATAGCAAACAAGCTGACGGCCCACCTGATGGAAAGTGGTAATCGTCGCCTATACACATGAGCAGTATGGACATAACAGAGTATACTGTTTCGCCCATGATACCTCCCCATGCGTTGCCATTCCTGAGGATTCAGGTGTTATTTCTCTATAACCTGTAAATTCACTGCCATATTTCACCCTTCAAACTGAAACACAGCCATGCAAGCAACTGCTTCACGGTAGAAACAAATGGGACAGAGGTGGCCAAGCAAACGACTTTTGTACAAAGTCTCCTTCTGGTATTTTTTCCTTTAACATCACAATAAGCAATGTGTACATGTAAGGCATTGTCAATGGATGAAGATGGAATGATGCATCCGCCTATGCTAATCATACACAGTGATTTTTTAATTCTGAAAGCCACGCGTGCGCAGTAGCAGGCGTATAGAATCTTTATTTTTAATGGATGATAATGGAACGGTAAACCCTCCTGTGTTATCGGTATACACTAGCGGTACACCAGTGAAGGATGATAGGTGATGATGAAGCAGGTCAATATGCGCGACGAATAATAAAAAATCAATCACGATAGTTTCTAGGAGGAACTACGAGAAGGTCGATCTGACAAGGTACATTGTTAGCAATGAGCTACTAATCCTCACTACCAACAATCCCTTCTTCCCCCAGCATATAGAATTTGGTAATAAATATAGGTCGATACTCAAGAAACCATCAGCATAGAATAAACAGGCGTTCTTGTTGAATCTAACTGTGGTTGCCAATCTGTCACGCCAGGGGAAGGGACGATGGGCTAACTATGACCTGCATTTCATCCGTCACGATGGGCTAACTGACCGGCTTCATCCTTCATCCGTCACTGGTGCCCCGCCGGTGTATACCGATAGCGCGGGTGGGGTTACTATTTCATTATCACCTATAATAAAAAAAAACCTGTCACGCCAAGGGTGCTAACTATTGTCAAAACTCCCAAATAGAGGGAGGCCTATGTCCAGCAGTGGACATTTAATGGCTGATATAGTATGGTACATTGTACTTAATATCTCAGAAAGTAATTTATTATTATAACATTGAATGATGGGCCCTGAACCATATGTTGTACTTGTATTAAGCATTGTTACCCCTGCCCTTGAGAAGTATGTGAAAATAATTCAGTGAATTTACAGGGTACAGAGGAATAACACCTGAGTCCTCAGGAATGGTAACGCATGTGAGGTATCACGGGCGAAACATTATACTCTTTTATATTCATGGCACTGCTCATGTCTATAGGTGACGGTTACCACTTTCCATCAGGTGGGCCGTCAGCTTGTTTGCTATTCTAAGTTGTATAAAAAAATAAAAAAAATAAAGGAACATGTTTAGATGATATGATAATGATGATGATGATGAATATTATAAATGTGTATAATATTATAAAATAAATTTTATTTGTTACTTTGTACCTTAACCAAGACTTTAGTGACTAAACCAATACATACATACATATCTCTCACGCCTGTCTCCCATTAGGGTAGGCAGAAACAATGGAACGCCAGATGCTTTGATTCAAACAAACCTCTTTCGCTTCTTCCACATTCATCAATCTTTTCATACACACTTGCTGGTTACTTTTAACCTGTATCGTGGACTCCCGACAATGATTAACAAATCACATTGTGTTATAATAAAAAGTACATAGTGGGCGGGTATTAATATAAAATTGAAATAGTGAAAAAAGTATTAATTACATAGTACTTGTGTGGGCGAAAGGACTGTATGCTGGTATGGAAACATGGTGTTTTAGAAAGATAATATAATTATATAAAAAATATACAAAGCAAACCAATGGAGCAAAAAGCGAACAAAACAAAAACAAAACTGACACAGACTTCAAATTATAAACAAAACATCTTTTTAATAAAATTAAAAAAAGAAACTAAAAAGGTGTGTCGTGCACAACTTGTATAATAGATTCCTAATTGACAGAACTACAAAAAAGAATTTGATCGGTTAAGCCATTAAGGAAATATAACGTAACAAATGAAACAAAGTCATTTTAACATTTACAATATTAATAAAAACTATATCGTCAAATGAAACATGCCAAGATTATTTACCAATTGTGCAAAGTATGATAAAAAACATAATAGATAAAAAAAAAAAAAGCAAAAATAACGTAAGCAAATATTAATACCTACCTATAAGGTATGTAGCGTTAGTTGTATTGATAAGTGAATTTATTGGAATTTTACTGATTTTATCAACACGTAGGTAGATCCAAATAATAACCTGCCTTTTCATCCTCACCTATCATCCTTCACTGGTGTATCGCCAGTACATACCGTTAGCGCAGGCGGGTTTAACATTCCATTATCATCAAAATAAAAAATAAAAATAAAAATAAAATTTAAATAATGACTGATGAAGCAATCTATGGCGTTGGCTGATGGCTTTCGCCAAAGTCACAATAAATGAAAAAAAAAAAAATCTATGACGCATATGAATTACACGTAAAATTATTTATTGGCACTCACCATCAAAACACCGTGTAAAATAACCTCAAAAGTTTCAACTTCTCGACTAAGCATTAATTGCAATGTTCTGTGAAACTTATTTTGTTATGTATATATTTAAATAGAGAAATTTGATTTTCTTGAGGATAAATGCGAATTTCAGACGAACTCTTGCCAAATGCAATAAAATGACGTATAATACGACTAAATTGCGAAGTCGCAAAGTAACACCTGCATAGGGGGTTAAATTTGAAAGTTTACACTCAAGTTTTATTATTACATACATGCTAAACTATATTATTTGAATAGAAATTAATTAGCAAACATTTCGGTTATAGTAACTTTTGAGTATGTAATAAAATAGTACATTACTAGTTAATAATTCGTCAATGACGGTTACGCTTTATTAACAACATCATTTAGCGGGTTAATACAAACAGACCGTCATGAACCTTGAAAATTCTACAAGAAAATACAGTATACTTACGTAAAAAGAAAGATACAGGTGTGATCTGGTAATATTCTTCAATTAATAAAATCACAACAACACAATTGTATGCGCATTTACTATTTAATTCAGCAAAAATCAAAATAGAAGTAAAGTACCGACTTTAATTTGTGAGACAGCACCACAGAAAACTATTACTCTACGCACATCACAGATAAAACTAAGAGATACTATGGTACAGATTAATATAAAAAATGTTTGTGAAAATTTAAGGACAAATTGTTTATCCTTGTTTTTAATATGGGAAATAAGGATAAAAAATAATATAGAAAATTAAATAGAAAATATTTGATATGTCAAATATTTGTCAATAATAAATTTTATAAAAAAAAGGGTTGCACGGCCGTATAACATTTTCTGCTAGTCTGCTAACTATGAATTGACAAGAATAGCAACTGATGGTGTATCTTTCGTCCTCTTTTTACTAATCATATTTGTATAAGAAGAAAGGAGGAAATCGGAATTTACAGTTTTTACTTTATCATTCCTTTTATCTAATTCCTTGTTGTAAGAGTCTTAGTCTTAGTGTATACCTAGAGAGAAAATGTTATATGCCAATATAACCCTACCAATTTTAAATACAACCTGCTTGTATACTTTGTACCTAAATTGTGTCGAATATATAATCTAGTAATATAAATGAACAAATATTTTACATTCATGCATAATTCCATCTTCATCCATTCAAAGAAAAGCCACTATTATGGTGATATATTATTATTATGGTGATCTGAGCAGTGACGGTCTAAGCCTGTCAGAGCCCGGGGTGGCAAAGTTGAATGAGGCCTCCAAATTAAGAATGTTGAATTTTACAAGCTTTCTATTTAATTCACATAAGTGTTTGAATTCATTTTATTAAAATGTATTATTAAATATTTAATGAATATAGATAAAGACGAGCAAAATGGAAGCGTTTGGAAGTCCACCAAGATCAAAGGTTTGGAGCCGGCTGCTGCTTCTACCTCCTATTTATTCCGCCATTGGTTTTTTTATAACACAGAGAGCAAACGAGGATGCGGTTCACCTGATGGTAAGTGAACCGCATCCTCGCTATGATATTGATAGAGTGATTCAAGTCGAAGGTTTATATGTATAATACTTGCATAATGTAGTGGGAAAACCCTGAAAATTTGAAAGATAATGCCGTAATATAATGGGCGGCGGTAATTAGTATCAATTATTACTTTACCAGAGGGAGACTTTTTATAAAAGTTGTTTGCTTGGGCACCTCTGTCCCTGTGGTTCAGTTTGAAGTATGGGATATGGCAATGAATTTACAGGTTACAGGGGAATAACACCCGAGTCCTCAGGAATGGCAACGAATGGGTGTATCATGGGTGAAACAGTATAATCTGTTATGTACATGGTATTGCTCGTGTCTATAGGCGACGGTTACCACTTTTCATCAGATGGGCTGTCAGCTTGTTTGTCATTTTAAGTTAAATAAAAAAAAGAGATACCTACAGCAGAAGAAGGTATTAAATAAAAAAATAAAAACAAAATATAGGTAATATTAAACATTTTTAATGTCTAGGAATATTTACAATACAAAATATTATATAATATGTTAGCTGTCCAACTAGAACTATTCTAATTTAGAATAATAATAACCATCATACTGCTAAGTATTCTCGATTGTGGATACCACAAGGAAAAGTATTTATTCTTATGGTTGTAGGTACCATAGAATCTTGGTACCTATATAAAAAAAATTAAAAGAAAACACCAAATTTCCGGTAAATTTAGTATGAGCCAACCATAGATAAGTCCTTTCTGTTAAAAAAAAACTTACAAATTGGCGCCAATAATAAAAAAATTAAATATAAGTAGTATAAGTACTATATTTTTTTTTTCGGTCTTATTCAAATTAGTACAAAACTTATACAGATAAAAAACAATAAATATACTATGCTTATCATGAACGAAACGGGAGGTAGGATAAATATTATCATTCTATATTGATATAGAAATATTATAAAAAATATGAAAAAAAAAAAACGTAACTTGTAATTTTAAGAAAGCATTTGATCGTGAGCAGGGTTGTATTTCCTGTTAAGCATTGTAGGCAGTTTATAAATTTTCAGTTAAATTATCTTTAATTACAAAATAACGAAAACTAGTCTCGATTCTAGCGCCATCTAGTATATCTTGTCTAATTTTGTTTAGTGACCAACCACCTCAACATTACATCTAGAGCGTCAGAAGCCATTTAAACTCGGCGGGTTATACAAACCATTCTATTATGATTGCATATTTATATTATTTTCGTTACTAGTCTTCCACTTAACAGACCATCAGTCTTTGGCGCCGAATTTAATAATTGTAGTTACAATTATCACCGCTAGATGGCGTTGTGTGATGAAAAATTTGCGTGACAAGAGTTTACTAAAAAGACAAAATACAATAGAAATTTATTACTTGATAATAAAAAATTACTTTACAACTGGCGAGTGGGTATAGCATAACGTGAAAACAAAAAAAGAAAAATTAATACGATTTAGCTAAGAGCACTCTACGATTTTGTAAAATTGTAAAAAAAAAGCACGTCAAGTGCGAGTGGAACTCGCGCAACGAGGGTTCCGTACAAAATCATAGTTTAATTTTTTTTAAATAACTTCAAATTTATGGTTTTACAAATTTTTTCTTTTACTTGTGCTACACGGCATTGCTTCTTGCCACATTTCATGATTCCAGGACAACGGAAAGTACCCTATAGGTTATTACTTCCTTTGCGAATGTCAAAATATGCGATATAAACGGAACATAAACGGCCGTATCGTTTGATTGCGTCGATATAGAAGCTTTAATTTTTCACTGCTTTAAGAGACCGCAGACCTGAGTATATGATATTAATTTCAACTTGACACCGCCACGCGTTCTTAAGAAAAAAGGCTCTTAACAGACAGACGAACGGACGGACGGACAGACAACGAAATGATCTTATAAGAGTTCTGTTTTTTCCTTTGAAAATATGGAACCAAAATAAACCATTAAATATAAAATAGAGAGAAATATTTACATAGTTTGATATTACTTCAATACCAAATTATAAGGCATATAAATACTATAAAAATATATAATAAATATATTATTAAAATGTGATATTCATATTGCAGTTAAGTCACTATTCTATTATACCTTTTTTGTACAACAAAAAATAAATACCCCTTCCTCTCCCGTGGGTGTCGTAAGAGGCAACTAAGGGTGGGCAACAGCGTTCCTTTTAAAACCTAACTGTAGTTGGCAGGGGGGGGAAGGGATTGTTAGCAATGGAGTGCGACAGCCCCATTGCTAGCAATATGCCCTATCAGGTCAACCTCCACGTGGTTCCCCCTGGAAACTATCGTGAACAATTCTCGTTGAACTCGTCACGATGGGCTAACTGACCTGTTTCATCATCCTCACCTATCATCCTTCACTGGTACCCCGCCAGCGTATACTGATAGCGCGGGTGGGGTTACTATTTCATTATCACCTATCAAAAAAAAACTGCAGTTGGCAATCCGCCTGCCAAGCTTGGCAACTATTAGCAAGCCCTCCAAGGGGAAAAACTATGTCCAGGAGTGGACACTTAATATCTGATACAATAATAATTCCGGGAAAGATGCAGGAAACAATGCTCTTGGACATTGCCCGCATAGTATGCCCGTTTCTCTCCCTGGAGCCCTGAGCCTCGGCCGACTGTGTTTCTACTGGGGGGTTATCTATACTAGTTTGTCATCTCCTCTCCTTAAGAGGGTAGAAGTGAACTTTGTTCAAAAAAGAAATAACAATAAAATCTGTCTACCCCATTAGGAATTATGGTTATGTGTATATATTTTTTTTCTAACAGGACATAGTCAAGTGACCATCCATGTAATAAGTACATAATAACTATCAGTTTATTAAAAAAAAAAAAACTACCTTTTTTTCTATCTGTACACAAAGTAACAATGATATAAAGTTTATGTAACAATATAAAAAAAAAAAAACTACATTACACATGCCTTCTAACTGTACACACGGCACATAAAAATATATATTTTACAATCCACTTGGCATGGGAATATTGCTATTTTCAAGTTACAATTATTTAGAGATATTATTTTTAATTAACAATGGTGATTTTAATTATAAAAATCACAGACTGTGATTTTCATTAACGGTGAAATAATATCACATATGCTATTACTTGCTATTGAAGTAAAGTATGTATTATTGTTTTTGTAGTCAGCATGCAAAGATTGATTTTATTAATTATTTGATTTATTTAATTGATTCAATCAATCAATTAATTATTATTTAAACACATATCGGTTGGGGGCCTGGTGATCTGTACTACAGGTCTTAACCTATTACAGACACCAGCTCCTCACAGCAGAGTTCCATATTATATCCTAAATACCTATGTGTACATTTAAGTTGTTTGTGAGGAGACATAAATAAATATATTATTATTATCACTCTTTATAGCTCTCTCAAACAGTCCTGAACATTCAATGAAAATTTAATTTCACTATTAACCAAGCACCATTAACTCATGAATGAAACTGAACACAGCATTTACTGTGTTTTTTCACTTATCGCTATTTGTAGCAGTATTCCATAGAAGTAGCAGATTTGAACTATGATTTCGGATTACAAATGATATTTCACATATTATTTTTGAAATATTCTAAGCTAATACAGTATGTAAGTCACTATTGTGTATGAAACAAACATAATAAATAGATGTTATGCATCAAAATCAAAATCGTCATCACTTATACTGTCCAAGTCCAATGATTTCAACGATCTCAAATCTTCTTTCGGTAAAAGATCTTCTAATGTTATTTTATCTTTATTCTTCTCATCTTCTAGCGCATTCTCTTCTGTATTTCTATTATTTTCGAGGACATTTTCATTATTTGCAGAAGCGTAATCATTATTACCATCAACTTTATTGTTTTCATTTGATTGTCTTTCATTAACGTCATCAAACTCACCTATTTGCTTATCCAAGGCCTCCATTAATTTTTTATCCTCCATTTCTGTGTCACTGACATCTTTGGAATTATCTACATGCATTTGTTTATCTGATTCACCATTAGCTATTTCTATATTAGGTCTGTCTAAATCCATTGCTTTACCAATATCTTTAGGCAACAGATCCTCTAAATTGTTTTTGTTTTTGTCATTAACTTTTTCTCTGTCCTCTTGCCATTCCATTGTTGTATTTCCATCACGTTCTACATTGTTTTCTTCGATAGCATCACCATTTTCAATCGTGTCTTCATTATTTGCAGATACTTTATCATTATTTTCGGTTATATCATTGTTTTTGTGATTATCATCACAACTCTCGCCTATTTGCTGGTCTATATCGTCCATTAATTTCTTATCTTCTAATTCGGAGTCATTCTCTTTTGAATTATCTGTATCTATTGGTTTGTCTTCGCCATTATGTATTTCTCTATTAGTATTACCATAATCATTATGTGCTACACCATTGGTATGAGTGAAATTATTTACAGCTTTTTCTATACATTCATTTGTAGTATATGTAACATCATTGTTTAGGCTTTTATTGTTGATTATATAATCACTTGTATAATTTTTATCATCGCTTAAATTAATACTATCATTACAATGATTTGTTTCTTTTGCATTATTTATAATACTGGTATCTCCACTATTTTGGTTATTTACATAAACAGTTTTCGTGTCAGTTTCTGTATTTACATTTTCTTTATTTGTATTATTTTTATCCTCTAAAATACTTACATTAAATTCATTATGAGGTTCTGCTTCTGAGACAATTGGAACTATAATTTTATTATTGCTATTACTGCATTCATTTGACTGCTGTTGGTCATCTTTATTTCCTTCAAAATCACATGTAGCCTCATTTATACTGACGTCATTACTTTGTGGTAATGAATTTGTAATTACTGTTCCATCATCAATGTTATTTTTATTAACTGATCCACCACAATCTAATGAATCATTAACAGCTGGCACATCATTATCACATCTATTATTTTCTGTGTCCCTTTTCATAGAGACATCAAGACTTTCTTCTAATTTATTAACTTCTGCATCATTATTATCAGAACTGGCATTTGGTAACTCGTTTTCTGACGCGCTCTTCATACATACATCATTATTATGTAATGTATTATTACTAAATACTCTATCATTATCATTAATCCAATTTACACTATCACCTTTGTTCCTACTATCATTCAGTAATGAATCCATGATACTAACACTGTCAACACTATTATCACTATCATATCCACCAGTATCACCTTTAATTACATTGTTAAAATCATCTTCATCGATGCACTTAACTGTTTTAACCTTTCTTCGTTTCCGTGGCACTTTACCGAGGAACTTCAACGAAAAGATTGTCTTAATTGATAAAGTCGATAACGTATCCACCTGATTCTTCATCGGGTTGTTCACTAATGTACTACCACAGTCACTGTCTGATGAATCAGAGTCCCAATGTATGTACTCCTCTGAACAGAGTTCTTCTTTTACTTCCTCCTCGATGGAAACCATGCGGTCCAAGCTGAGAGGTTCAGTCTTGATACGTGGACATTTGTATGGATAAACACAGGTTGTGTCGAAGCCGTAGTCCTGAAAATAGAATTAACATGATTATTTATTTATTTATATACATATTTTTGGTGAGTTTTACAGTTTTTACCAATGCACTCACTCAAAATTAAAAAAATCAAACATTATAATAATACAATATTAAAATAATAATGATAATAAAAATCTAATTATGTTATATGAAATAAATATTAAAAATGCATTTCTTCGTAATTTGTTATGAAATGAAATGAATTTATTTTATATATAGAGGTTAATATTTCCCGTGTACATTCTGCCTCTATGTTGGCGTGCAATTTTTAACAATATAATAAATTTATATATATATATATATATATTCTACATTATATTTCCTTTCCCTAGTCATACAATATATTATTATTATTCATTACAGTAAACGGAAAATAAAAGCCTGTACAATAGTTGTCCAAATTAATAAAATATTTTAACAAATTGTGTACAAAAGTAATTAGTGTACAAGAACAGAAGCCTCAATGGTATCTCTAGTGTAGGTTGTGAAGTGTATTTGTTTTTTTAGCGAAATATTCATTAATGGTAATCCATTGTTAGCAATGGAGTCTGACAGCCCCATTGCTAGCAATGTACCCTATTAGGTCGACCTCCACGCGGTTCCCCTTGGAAACCATCGTGAACAATTCTTGTTGAAATCGTCACGATGGACTAACTGATCTGCTTCACCCTCACCTGTCATCCTTCACTGGTGCCCCGCCGGTGTATACCGATAGCTCAGAGTTACCATTGCATTATCATCAATTACATAACATAACCCATTATTGGGAGAAAGGGATTGTTAGTAATAGAGACTAAAAATCCCATTGCTAACAATATACCTAACTAGGTCGACCTGCACGCGGTTCCCCCTGGAAACTATCATGATTAATTCCTGATGAATTCATCATGATAGGCTAACTGGCCTGTTTTCAGTCTCATCTATCACCCTTCACTGGTGCTCCGCCAGTGTATCCCGTTAGCGCAGGCAGAGTTACCAATCCATTTTCATCCAACAAAAAAAAAAAAACATAACCCATTACATAACAGCCAATCCTTAAGCTTACGTTTAAACACTGTATGAGCTGTTACTTCTCTAATGTTATTTGGTAGGTGGTTGTAAACTTGAATAGCCATACAGTATACGTTTCTTTTATTTATTTATTTATTTATTTATTTATTTATTACATCCACTGGGTGAGCCTTACAGTCTCCCAATACGCCCACCCAGGAAAGCATGAATACAACAACATATAAAAAAAGGAATATTACATATATACAACAAGAATAATATAAAAAGACTTAAACAAAAACGTCTGAACACAAATACTCTGTGGTCACCCGACGAAACTCCAGCAAGTTGGAGGCAAATACATCCAATTGCGGATACTGGCTCAAAACATCATTGAGTAGTTTCAATGCAAGAGATAGGGGAGCCTGCTTAGCGAACTCTGTTCTTCGTAATGGAACATCGAATAAGTGCCGTCGACGTGCTCGCACGTAGTTACTGGGCGCTCCTATTGATATTGATTCCAGTACAGTTTGGTTACACTTTTCCCCCGCACTAATTTTACCACATATTCAATTAAATTTAGCTTTCGTCTTACTTCAAGTGTATTATAGCCCACCATACCTAACAAAAACATACTCGGGTATATATGGGGATAAGACACCTTGAAACCATACTGTTTTTGGTACAGCCATCTTACAAATTTCTTTTGGATTTTTTCCACCATAAGTATATATTTAGACTCATGTGGGTTCCAAATAATTGCGTTATTTTCTAATTTACTACGAACAAAAGCATTATATAGCAATTTAATAGCTTGTATGCAATCCAATTGTTGCGCTTGTCGCAATACAAATCCGAGAGTTCTGAATGCTTGAGTACACAGTTCGACAATATGCGTTCTAAAAGTAAGCTCTTCACACGTCAAAACCCCCAGATCTCTCAACGAACTTACCCTACTTATCAATGAGCTACCCAATTGATAATTATAGGTAATCTTGTTAACACTTCTAGTAAAGGTTATAATGGAGCATTTGTTGTTATTGAATATCAAGTGATTTTTTTCACTCCAATTAAGGATATTTGCAACATCTCGTTTATATAAATTTAACCTGCACTTTGGTACATATAATTTGTCTTTTTCTCGAGCCAGATAATCTTTTTAGCGCTCTGCCATCCATTATCTTGAGACGACTTGTTTATGATTAAAAAGCGTAATTTACAATGAACTAGACGAGTTATAAAACTCACCGTGGCAATACTCGATACGTCGTAATAGTCGCCCTTGGACTTGTCCAGCAGCGGGTCACACCGCGCCACCCTCACTTGCACGGGTAACAGGCGTTTCTGGACTTCGGGGTCAACTTTCACCTCATCTGAAATAGCCAGTCAAGTTATTGTACAAACTGAATTTGGTTTGGAACAGAGCCAATTGGAGAACGTTACACAAAATAGTTTTGTCCTAACACAAGACGACTCTCAAATTGGGGACGAGAATGAAAATAGATTATTTAAGTTAAATATTTCAAGTTTAATTTCTCTTATATTATCATAAGTTTTTTTTTAACCTTTTTTTTTTATGTAACTTAGAATGGCAAACAAGCTGACGGCCCACCTGATGGAAAGTGGTAACCGTCTATAGACATGAGCAGTACCATGGACATAACAGAGTATACTGTTTCGTCCATGATACCCCCCATGCGTTGCCATTCCTGTGGACTCAGGTGTTATTCCTCTGTACCCTGTAAATTCACGTCAAATGAATGATGAATCAATTAATCGATGATAATGTAATGGTAACCTCGCCCGAGCTATCGGTATACACCAGCGGGGCACCAGTAAGATATAATAGGTGAGGGTGAAGTAGGTCAGTTAGCCCATCGTGACGAATTCAACAAGAATTGTTCACGATGGTTTCTAGGTGGAACCACGTGGAGGTCCGACCTAATAAGGCATATTGCTAGCAACGGGGCTGTCAGATTCCATTGCTAACAATCCCTTTGCCCCCCGTAAGTAGGATAGCAACCTTTGTGATTAAAAGAGACGTATTCCAGGCGTATTACTGACCTTTCTTCTTAGCGCTGCAGGTCGTCATGTGGTATCTCAGCGTTTTAGGGGATGCGTACACTCGCCCGCATCTCGTACACGTAGCTGTAGCAAAATAATTGTATATATATATATATATATATATATATATATATATATATATATATATATAGCATACTTATATATTTATCATAATTATTTAATTTTATATGTTATCTATATATTACATGGCATGTTTATTTGAATGGGATATGGCAGTGAATTTACAGGGTACAGAGGAATAACATCTGAGTCCTCAGGAATGGCAACGCATGGGGGGTATCATGGGCGAAACAGTATACTCAGTTATGTCCATGGTACTGCTCGTGTCTATAGGCGACGGTTACCACTTTTCAAGAGAGTGGGCCGTCAGCTTGTTTGCCATATATATATATATATATATATATATATATATATATATATATATATATATATATATATATATATATGCAATCTCTTACAGACAAACTATTTTTAATATGATTATCATGGTAAGATTCCCAAGGAGGGCTGACGTCAAGCAGGCGGCCTGTCGTCCCAAATAATCGGGATAAGGGCAGGAAGGTGATGATGAGTAGAAAGAAGATGACGCGAAAGAGGGTGACGTTCAAGGCGGTGATGACGAAGGTGATGGTGAGGTAGGTGATGAAGGGGAAGATGATGAGTAAGACGGGTTGATGAACAATATGATGTTACGGAAGATGAGGGCGATGTAGTTGAAGACGTTGTAGACGATGATGAGGTAGGTGATGAAGGGGATAAAGATGGGAATGACGAAAATATAAAGAGTTTGAAGACAAGGACGATGGTGATATCGAAGACGGTGATGATGAGTAAGATAAGACTATTTAGTTAGCTGTTTGTCAAGCAGGCGTGATACATACTGGCCCGGTTGCTGCCGCCGTGGCAGCGGTGCTGGCGCAGCAGGTTGTCGGTGGGGTACGCCTGGCCGCACCGCTCACACTTGACATCCGCCACCTCGGCCAATTGGTGACACTTCTTGTACTCCAAGTGTCTGCAACGTAAAGGTCAGGGTTACATTAACAGTAACCGAGTAGGTGCAGACAGAATTCGAGTTTCCAAGAGTTTGCTGACCACTAGTCCCATTGCTTACTATATAGCTATATAGACCCTGTCAGGTCGACCTCCACGGGGTCCCCCTGGAAACCATCGTGCTAAATCCCAGTTGTGTTCATCACGGTGGCCTAACTGTGGCTTCTTTATGATCACTGCTAATTCCTATCTGTGATATCAACATTAAGAGAAAAAATTTAAAGCGGCAAATATTCTTAGCGTAACTTTACAATACATACTAGCGACCCGCCCCGGCTTCGCGCGGGTACACATTTCATCACGTCCCATTAGGAACCTGTAAATTTATCAATGTTCCTCTACAATATTATGCATGTATTATACATATAAACCTTCCTCTTGAATCACTCTATCTATTAAAACATAACCGCTTCAAAATCCGTTGCGTAGTTTCAAAGATTTAAGCATACATAGGGACGGACAGACAGCGACAGCGACTTTGTTTTATACTATGTAATGATACGCAAACATTTTGTATATATACGCAGGAATCTTCAACTGTTTCTTAAAAATAGCGCTCTCAGTAATCTTAACACTAGATACAAATACAAACTTTTTTTTTTTTTTTCGTGAAGCAGTTGTGTTTGCATGGCTGTGTTTCGGTTTGAAGGGTGGGATATGGCGTGGATTTACTGGGTACAGAGGAATAACACCTGAGTCCTCAGGAACGGCAACGCATGGGGGGTATCATGGGCGAAACAGTACACTCTGTTATGTCCACGGTACTGCTCATGTGTATAGGCGACGGTTACCACTTTCCATCAGGTGGGCCGTCAGCTTGTTTGCCATTCTAAGTTGTATAAAAAAAAAAAATATTAATCTATGATAGGCATAGGATGGACATTTGTAAGAAATACAGAATAATTCACTCACTCGTTGTAACCGTTGAGGGTTTTATATTTGGATGAGCAGCGGTGGCAGTTGTACCGGAGGCCGCTGGCGTGCCGCTTCTGGTGGACTCTCACCTCTTCGGCGTTGGAGAACCACGCGCAGCAAGGGTTGCACGCTAGTCTGTAATCAAGCAGTTGGCTCAATTATGGACGGATGGTTCTTATACTACATCTGATCCAGGGCAAATATGCGAGTTGTTCGCTTCTTATTTCTCCTCCGTGTATGATTTAGATGATATAAATGAACACAAACATAATTCCAGCTTCTTGTACAATTTAGAAACCAATAGTCAATGCATGATACTTCCAACCATTGAATATGATATCTTACTTAAAAAATTATTGAACATTGACTGCAACAAGGGAATGGGACCAGATGAAATACCACCCTTATTTATCAAAGAATGCGCACGCGAGTTAGTGTACCCACTTATGTTGATTTATAGTAAATCTCTTACTACAGGAGTTTTCCCTACAAAATGGAAGATGGCAAAAGTAGTTCCAATACATAAATCGGGAGAGGATGACGCGGTAGGCAACTATCGGCCAATTTCCATTCTATCTTGGTTTGGTAAAATTTTCGAATCAATTATTTGCACTCATCTGCAGAATCATCTTGCCTTATATCTGAGTAATTGTCAACATGGTTTTACTGGTTCGCGGTCTACAAGTACAAACTTGGCATCGTTCACTGAACTCCTAATAGGAGCAATTGATGCTGGAGAGCAGATTGATGTTATATACACAGACTTTTGCAAAGCTTTCGATAAGGTCTCTCACAAAATTATTATTTATAAACTGCGCGCCTATGGTATTACAGGATCTTTATTAGATTGGATGGCTTCATATTTAATGGAAAGGACTTTCTTTGTAGTAGTAAATGGGTTTCAATCGGCATCTTGTAAAATTACATCTGGAGTACCCCAGGGATCTCACCTGGGACCGATTCTTTTTAATCTTTTTGTAAATGAAATCCTTGAGTGTTTTCTTTTCTCACAAGTATTTATGTACGCAGACGACTTAAAATTTGCTAGAATTATTAAATCCTATAACGATGTTACGCTCCTACAAAGTGATCTTGATAGGCTTATTAGTTGGTGTGATATCAATAACATGAATTTGAACCCTAAAAAATGTCGTATAATAAAATTTAGTAGAAAGCATAATTTAATATATTCACAATACCGAATCAAAAATGAAATAATTGAAGAGAGTAGAAGTATGCGTGATCTAGGTGTATTATACGATCAACAATTAACGTTTGTTCCTCACCTAAATAACATTATTA